CCTGAGTAGCTAGGATTATAAGCATGAGCCACCAGTGCCTGGCTATGTTAATTCTTTTTTAAAAATACATATCTTCACTGATGTGGCTGGAGCCAATTATTTCTTGGTAATGGAGAGCTTCCAAGAATTCTGTGCAAATTCTGAGAGATTTTCTTTTGCTTTTGGTTGGGAAACTTGAATTAAGCCTCACAAGAGACTTAAGTGAAAAATCTCTCTGTGGCCACAGTTTTCCTTCAAATGTCTTAGTTAATGAATGGCCTAGCTAGATATTTTGCTAGTGGCATAGAAAAAAATAATTCCAAGCCACTAAATGAATTCTGGCGTAGCTGTGGTGACATGATTATGAGGTTTTCTGACTGCCTGTTTAAGACAGTGAGAGTAAAAATAGTATAAGCTCCCCTTTCATGCAGCTTAGCCTCTAGCACTGCAAAATATCTAGTAAGACAGGCAACCCTGATCTGTAAATAACTTTAACCCACCTTCCCTGAGTGGCGGGTGGAGGTCTGGAGGATAGACCATCTTAATTGAGCCTTTGTGCTTCATTTCTCTTGTGCTGTGGGTATGCATATGCCAAGAGTTGAGCACCACAAAGGGTTTAAAAAGATATAGCACCCCTCCTTCCTTGAGGTGTTCACCGGCAGTCAGGGAGAGAGAAATGTTAGCAAATCCTAATATTACAGTGTGATGAGCACAAGAAACTGAGCAAGTGCAGAGGCTGTAAAGTGGGGCAGGTATCACTCTACACAAACTCAACCACAGGATGAGGGGAGAGATTCATGGAGCTGGGAGGTATAAACTGGGTTTTGAAGGATGACTAGGAGTCTTTTTTGGCAGCAAGAGTCTCCTGGCAGTGCTCCTTTTGCATTTTCATTAACTAGTGTTGAGGAGTACATATCTCTGTGAATACATTACAGACATTTCTATATAAACCATAAGTAGGCCTTTAATTTGAACGCCATCAGAACAAAAAGTATAATATGGAACAAAAGAAATAATATGGTATAAAAAGAATACTTTTAATTTGGTAATTTCATGTCATTCTCATTACAGTAGAACCACCTCCACATGCATACGGTAACTCTTTATAAGACTCCTTTATTTTCATAAAGTACTTAAAAATATGAACTTATTTTGTTTTGTTATGGTCTGTTTTCTTTCTCTGAGAATTTAAATTTTAGGCAGGAAGTTTATTACACTTCTGGTTGCCCAAAACAGCACTTAGTACATAGTAAGCACTAAATAAATATGTTTTTAATAAACAAATTTCATGCAGGGAACTAGTTGTTCGATTTCAAATTAATAAACATGGGTGAGTATAGAGTTTCTTGTGATGTTAGCAACACAATACAACTGACATGAAATGATTGGTACAGGAGCACTTTTCATGGAGCTGTTGCAGGACCTTTGGATGCGACATCAATTCTGGACAGATAATTGGAGACGTTTGCAAGCGGCACACGTTAGCTGTGGACACTGCAGGGCGGCCACTACAGGGACACTGCTGTATGTCCATCTTTTTCTAATTGTGTGTGATGTAGAATGCCTTCTAGAGGCCAGTATAGCCCGGTGGTTAAAAGCCTAGTGATGGTGACATACCACCGAGTTCAACTCCCAGATTTGTCACTTAGATATGAGCTGTCTTAGGAAAATCACACAGTTCTTGTATGTCAGACCTTTCAGGTGCAACAGGACTGATAGTAACCTGCCTGGTAGAGTTGCAGTATTATCTGTTAAATCAATCGTTAAGCACGCAGGGCTTGCCATTCACTATAACCATGCAATAATTTCAGGTATGGAATGGTAAGAAATCATTAGTTCTCCCAGGCCACCCTACTGTGTGCCATCACAAGATGTAGAACCTGATGGAAATTGTTCCTCCCAGACTTGTAAGCTGTTCCTTCCTTTTCTATCTGTGACATCAGACTGTGATTGTTCTTGTAATTCAGCACATATATTGAGTGCTTTCCTTTGTTTGTAGCTGCTCAGACACACACATATGTTAACACTTCTGTTTTCAGACGTGCATTTTAGAAAAAGCCCACGTTAAAGCAAGAGCTGAGTTAAAATACAGCATAGGAGGTCGTTCTCCTTATTCCTCTGCTTACCGTCATCATTTATTTATGCAGATTTACCACTAAGATACTTTGGCTTTAGTTGTTTTTTGGATAAGGTTTTTATCCATGTTGGATTGGACCTCAGTCCTCCTATTAATGCCTCCTTCATAGCTGGAATTATAACATGAATTACCATATTTAGCTTATTGGTTGAGTGGGATCTCGCTAATTTCTGCCTAGGCTGGCCTTGAACCTAAATCTTCCTGATCACCACTTCCCAAGTAGCTGGGATTATAGGTGTGAGTCACCATGCTGGAGCTGTATAAGAAATATTGAGGGTCCATATCTTTCCTATTATTAGACATGATTTTAATTACCATTAATAGTAATAATATTTGTTATTTATGTGTATAATTGATTTTAGTGAGATAATTGTAAGCTCACGTGAAGCTTCATAGAAATATCCTGTGTATTCTTTACCCAGTTTCCTTCACTACTACTATTTTGCAAAACTGTGGTATAATGTGAAATCAGCATAGTGACATTGATACTGACTTATTCGGAGTTCTCTAATTTTACTTGAATTCTTCTGTGTGTTTGTGGGCATGCATGTGCACGTGTGCGTGCAGTGAGTGTATTTATTTAGTCTACACATGTTTGTGCATCCACTAAGACAGTTGGAACACTCAACAGTTTTATCATCATAAAGATCCTGTTTCCTCCTTTTAATATGTACACCTCTCTCCCACTGGCCCACCTCCCATCCCTTGGCAGCCAGAAATCTGTCCTTAAAGTCTAAGTCTTTTTCACTTCAAAAATGTTACTTAAGTGGAATCACACACAACATAACCTTTTGAGATTGGCTTTTTTTCCACTCAAGATAATTCCCTGGAAAGACATCCAAGTTGTTTTATGTACCAATATTTTGTTTATTTTGATTTCTGAGTAGTGTTCCATAGTGTGAATTTTGTTTGTCATTCATCATTGAAGAACATCTAGAATGATTACAGTTTTTGACTACTATGATAGAGCTACTGTGAACATTCATGTATCATTTGTGTGTGAACGTGTAAGCTTTCGTTTTTGACATGAAACATCCAAGATTGCAATTACTATGTTGTATGATGTTTGCACATGTATTTTTCAAACTCATACTATTCATTTTTCCATTTTGTTCACATATATTAATTGTTCAAATTAGCAGAAAGTGTTCCCTTTCTAAGGTCTTTTCTACACTGTTCCCAATTAATTAAATAGTGAAATAATATTTCTAGCAGATTTGGAAAAGAAAAAAACCCACTCTCCATTTGAGAGTAAGTTTTGCTCATCAAAACTGAGAGAAATGGGTTCTTGAAGCTTAATCAGACTTCAGTTTTCCCTGGTTATGTCCAAAAACAAATTAATTTCTGCCCCATGACTGGTGGCAGTATTCCATTTTAAACCTTTCTCGGTTTGTTACAGCAGGGCTGGCTCCCAAAGACAAAACTGGTAGCTTTCTTCTATTAAAGAAGGGGAATTTAGTGCCAAAAAATGTAAACCATAACTTTGGATTGAGATGTACTGTTGAGCTTCCATAGTGACGATTGGAATATTTCTTTGGCAAATACATTTTTCCCATCTGGTAAAAGGATCTAGGGTATTGCATGTATATTTACGTCTGGAATAAAATCAAGATTCTTTAAGCAAATGTGGCGTGGTAAATGCAAAGACATATATTAAACTGCCTCTGCCAACCATAGTAGTTTATTTTTTCAGGTTAAAAACATATTCTTTTTGTTTGTGAACATGTCTGTATTTTGGTTTTCAATATATAAATTATATTTCAAATATTTTGTTGTCATTTTAATGTTAAATAAACAACTAGGGACTTTATGGGCTGGCAAGAAGTTAAAATTGATGAAAGAAACACACACTTGCCATACACACACTTCACGATCTCCCATCTTACTATGAAAATCCAGAAGTCTGTTGGAAGTATAGAATTAAGTGTGAAGCAGTGCTACTGAAGGCACTAAAAATGCCAAAACAGCTTCAAGGATTTATAAACCAGTTCAAGAATACTCCAGTATGTTGGCTCTGTAGGAATAGAGATGGTGGTTTTCACCTTGTCAAGCACAGACCTACCTACCTCAGGCATCCTCCTTTCTTGCGAAGACAGCCATACCCCTTATCTTCCCTAGCACCCCTATGGTGGGTGAGGACCTTCCCTGATGGAAATGCTTTTGCAGTGCCACTCTAGCCACTAGGCATTCTTTGCTGGATCATTATCTGGAATCCTAACTGAGCCATTTAAAAAAAATATCTATTACTTAGATGATATTTGGGAGAAAAATCTTATTGTCACATAGGAACAATATGAAAAAAATTAAATTAGGGGAAACTCTTGGGCCTTTCCCTAATTTTCATTATCCACAAAAGCTATCTTAACAAAGGTCGGTGTATCAATTTTAGATTAAATGCACAGCCTTGACTTTTCCTTGAATTCAGGAAGCCCAAATTTCTCTTCTGCTATCACTTCCTCTAGCATAGACTTATCAGGATATGAGAGCCACCATTTTGCTTCCTGGCCATCTTCCCATCTTGGCTGAGTGGCCTGCACTGGCACTGCTAAGACCTTTCCTGGAAAGAATCTGCAGGGCAAGCTCAAAGCTGGATGATTCTCTACAGACACCACTTTCTAAAACACGCAGAAGGATGAATTGCCAGGTTATGTGAACCTGCCAGTGTTTTGCTAATTATTTCCAGAACACTGACTCTGCTGCCAGCCATTACCACAATTTTTTCCTAGTAGAATTGCATTTAAAGGAAGGGTTGTAAAAAGATAGCTGCTTTAATGGGAACTTTATTGTATTCCTAGCACTAAGCTATCTGAAACACATAAAAATTGACTCACCCTTTTAAAGATTCCAATAGTAACACATGTGCTTTTCTGGATTTTCTTTGCAGAAGTAAAATTCTTCTGTCAAACTCCAGCTATTGCTGACATTGTCATCCTGGTTGATGGTTCATGGAGTATTGGAAGATTCAACTTCAGGCTGGTTCGGCTTTTCTTAGAAAACCTGGTGACAGCATTCAATGTGGGCTCAGAGAAGACACGAGTTGGTATGTCTGTCAGGACAATAGTAGTCAGCTGTCAGTGTAAAACTGCTGGGGAGATTTTTAAGAAATTTCAAAAACTCTTTACAGAGTGAATTTCAGAATTATCAGATCAACTATATTGATGTTCCTCAAAACATGTTCGAATTAATAAATATTTGTACTAATTTTTGCTATGTCACTATAATTCCATTAATTATTGAATATAATTTAATTCTCTGAAAAGTCAGAATTTTCTCTGTTAATAACAATAAATATAATAATGAAGTTTTAAAGTTATAGCCTATATAGGAATTTATCACGTAGCAGTTTTTACTTAAAAGAAACAGTTGAATCCAGGGAACTATTGAACTAAAAAATTAGAAATAGAATAATAATACAAAATAATTTTATCTCATTAATTCTAGCCAAGATAAAAAGCAAAAAAAATTATAAATCTTTGAGCAAAATAAATAACATATGTTTATTATGTAAGGTCTCATAATTTAACTTATATATAACGAATAAGGAAAATCATTCTTTTGAGAATAAATCTAGACCTTTTGTCTGTATGAATGACCAGGCTTTTTTTTTTTTAAATGACAAATACCTAACTGGGTGCTAGGCTCTAAGTGGTTAGAAAACATGTGTTCATCCAATTTACTCCTTTATTTGATGTCAAGAACTCATTTTGAAAGTATATAGCCAGGCCAAGAAAAATGGTTACAAAGATTATGTCCTTATCTTTCTGCTTTCTTGAGTAGTCCACAAGATCTTTGAGTAGCATATCATTGCTGGTTCTCCTCCTCTTTTTCCCAGGTCTTGCACAGTATAGTGGTGACCCCAGAATAGAATGGCACTTGAACGCTTTTAGTACAAAAGATGAAGTGATTGAAGCTGTCCGAAACCTTCCATACAAGGGAGGAAATACTCTAACAGGTACGCATTGTTCCGTGTACGTTCTCAGCTATGTGTCTTGTTAAAGAATCATTGTATTGCCTTATTTTGCTAGGTTTTGGGAGTTAACATAGGTGTTTCTTAACCAAATTAGTGGCTAAAATGCTTAGACGGCTCTTTTCCCAAACTCAGCATTAAGAGTTAAAATCTTGGCATTTGGTTTCTTCTGCAAGATGAACATAACTTCCCCTGAAGAGGTTAGTTGGGCTAGAGGAAAACAAAACAATCACGGAGGAAAACAGCCTTCAGTGGCCGTCCAGCCTTTGTCAGTTCATTATAATTATCTGTGGCACAACCACAGGGTGTTCATATACACATGGATTCTTTTTCAGTGTGGGGATTGAACCCAAGGTCTTCTATAGACTAGACAAGTGTTGTACCACTGAGTTACACTCCCAGTCCCGCTATAAAGATTTTAACCTTGGTACAAGTTTTTGCCTTCTGCAGACACGTGTTGTAGATGTCCAGCTTCAACCATGAAGATGCTGTTAGTGACTTATAGGCAAACCGCTGAAAGCCAGTTTGAGGTATAACCTAGTGAAATTTTTGTTAATACAGCAAAAATTCATTAAACATAAATCCTATAACAATTTTGTAGCATTCTTTCTGGATGGAAATTGTCTCAAAATGCAGGAGTATAATTGTGATTTTATGGCTACCTCCACTATTCCTGAGGAGACAATACATGTGCATCACATGAGATAAAGGGGGGGCATGTATAGCAATATTATTTTGGGAAGTCACTGTGCAAGTATTATTTTTTCATCATATTTTGGCAATACTTGGGGTTGAACTTGGGTCCTTGGGGTTGAACTTGAGCCTTGGCTTTCTAGTCAGGCACTCTACCAGTTGAGCCACACCCCCAGTCAATGTTTATATTTGTTAAACACATGATCTGTTAACATCTGTTGGACATCAATTTAATGTTCTTTACAGCTAGTAGTTGTAAAGTAAGATGTTGTGGAAGCAAAAAATGGCTCGCAGGTTCAGCCTCTTCATCTTTTCATTCCTATCATCTGACCTAGTGCTTGACACTTATCAATGTCTTGTAAATGTTTGTTGAACAGTTTGACTCTTTAAAGGATTTCTAAGATAACAATATTTCCTTTTGTGTTAAAAATCAAAATGCTCCTGAAAGATAGATGTAAGTGAAGTATATTTTATTGTTCAAATAAGGAAGTGTACTATCCTATTACTGCTACATTTTCCATTCACAGAAGAAAGAGCAAGAGAAATCCAGAGAAAAATCTAAGAACGTATTATCCTGTATTGTTTTCTGAAATGAGTCTGGATTCAATTACTATTACTATTATTCTGATGGGTTTCGGTTTTGGTTATCAGATCTGGCAAGGACAAGGTCATTGTGAAAATGAAAATTCACATCTAATAAAAAAAACTCTTTTAGCTCCATAAGGTATATTTTATAGGATTAAAAGACTTTTTTTTATTAGAGATTGTTGGGTTATGTTTATTTTTCCTTGTTTTCTCCCAGGTCTTGCTTTGAACTACATTTTTGAAAATAGCTTTAAACCAGAAGCAGGTTCAAGGACTGGAGTCTCCAAAATTGGCATTTTAATCACAGATGGAAAATCCCAAGATGATATTATTCCACCATCCAGAAATCTTCGTGAGTCTGGTGTAGAACTGTTTGCAATAGGTATGTGTACTTTATGGTCTGCTTCCCACTGTGTGCATAGACACACACTACTGAATGCAATGTGCAGTGGCAAGTGCCCTTCTGTGAAAGCCAGAGACCCGAGCACTTTCCAGTCATGGTTCTCATTGCCAGCCCTGTCATCTGAGCCCACCTTCCCTGCATTTAAAATGAGAGTGATGCTAATTATCACATACCTGACCATGTCAGGGTCTCTAGGTCTCTAATGATAGCAAATATAAAACATTTTGAAAAGCATGAAGTGACAGGCAAAGCTTGAGTTCGTGTTTACTGTTTAACTACTCAGGACTTTCTCTTTAGAATCACTTTATAGCTACTCTTTTCTAGTTGTAAGGGAAGGAACCAACTTATTTCAAGGAAGTAAAGTCCTGGAACTATTTAAAGAAAGCATGGAGTTCTAGATAATTAATATTATGATGTATAAAAGCTATCAATCTTGTGGAAAATTGTGCATATGACATATGTCCAGAATAACTACAAAATATTCACATGATGCAGCTTTGCTCTCGATTAAAATGTTTATTTTTTCTTTGGCAATAGGATGATCTTCTTTTTAGTAAAGAGCCACAAACTTTCTTAGCAGAAGAAAAGACTGATTTCCCCTTCCCTTGCACAAAAAAGCCTGGCTCCCAAGCAAATCAAATGCCAATTCAAATACAAATACAAATCAAAATGCCAATTCCTCACCAGCGAGCTAAGGCATTTCAAAATGGTTCTGATGAATGGTCCATTTCATTATGTCTTACATGTTGAATTATTCTGTTTGCTATCAATTTTTAGTCCAATTAAAATGCATTATCTCCTTGCATTTATCAAGAATATGGTGCAATCTCTTATTGATGAACTTTTTGTGAGATAGCTCTTCCATCAGAGGAGTGTACTTTCTACAGTTGAGTTACATGACAATCAGGAGAGACAATAGTGGGTGCAGTATAACAATACAGGTTTCAGGAAACTTTTCTAGTCCTACTAAATTGAAGTGTCCAGAGAAAGGGAGCCTGGTCATCTGTACTTTTAAAATGTACCCATATCTCTACTTTGAAAGCATTTTTCAGGGTTGAGAACTACTGGTAAATCCATTGGAGTATTCCTGTGTGGTGTGTTTCCTTCTCCTAAAGTTTCCATAGTCTTACATTTCATTTCATTAGAGCAGAGCTCTCATTAAGTCACTTTTTTCAGGGGCTTATTTCTTACTAGTGTCCAGCCAAGTACTGTCTGAGAGCAGCTGCAGAAGCTAAAGAATCTATGTTTCTTCTTCTGTTTCTATTTCTAATTCCTACAGCACCTCTAAACAGTGAGTCGATAGACGATGAGATGAGATTACATCTTCTTCGTCTCTTATTCCTATCATCTAATCTAGAGCTTGGCATTTAATAAGTGCCCAATAATGGTTTTGGAATGGTTGGTGCTCCAAAGGATTTCTAAGATAGTGTGTTACTGTTAGTAATAAGAATCAAAATGCTCATGAAGTATGTTATTTTTATTCAGGTAAGTGAGGGATATTATACCAATGCAATTGTGACTGTTACATTTATCATTCACAGAAGAAAGAGCAAAATAAATCTAGGGAAAATTAAGTGTGCATGTGTTCAAAGTTTGTCTTGGTAAATTATAAACTTATTATTTTGTATGCATGTGTGTTTGTGGAGGGAAAGATGGTTGTTCCATCTCAGTGGTACATAGGAAGCAGCTCATCCAGTTTGCAAGATCCAACTGGGCACATCTGATCATCTCTCTGCGTTTTGTGGCTTCACATTGATAGTTTGAAATAAATCACATTTAGGTATTTATACTACGGTAATTGGAAACACTGCAAATCAGGGCAGAAAGCTGACAGTTCAATATTTACCACATTCATGAGCACAGTTTTGGAATTTAAATGGGAAATAAGCTAAATGACTTTAACCATATGGCAAGTTCAGTCTTATAGATAAATTTGAAGCTTGTACTGGGAACTGATTCAAATTTGCTTGGCATGAACATTTATCTTCCTGAAGTTAAACAGTACATCTTTCAGAGCTAGCAATGAGAAAAAAAATTCCTTTGACCCATTCTTAGATTTGCCACTCAAAATGTGGGTTATAGAATGCTTTTCTCAATAAGTATTTGCTTATTTACTGTGCACCAGGCATTGTAGTGGGTGCTGGGGCACAAAAATGAGCAAAGGGAATCCTTACAAAACAAATTCCTTCGAAGTCATGATGACCATTTCCTTTCTTGTTCATGCACTTGGAACATTCAAGCTATTTTATGGAAGTAGAGAAAGAAAGAGAGAGATTGGGAGGGAGGTATGAAGAGGAGAAGACGGAGAAGAAGAGGAGGAGGAGAGATATTTGGGGCCATGTTTCTTAGAATAGTTTTATGAGTCCGAACTTGTCAGATTCAATTGAATAACATGGGAAACAAGTATTGTTTATAGCTTCTGCTCACACTCAATGTTATATTGGTTCAAATGTGCATTTAGTCAAGAAACATCAATGATATTTTTATCCCTTCATCCAATAAAAGAAATCCCTGTGGAAGAGTTAGACTAATGGGGGTTAGTTTATGTGTTTGCTCTCCATTTTCTGTTCTTGTTAAAATGAATGGAGGAGTTTTTAAACAAAACTTTAAGTGAATTCATCCAAACATGATTTGAACTTCTGTGGAAATTACCTGTAAATCAGCAGTGTTTATTATCTTATAACCTCCTAAAGCAAATAATTCAGGGACAACTAATGCTTTGTTACTCAATATGCTGAGATTGGAAGATAAATTAATTGGCACAGTCATGCTTCTAAGAAGTAATTCATTTTGCCCCAGGTCATCTTTCTTCTAAAGTATCTCCTTTAATACCCTCGGATGATTGAAATGACAGCTATTGACAAAGAAATCCTCCTTGCTTGCTGAAGCTTGGGGCAGAGAAATTCACCTTCAAATCCTTGAAATGTAACCTCCTATCTCAAGCTTTTTCTACCTCTAATTTTGTTCACTTGTTTAACACACCATCTTCTGAGAGGCAGTGTGATATAGTGGACTCCCAGCTGTATAGTTCCTAGCTTGTATCTTTGAGTAAGTTAACTAATGCTCTGTGTACATGTATTCAGCTGTAAAGTGGCAGGAACAACAGTGGCTGTGAGAGTTCAATGTGTTAATATTTGTGAAACACAGTAGGACAGAGCTTGGGTATAGTAAGCACAGTCAAGTGTTAGTATCTACTGCTCCATTGCCTGCTATATTCCAGACACTCAGCATTGTACCTAACCTCTGGTTTGGGGAGTTAATCAGTATTGTGGAAGGACTAGAACTTCCCTGTTTGTACCAGCAAAATTTCAGTGGCTACTAGACGGCAAATTGAGTATTTTTTTAAAAAGTTCCCCCAAGCTTTCTCTTTGACTTAGTTTTATATAATAATAATAATTTTAACAATATGTAATTTTTATTCTATAAATATTTCTCAATTTAAATAAGCTTATTTTACAGAAATTAAACCTGAAGCTTTAATAGTTTAGAATACTGGTTTAATTACTATCACTTCTGCAATATTCATACAAGGCTGAAGTTAGTTTCATTAAATCATTTTCCCATGAGGTAGTGTACTGAGGAAAATTAGTATTAATTATTTTAAAATGAGTCTAAAGTTGACTTTTAAAAAGCAATCCAAGGCTTTATGTGGTAGAACATGACTGTAATCCCTGCTACTCAAGAGGGGGAGATTGGGAGCATTTCTATTGGAGGCCAGCCTGGGCAGAAATCACAAGACCTATCTGAAAAAATAAAGCAAAAAAGGACTGGGGATGCATGGTCCAAGTGGTAGAGTGCCTGCCTAGCAAGCGTGAGACCCTGAGTTCAAACCCCCACTGCCAACCCATCCCCCCAAAGGAAGAAACAAAACCCTCCAACCACCCCCTATCTCAAACCCAAAACCAAACCAAACCCAAGCCTTGAAGCATGTCTTTTTAAAGCAGTAAATGCAAAGCTGCACAGACTGGTAATTAAACCCCTCTGGAGATGAGAGTCCTAAGTGCCAAAGTGTCAGGCACTGCACTTAGTATCTTTTCTTCAGCAATACATATTCTTCCTGTTACCTTTTCTTGCTAATATTCCTTGTACACACAAGCTGTTAGACTGAGTGCTACCCATTTTCTGTTATCTAGTACAGATTTAACTACATTTTTTAATTTCATTGATTTATTTCACATTCATGCTTATTATTTACTTTTTCTTTTGAGACAGACTTTCTGTATGTTGCCCAGGCTGACCTTGATCTCCTGGGCTCAAGTGACCTTCTTGCCTCAGCCTTCCGAGTAGCTGGGACTATAAACATGCATCATCATACACTTCTCATTCATGTATATATCTTTAAAATAAAAAACTATTATTCATTACAATAAACAGCCAAGTAGCGGATGCTTTGATTGTGGTGGAGACTGACTGGTCAGGTCTGGTCCACTCCAAATTGCTCTTTCCAATGAAGCATGGATGTCACCATCTTCCCTGTTGTCCTCAACAACAGGAGTGAAAAACGCAGACTTGAACGAGCTGCAGGAGATTGCCTCTGAGCCTGACAGCACTCACGTGTACAACGTTGCTGAGTTCGATCTGATGCACACGGTCGTGGAGAGCCTAACAAGGACTGTGTGCTCCAGGGTAGAAGAACAGGACAAGGAGATCAAAGGTAAGCACAGACTGCTACTGTGGACGTGGGTATCATGGTGCACAGAGGTCAAGTTTGGACTCATCCTTGTTTTCCATGTTCAATTGAATCATCTGAGTAGCAGGGGAGCAGCATATGGTCCGGCTTTGGGGGAAGGGAGGCTGCTTTGACCACTAGATGATTTTATTCTTAGTGTTACATGCGGACCATTGTGGCTTTGTTTCTTTATTATATTATAATAGTTGCACAGGGGGATACATTGCAATGTTTACATGTGTGCTTATGATATATCCTAGTTAGATTCACCCCCTCCATCATTCTCCCACATCCTCCCTCCTCTTTTCAACAGGTTTCATTCTTTTATTTTCATTTATGAATACAAAATACATTTACTATATTCACCCTTTCCTTCTGCCCTCCTCTCTCCCACTGATATCACCAGAAAAGGCCTATTTTACCCTCCTGTCCTTCATTTTGATAGAGTATATTGATAGTCCAAGGGGGCTTTGACTTGGCGCTTCAGACGTGTATATTGTACTTTAAACAAATTACCCCCCATTACTTACTCTTTCTCTATCACCTTGCTCCCTTATTATTCAACAGCTTACAGTACATTAAATTATATTATATTCATATGTAGATGGGATGTTTCAATGTTTTTCATTCTCTAACATTCTCTTACCTTCTCCCACCTCCCATAGTCCCCTCAGACTCAGACAGACTACAATCGAATTCAGACAGAAGTACAATCTTAATTCTCTCTCACTATATGTATGTGATCGTATATGTATTAGACCATCATGTCTTTACAATTAAACATTAATTTTGAGATTATTGTACATTCACATACATTATTGTAAGAAATAATACCTAGAGAGATCCTGGATTCTTTACCAGCTTCCCCCCACCTCCCAGTGTAACTCCTTGCAAAACTATAGCACACTATCCCCAGCAGGGTACGGGCATTGACACGGTCAGTATACAAAGTATTTTCATTGCAAAAATGCTCCCATTCCCATTTATAACTACCCTCACTTACATCCCTCTCCCACATCCTCTCTCTAAGCCCTGAAATCACTAATCTCCTCCATTTCTAACTTTTTTCATTTAAAAATATTACATAATGGAATTATGCAGAGTGTATCTTTTGGAGATCGGCTTTCTTCACGTAGAATGATTCTTCGGATTCATCTGATTGCTGCGTGTGTCAACAGCTCTTTCTTTTCATTGCCGTGTCATATTCCATGGATGTCCCATGATTCGTTTAACCATTTGCACATTGAAGGACATCTGGATTCTTTCCAGTTTTTGCTTACTGTGAATAAAGCTGCTGGGAAGATCCATGTATTCTTGTGTGGATGCAAGTTTTCATTTCTCTGGAATCTGCCCAGGAGTGCAATGGCTGGACCATATCCTGGTTTCAAGTCTAGTTTAGTTTGGCTTTCATTATGTAACTGCCAAACTACTTCCAGAGTAGCTGTAGCATTTTACATTCACACTAGAAATGGATAAGTGACCTAGTTTGTATTCATTGTTGCCAGCATTTGTTGTTATTACTTTTTAAAAATTTTTAGCCATTCTTATAAGTGTTGAGTGAATAAAACTATGGTTTTAATTTTTATTTCCCTCATGGCTAATGAATTTGAACATCTTTTCACATACTTTTTTTTCCCCATCTGATGTCTTCTGGTGAAATAGCTCTTGTCCTTTGTCCAGTTTCTGTTGAACATCTTTGTGTGTCAAGTATCAGGCATAATTATGTAAATTTGTCTCAGGGCTTCCTAGTGTGTTCCATCAGGTCTATCCTTCTTCAAATATCATAAGTCTTGATTTACTCTGGCTATAAAATGTCTCAAAATTGAGCAGACTTGAGTTCTCCTATTTTATTCTTTTCAAAAATTGTTTGTTCTCCTAGTTCCTTTACCTTTCCATTAAATAATGGGAATAATCTTATAATAATCCTTATTATAAAAAAACTTACAGAGATTTTGATAGGGAATGTATAAATTAATGATTAATTATCAAATATCAATTGCCAAATATCAACTTGGGCAAAGAATGATTTTTACTTTGCTAAGTCATCTGATCTATACCTCTCAATTTTTTGATAGTCATTGAATTCTTTCATCAGCATTTTATAGTTTTCAAGAATTATGTATACCATATACTTTTGCTATATACAAGTTTTGTTAGATTTAAATCTAAATATTTAGTTTTGAGGGATTTAGGTTTTATTTATAATTTCAGTGTCCAGTTTGTTCATTGCTTGTAAATAGAGATAATTTGACTTTGTATCATTGTCATGTATGCTATCATCTTCTGATTTGAGCTAGTTAAGCAGTTTAGGAGTTTTTCTTTTAGGGTTTTGGGGAGATTTGTCATATGTGGACATTAGATCAAGGGCAAACACAACAAGGGGATTGGACTATGAGCACATGATAAAAGCGAGAGCACACAAGGGAGGGGTGAGGATAGGTAAGACACCTAAAAAACTAGCTAGCATTTGTTGCCCTTAATGCAGAGAAACTAAAGCAGATACCTTAAAGCAACTGAGGCCAATAGGAAAAGGGGACCAGGAACTAGAGAAAAGGTTAGATCAAAAAGAATTAACCTAGAAGGTAACACACACACACAGGAAATGCCCTGTATAGCTATCCTTATCTCAACCATCAAAACCCCTTGTTCCTTCCTATTATTGCTTATACTCTCTCTACAACAAAATTAGAGATAAGGGCAAAATAGTTTCTGTTGTGTATTGAGGGAGGGGAGTGGGAGGGGGTGGAGTGGGTGGTAAGGGAGGGGGTGGGGGCAGGGGGGAGAAATGAACCAATCCTTGTATGCACATATGAATAATAAAAGAAAAATGAAAAAAAAAAAAGAAAATCTTATCTGAAAGTAGAGATAATTTAATTGCTTCCTTTTTGACCTCTGTAACCTTTTTCTTGCATTATTATATTTGCTATGATTTCCCATACTACAGTTGAATAAAATTATTGCAGATTACTGTATTTTCCTTAGGGAAAACTTTCGATTTTCAGGCAATTGATTCATTTAATTGAACATCTGGAATTTATGTAGATAGAAAATTCTTCATTATATTCTCTTATTTTGTTTTGATGACTATAGGGTCTATAGTAATATCCCCTGTTTCCTTCCTGATATTGGTTATGAAGTGTAGAAACATTTTCTAACTTATCACATCTGGGTGTCATATAATTGTCTCAATTATTTCTTTCTTCTATGTTTACAACCACATCAGAAATTTTATAATTCCTGCTTTGACTATCAAACATAATTTAGAAAACTTCAGAAAAGTAAAATATACTCCCCTTATTTTTATGCTTTCTGTCATTTTTCTTCCTTCTTGAGGACCTAGAATTCTTTCATTTTGAATCATTTTTCTTTCTGTTTAGAGAACTCCCTATAACCATTCTTATAGGATAGGTCTGTGGTGACAAATTCTCCTAAATTTCCTTCATCTGAGAATGTCTTGATTTTCCCTTCATTCCTGAAAGATGTTTTTGCTGATACAGAGTTCTGATTTGACAGTTCTTTTCTCTCAATACCTGAACAGTGCTATACCACTTCCTTCTGGTTTCCATGGTTTCTGGTTGGAAATCTGCCATTCAAATGTTTCTAGTTGAAAAAAAGATTAGTACTAAAACAAACAAACAAACAAACAAAACAAAAATCAAACCATATGTTTCTAGGTTGCCAGATTCTTTGTATGCATCTCTGGATAGAAAACTCACCATTGTAATATAATTTGAGTCCTACTGTTTCTCTCCCCAAGCTACCTACCTTTTTCTCTCTAATATCAGTATCTTTCTTATGCTTGTCTTGTATATAATTTCCAGAGTTTTTACCTGTACATAAAAGGAGGAATAGAAAAAAGTACATCTACTCTATTTTCTGGGAAACAAATTCATCATGAATGTTTAACCCTACCTCTCATAGTCCCTCCCCCTGTTTATAAGGATGTGATCTGGGGTGATGTGGTATCAAGGTCTTACTTTAAGAGTCTGGTTTTAGTTCCTTCATCTGTTGTATGTAGGATTGTGATATGGTTCTGTTTGCCTTGTGTCCTTCTCTCTTCCATCATTTCCCTTTCTCTGGACTTGAGCTCTTGGGGTGGGGTGAGCACCCAAACAGTAGGATCCTGAACAAATTTCCTTGGCTTTCACAATGACACTCCTTTATATCTTAGCTTTTCCCCACTATGCACACACACACACACACACAAATACCTGTACATGTGGTTGATGATAAAGCATGTAATACAGCTCCTTGCCACAGTTAACATTCCAAATTGTGGGCTTCCCCCATTATTGTGGCTATTAAAGTTCCTTTGGGTAAGTGCCCCTAAAGGTTGAGAACATAAAGACCAGATTTTACATGTCCCCAGTCTTTATAGAGTCATTTGTGTTAACATATACACTAGCACACACAAAATGTTTACATACTGTCTGACACAGAGTGAGCATTCAGCGTAGGTCAATTTCTCCTCCCTTCTTTTTTAAACAGATATTCGTCATTTGTTTAATTGAAGTCTTTTGTATAGAATCTATGTCCTTTGATGGTAAAAACACATGTCCTCCTGTTAAAAAGCTCACCACCAATCTCAATTCTGAGACTTAATACCTGTGAGACCTTGATCAAATTAATTAACTAAATTGTACCTTGTTTTTTTCATTTACAAAATATGAACAATCATAGTAACTGCCCAAAGTTAAATGAGGTAATACTTCTAAAGAGTTTGGAAGAGTACTTTTAGGTACTCAATTAATGATTGTTTTTATTTTTCATTAACAGTGTCTTTAAGAAAGCTCCTGGGAGTATCCACAGAACCTAGCATAGTGGGCAGTGTCTAATGGACACTAAAATGCTTGAATGAACAAAAGCAGTATCTGAATCAACATATCTAGAATCAGCATAGAATTAATAGCAATTTCTTTAAAAATTTTTCATTAGTGTATATTAATTATACAAAATAAGGGGTTTTTTCTTAGCATGCTATTTTATTTTATTTTTAATAAGTTTTTATTAGGATATATTCATTATATGGGGGGTTTGTACTGAAAATTCCAATTAGACTTATATTGTACATTATTTATACTGCCCCCATCGTCTCTCCCTCTCAGCCTCCTCCACACCCCATTTAAAGCAATTACAAGAGGTTTCTTAGTTCTATATCATATAGGTATATGAAGTCCATCTACCATATACTGTCATCTTAATCTCCTTCCTTCATCCACCCCTCTCCCACTGGTATACCCCCCACACACTGTACCTATTTTATAGTTCTGGTTTTCATTATTAATATTTAAGTTGATGTTCAAAGGGATGTCTCAATGTATGACCACTGTGGCTGTGCTTTACGTTGGTCCGTTCAACCTCTTTCATTACTCTCCCTTACCCCTTTACCTCCCAACCACACATTTTTCAACACAAATCCTTATATTCTCTACCTTCACATCTTATGTTATGCGCTATACTGATGCTTTATCATTCTCTTTTCTTTTTCCTCTTTCCCCAAGTTCCATAGAGTTGCAAACTGTTACAAACATGTTCTACATCTGAGTTTGTATACGATCACGATTGTTTTTGTGTATATGTATCTTTGTATCTATCTTCCACATATGAGAGAAAACATGTGGCTTTTGTATTTTTGATCCTGGCTTACTTCACTTAACATGATGTCTTCCAATTGCATCCATTTACCTTCAAACACATGTAGGATTCCTTATGGCTGAGTAGTACTCCATTGTGTATATATACCACAATTTCTTCATCCATTCATCAGTTGTAGGGCATCTGGCTTGTTTCCAAAGTTTGGCTATTGTAAACAGTGCTGTGATGGACATCGGGATACAGGTGTTTCTACTGTATCCTGTCTTATGTTCTTTGGGTAGATGCCCAGGAGTGGTATCAGTGGATCATATGGCAGTTCTATCTCTAGTTTTTTGAGGAATTTCCTTACTGCTTTCCATAGTGGTTGAACTAATTTGCATTCCCACCAGCAGTGTATAAGGGCTCCTGTTTCACCACATCCTCATCAGCATTTGTTGCTGTTATTACACTTGATTATGGCCATTCTAATTGGGGTGAGATGAAATCTAAGTGTTGTTTTGATTTGCATCTCTTTTATAACCAGGGAAGTTGAACACTTCTTCATGTATTTACTGACCATTTGTACCTCTTCCTTTGAGAATTCCCTGTTTAATTCATGTGCCTGTTTCTTCATTGGGATGTTGATTCTTTGGGGGCTGAGTTTTTTTAATTCCCTATAGATTCTGTATAAAAATAAGGGTTTCATTATGATATTTCCATACTTGATATAATGTATTGATCATATTCACCTTCTTAATTACCCTTTTTTATCCTTCCTTTCCTAACCCTCTTTTTGTTCTTCCAGTCTCTATTATCAGTAGTCATTTCCCACTTGTGGAATTTTTAGGTTTATAGGAATAACTTTGGGAAAGACGTTAATTTGACTTATCTTTAAAATTTAGCCTCAGCCCTTGCCACCATTGGGCCACCTACAGAGTTGATTACTTCTGAAGTCACTGCAAGAAGCTTTATGGTTAACTGGACTCATGCCCCAGGAAGAGCGGAAAAATACAGAGTTGTGTATTATCCTACCCGAGGTGGAAAACCAGAGGAGGTAATAAAGAGACAATCTTTTCAAGGTGGAAATGTATATATAGGAGACTATTTTTCCACAAATATTGTAAATAATTCAACTGAAATTCATTTCTAAACATGTTTATTATTATTCTGTCTCTTTGAGTTATGGTATTTGCATATTGTCTCATTCCTCCATCAAACAACTCTCAGAACTGGTTAGCTACATATTTCTGACTTATATTTCTTAAAATTAGGAGTCCTGAAACAAAAGATATCAGTAGCTAATTATCTGGCCATTTCACCTTTTGATTTTCATTCATCTTTTTCTACTTGGGAGTTGTCTGAGATTTCTGCACTAGTGGAGACAGTATTCCAAATTATGTGCTGACTTAATGGACTAGTCCCCCAGGGTTTAGAATTTCATGATCTTTGTAGAGATCAGCACAACTTAAAAGCTATAATAAAGTAGCTGTGGCCAGAAGTTTTCACAGTTTGACCATTGCAGAAGAGAATAACTATTGCCAAATGACTGGATCCTTCCCATTCCCTACCTCTGATAATGGCTTTTCACAGGAAATAAATGACATGATGAAATCCCCATTTCCTTTTGTTGTTCTAACCTCTGATTGACCTCAGTATGTTTCACAATTTTCTTCTGTACCATGGCAGGATTTGTGAATTTCTTTCAAGTGTAAGAGAAATTGATGATGGGGTTTTAAATCATGTGGACCAAAGGGAAATAAATCAGAGTACTTCCACTGATTCTGCCTTTTACATGACTAATAAACCTTTCAAATGTTTCCCAAAGTTCCATGGAAAAATTGTGTCCACTGTTTCTAAGTGGATGTGAATAGGATAATAATTAGCCCAGGAATGATACAATTTCCATTAGATATAGATTAATAAATGACTTTGATCACATTCCATAAAAAGTGCATCACTTTCTGCAGGAATTCAAAGACAGTCGACTGCCCCAATAGAAATAAGGATGTGGCATGAATAATAAAATATTTAATGAAATGTTACTGCTGGAAATACTTTTGTTTTTTGGTCTCAATTCTGCATGTGAGATATCATGGTCTTATTCCTCAAACAGGTGGTGGTAGATGGAAGCATATCTTCCATCGTGTTGAAAAACTTGATGTCTTTAACTGAATACCAAATAGCAGTCTTTGCAATATATGCCCACACTGCTAGTGAAGGCCTGCGGGGAACTGAAACCACACGTATGTATTTAATTCTACACCATTTCTAACTGGTACAGCACTGCTTAGGCAGCCGTTCCTGACCTGGTCTGTTTAGGATTCATTGACATCATAGATCAAATTCACAGGAAGTAGTTGTCATGCAATATGTGGTTAGAAAAGCAGGAAGGGTCACATTATGGTCTAGAATTATACTTGAAAAAGCCATGTTTCATCTTTCTCATTGGCAATGTTTAAGCCAGGAACTTGCAATTTATCCTAATCCCTTTATCCCTAAGCTTCATGTTTGTAGCTGCCACATTTTGAAGTGGATATTATAAATGTGTGGTGTGGTTAGGAGAGAGCAACCTTGGTAATGAAGAGCACAAATTCATTCATTCATCTATTAAACAAAATTTTAGTAATTGCCTATTTTGAACCAAGAACTGTGCCCAGATCTGTCAGTAGAAAAGAAGGTACATTGTGAATCTTCTGCCCATTAGAAAATCAAGGAAATTATGCTACATCTCCCTTCATAATTTATCTCATAGTAATTAAAACAAGCCTCTGAATATTTCCAAGGCATGATCATGATAACACATCATACGAGATAATCTTAAGATCTGCCATTCTTTTATTCATTTCAAACAGTGAATTTCTATTACACTACTAGGCACTATGCAAAATTTGTCTAAGAAATCTGCTTCTGATAGAATAATAAGAACATAAGCAGCACTAAGAACAATGTGCCAGGCACTGTGGTTATTATTCTCCATACTTTATTGGAGTTAAGTCTGACAATGCCCCTATTTTGCAGAAATATCTTAGTGACCATCCTTACTCTCAGGGATGTTTTGATCTAGTCAGGGGTGGGGATGCAAACCAGGCACATGCGACCACATTAGTATCATGAAGTGCTGTAGGCACTCAAAAAAAAGTGGGCACAGAAAGCTGTGAGTATAAGTTCTGAGCTTGACGATGTGGTTAGAAAAGCAGGAAGGGTCACATTTTTGACTAAAATTATACTTGAAAAAGCCATGTTTCATGTTTTTCACTGGCAATGTTTCAGCCAGGAACTTGCAATTTATCCTAATCCCTTTATCCCTATGCCTCAAATATGACCAGTCTGACTTCTTGATTCTATTTTTTCTTGAGTGTACTTATAAATGACTGAATATTAAAAAGAATATCCCTTGCAGTTGCTTTGCCTATGGCTTCTGAACTTGAACTATATGATGTGACTGAGAATAGTCTGCGTGTCAAATGGGATGCAGTGCCTGGGGCCACAGGATACCTGATCCTCTATGCTCCTCTCACAGAGGGTCTGGCTGGAGATGAAAAAGAGGTAAAACCCACTATCACCTACAGTCCTGGAGTCTGACTTTGTTAAGATAATTTTTTACTGTAAAAATTGAATATATAAAAATTAGATACATTTGATTGGCAAAAAGAAAAACTATCACTTGAAATTCTAGACCTAGAGATAACCATTATTAACATTTAGTTATGTCTTTTTCAATTCATTTTAATACGACAAATAAAAATGTTTTTGTATCCTGCATTTCCATTTCATTAATTGTAAATATGTTGCACTGCCATTAAAGAATATTTTACACAGTCATCATATTCCACTATTAGTACAGATTGTGTTTAATTAATTCCATGTCTTTAGACATAGAAAGGGCTTGTTATCTTATTAGCCATTCTTAACATTCTTACATATGTCCTTGTATGATTATCCAATTATCTCCTTAGGATAAATTACCAGAAATAGAGTTTATTTTTCAAAGATTATGTGAATTATTAAGGGTTGTACTAGACATTATTAGATTGCTCTAGAGAATGTTAACATAATTTATTTTATCATATGCAGTTCATAAGTGACTTTTCAACCGTGTACATAGAATTAAATTTTGTTCTTACTAATTTGAGAGATAAACAAATATATTTCGTTGATATGAATTTTTTGCATTTATTATTCTACTTTAAATTATGAATATTTTACATTCAAATTACTTCAGTCATTTTTGACTTACAGAGACAATTGCTATAATGCAGACATTCAAGGGACAAAGAGGAAGTTTTCTGCCACTCAGAAGTGCCTTGACTTCTGAAGTGGATGAGAAAGGCAGTTTGGAACTTGGTTCTCTAAGATTGTTCAAAACCTGCTTTTGATAACTGAAATCATTAGAGTAAAAAAAATAGTGAATCTTCATATCAAAACCATAGTATTGATTGTGACATGTGCTCTCTTAATTCCAAGGTTTAGACAACTTTTTCTTACTTGTATTTAAAATTTATTTGAATTATGTTGGCAGAAGGAAGACTTAAAATTAGTGCTGGAAAATGCTCAGCCTCACTAGAAAAGAGAAAAATGCACATTAAAGGAACACTAGTTCATAGCCAGCAGATTGGCAAAACCTTTTTGAAGTCTGATAATATATGTAGTGAGCACTTGGGAAAACAATCACTTCCTAGTGCTAAAGGCATGGAAATTGATACAGTGACCTTGGAGAAAATTTTGATATATTTCCTCATGTTGAAGCTATGTCTACTTTAATGATACATATTATAGGGAAGCATCTTGCAAGAATTCTCAATGCCAATGCTTGATTGGAACAGAACATTGCAAAAAAATACAACATGTTCATCAAGAGAGGACTGGAAAATAATGAAGTATTTACAAAAAAGAATACCAAAGAAGAATTAGTAATGTCAACTCTGTCCCTGCGTATCAGCACAGATAAATCTTGAAACATAATATTGACAGAGGCAAAAAACTAACAGCAAGAAGAATATGCTGATATGGTCCCATTTATGTATATTATTACACACTACAGGACACTACATTGTGAACAGATGTGCACTTATAAGTACTGAAGTAAAAAATGGAGCAATAAGATATACACCAATATGAGAGCAGAGATGGTGAACAGAAAGAAAGAAAAAAACTGCTGTCTTATCTAAATATATTAGTTCTTTCTAAAATAAGATCTGAAGTCTATGTGACAAGATGTTGATATTTGGTAAATTTGAGCAATGCATATCAGGTGCATTATTTTCTATACCTTTATCTAATACATTGTGATAGCTCAAAATTTTTAAATGTAACTTGAAAATAACACTTGCAGCCATGTGACAAGAAGACTGTTTATGGAGTTGTTTTTTCCCATGATTCCAAAATATAAAACTATCCTGTCAGAGTTGGCACTCAATTGTCACACCTCTGATATCATTGGTTTCTTTGACCAGTTTCAAAGATTAGAAATGTTGTCCCAGAATCAAAAAGCAAATTCCCTGAGTGTCAGAATGGGCTTATCTCCTGCGGATAATTCAACCAGAAAGGCCTCCTTGTCAAATGGAGTGGCAAAATTGGCTCAGCTCAATCAAGCTTGAAGCAAAAACTGGGCATCCAGCCAGAGGATTGGTTAGAATTAGCAAGTAATGACAGATGCCTGCTTTGGCCCTGCTTCCACCGCGCTAGCCTGAGGCTCACATCTCTAGAGAGTATTTCTGATTTAATTCCTTCCCCACTCCTCTGGGACCAGACACTTAACATTGTTGGTCTGGCTGTAGTTGCCACCTGTCCACATGTAAAGTGCTGTCCCAACACAGCATGCACAGGAAATCCACTTTTATATGGTTCCATATTATCTGATCCTAATATAAAACAGTACATGACAATTAAAATTATGACTGAAGCCCATTTGATGAAGGGTTTGTGAGGAGACTCAAAGTGTTCCACAGAAATCTCTCCTTTATTCAACTCCACTGTGATCAACAGGACTAATACAAATTGGCAATGAGCTAATTCTGTGTGTTGTTTTCAGATGAAAATTGGAGAGACACATACTAACATTGAGTTGACTGGATTGTTCCCCAATACTGAATACACAGTCACCGTGTATGCCATGTTTGGAGAAGAGGCCAGTGATCCTGTGACAGGACAAGAAACAACATGTGAGCAAGACTGTCATTCAAATGAAATGTAATAAAAATCCAAATGAATGTTGGGACTTGGAAATACCCATTTAGTCTGAAACCCCGTAAGAGGTCATTGCAACACAGGAAAATGTATACTTTCCTCAAGGGAAGGAAATATATTTTGTCTATGTTGTATTATAAGTGATATGGATGCAATAGCTGAACTTCAGCACCCTCCAGGTAGTTCCACCTATGTCTTTGTCTCAATCCAAATGCTAGATCAGAGTAGAAGGGGACTCAGGAAGGGCTGTGGAATCATAGTGGCCGAGATAGGAGTCTCAGCTCAGGTGATACTTTAGCTGAGGTTGGGTGATAATGGCCAAATGTTGTAACTTCTCTTAAGTGTAAAAGGAGGAACAATGTCTTACAGCATGTGTTTGATATGAGAGTAAATACAGTAGTTCATGTGAAAGCACTTAGCCCATAATAATCCATATTTGCTTCCCACTCATCAAAATTAACACACCTTGTTCTAAAAATCGTTGCTATTTGTCTCATATGAGTGTTTGTTTTTTTAATCAACCAAATTGACAAGACCAGTTTTTACTTTTTTCGTGTGGTGTTGGGGAATAAATGCAGGGCCTCACGTGCTAGGTAAGCATTCTGCCATTGTCTACATCCTTGGCCTTAAGACTAATTTTGGTTAAGTGTAGGGAATTCATAATATTTTAAAGAAATGCTTACATTTATTTACTTTTAAATATAAGAGATAAACTACTATGATAGCATACAAATAAGGCCTCCCATAAACTATTAAAAATATGGCTCATTCATGATATTTTGAAACATAATCAAATACAGGTTGCCTTGGGGACTTGCCCACCCCACTCAGCCTTGGAAAGAGATGAATAACATAAATTCTACAATGCCTTTGTCTTTAAGATTTTACTGAGGAAAACATAATAGAAGTAAGGAAAGAAGTTTTCCTACATCCATTCTTTGTTAGATGGGGCTGTGTTCTTGTTTGTCAGAAAAAGGCAGATGAAATTAAAACAGCAAACAAACAAAACTGGAGGGATGGGGGCAAGGTAGGTAGAAGGAGCAAACAAATGAATCATACCAGAAAGTGTCTAATATATGACCTGACTTGAGTGAATTTTGGGATGCTGTCTATTTGAAAGAAAAACTATTCCCAACTACCTGTCATTCACAATGCTCATTAGCTTATATGTTTAAAAATGTGTACAGCTCTTTCCCATGATTAGCAGTTGATTAGGAAAAAGGGAGAAATCCTACAAAAAAATATTTCTAAGACTGGCATTTTATGGGAACTGCCACACTGCCAAATATAATTGAATTCCAGAAAAATGTAGAGCTAAGTGTGTCGAATACAATTGCTTTTCTCTTTCCTGATTTTTCTCTCTAGCTCTGTAAGTATCAAAAGGGTCAGGAACTCCTGTAAGGTCTTTATTGTGAAACAATCAGTATATATTGAGTTAATGAAAAAATTGGCTTTTGGAGTTATTTGCTTTGGAAACATAGTCCTTCTGCTATGGCTGATAATTGTCATAATTTGTCTTCAAGGTTTTTACTCTGTTGGCCCTAGCAGCACTATTTGAGACTTTGGGCTGTGAGTATATGTGTATGGGGGGCAGGGAGAGAAGAAATTAGCATTCCGGTAAACATTGCTACCTCTGGAATCAATTACCTGAGTTAAATGCTGATTGCTCTTGTACTTCCAGTAAATGTGACCTTAACAAAGTTACCTCAATTTTGTCATCATTAGAATGGGGATAATTGCAACTATATTCTTGAAGTCTAACATTAGGATTTAAGAAGATAACAAAGCTATGTGTCAAACTCACAGAAAGCACTCGATAAATGCTAACGATTTTGCTACTATAAATATGTAAAAGGTCATGAAACTCAAAAATGATGGGCAGTTTTAATCTATTGAATCAGAAGGGAATCTTTAAAGAAGTTAAAGTAGCTGTGGAACTTACAGCCATAAGATTCTGCAGAAATACCAATACCTCATTAAATAATTTCAGAGCAATAGCAGAGTGTTTATTGTTTTTAGTCTTTAATCACAACCACTGTGGTTTATCCAGAGCAGACAATTACCCATTGATTCCCTAAATATTTATTGAGTATTTGCTATCTTTATGTTAGAGTTGGGAACAAAATTAAACCATATTCTCCAATCCCCTGAGATTACAAAACATTGAGGGGGAGTAAACAGTAAACAAAAAATGTGCAGTGAAAAAAAAATAAAGCAGGAAAGGGGCTATTTAGTGTTGGGGTGGAAGTTATTTGACATGAAATGATCATAGAAAGCCTCATCAAGAGGATGGCATACGTTCAGAAACCTGAAAGAGGTGAGGACAACAGTCAGGCAGATATGTAGGAGAAGAGTCTTGTAGGCAAAGGGGACAGAAAATGTGGTGACTTGTGTGTGAGCATGTCTGGAGGTTCCAGCATCGGAAAGGTGACAATGAATGTCATGAGACAGTGTAGAGATGGGGCAGCAAGATGGCACAGGGCCAGTTATGTAGAATCCTTATGGTTGCTGTAAAAACTAAAGGAGTTGGGAGCCATTGAACACTTTGGTGCAGAGTAGCAAACTGATCTGGCAGAGGTTTTTAAAGGAGCACTTTGGCTGCTCACTTAAGAATAGCTATAAGGGAAGGGGAAATGGAAGCAGGGGGAGAAGTTGAGAGACCATGGAAAAATCAAAGCCGGTAAGAGAACAGCCAAGTTGGTAGCAGAGGGAGTGCAGAGAAGTGGTCAAATTCTGGGTAAACACTGAAAGAATTGCTGATGGATTCCAAGTAGGTTGTGAGATAAAAAGGAATTCAGGATGACTCCAAGGTTTTTATACTGAATGACAGGAAGCATAGGGTTTCTGTTTGTTCAGAGGAAAAGACTAAGGGAGGGGCAATGAAGCAGGAGTTAGTGGTCCAGTTCTTTAACAGGTTGGTTGGAAATGCCTGATAGACTCACATGGACATGGTTACATGGCATCTTTCTCATTTTACACGTGGGAAATTGTATAGCTGAGAAGTAAAGAGGCTTTGCCAGAGTCACATGATCGTCAGACAGGATAGTTGAGACGTAATTTCAGGTGTCTTTGTTTTTGATCCATTAGATTTCCCATTTACATCAAATTATAGGGATAATACTGAACAGAGACAAGAAAGGCATAGAAAATTGCTTAAATCTTACTTATTTCTAAGCACGTAAAACTTAATTACTGCAATTCTTTCTCTAAGGAAAGCATTTTCTTTGTCCATCACAAATCATTGTTGATTTTATGAGATAATTCATTGGTTATTTCCAAAGTATACATTATTACCTAGGTAACATTTTTCACATGAAATAGATCAGAATTCAAAGATGCTGTTTCTTGTCTTTTTTTACATGTATGTTATTAACATTTTAATTGTGTCCTATTCCATTTACTTTCTAGTACCTTTAACTCCACCAAGAAATCTGAGAATCTCCAATGTTGGCTCTAACAGTGCTCGATTAACCTGGGACCCAACATCAAGAAAGATCAGTGGTTACCGAATTGTTTATACCAGTGCAGATGGCACTGAAATCAATGAGGTAAGTCATGGAACATGACATATGTTTTTCAGGTTGTTGTGGATTTATTATTTATGCCTGCATAACCAACGTCTAGTGCCTTAAACAAACCTAATGATTTATTTTTCTCTCATGGTTTCTGTGGGCCAGGGGTTGGGGCTTGTCTGTGCAGTTCTGGCTGGGGTCACACATAAAGTTATAGCCAGATAGTGGCTGGAGCTGGCATCAACTCAATTGCTCCACACTCACATGTCTGGTATGTGATCTGGGAAGACTGGATCAGCTGGCAACTGGAACAGTCCTCTATCTCTCTAAGTAGACCCTTCATATGAGGCCTCCAATATGCAGCTTCAGGAGAGGGCTCAGGAATCACATGACATGTGATCAAAGGGAGAGAGCTAGTGCCCAGTTGAAGCTGTATTCCTTTAATGACCTAGATTCACAAGGTGTTTGGTATCACCTCTACCATTTTCCATTGGTAGAGATGTCATAAGACACTGCCTGGATTCAATGTCTGGAGAAACATAGACTCCACCTACTGTGGGGGCACATCAGTCACATAAGATGAGCAGGTAAGATGGAAGATTCACATTAATGCAGGCATCTTTGCAAGGTCAATCTATTATTCCAGATGGGGGTTGGGAAGAGTGCATATCTTTATAGAGGTATCAAACTAAAAATAAAGTCAGGGTCATCCGGTTTATCCCTATACTTTTAAGTAAAGTGGCACCTAAAAGACTCGTAAAGAGCCTAACTCTAAAAAATAATTCAACTTTTGGGTAGGAAACTACTTCCAAATAATGGAACTTCAAATTTCACGAAGATACAGTATCTTGCATGCAGTGACTAATACTTTCAGAAATTCTTTCTTTAGAACTATGTTTTAACAGAATAGCAAGATTACTTTTGTTTTATTTTTCCTTATTTTGGTCCAGGAAGCTAAGACAAAGAGAAAAAATATGTTGGATTACATCATTTCTATTTTCTGACCAAATAAAGCAAGCATTTTTGTACGTACAGACAAACTTTTTCCTTCAATTAAACCCATTCACTATTTTTCAGAATGCACTCTCATAAGGACATTGTGTAATAGATGGCCAATAAATGCACATTTGAAATCTACAGAAATACTATTCAATACCTTTCATAAATACAGATGATAAATGATTCAGACAAGTCTGGGGTCATTGGAACTAATTACTTGTTTTTTGAAGAGAAGTCTGGAATAGTAAAAAGACTGAAATAAAACCCACGACTTATAGGTGTCTCTTTGTCACCAGAAGTAAATCAACTACTTTCTCAAGAGTTGGAAACTTAGCTGTGTAAGATCAGGCAGATAATAGAAATGAGTGACACATGTTACTATATGTATGGGAATAGACATACGTGCAAAGAAATACACTCTCACCCCTTTTTCTTAAAACAAGAGGCTAATTTAGGCTATAATTTGTATTCCCATTTTGGAGACATGGATGTAGAAGAAATTATCTACTACAAGAAAGAAAACAACTCAAGACCGACAAATGACATTGGACAATGGACTTCAGTGACAGGGACACTAGGTGAAGTAGGGACTAATGGGATGGACAGCTTGAGCCCATGCAACATGCAGCCAGTCCCAGCTCTGCTCCATAGAGATCCAGGTGGGGCTGTAAGATCATAGGATTTTTGGAGATATAACAGAGATTTCTATTTTTCTTTGAAACTTATCAATTAATGATTGAACAACTAAATTAATGCAACAACTAAGTATTTGTTCATTGTGGGGCATCTGTTTTTGGTAACAACTTTTAATAAAACAAGAAGATACTTTAGTATATGTAGCAGTTATATTTAAGATTTAATTATATGATAAAAAGATTAATTGTTGTCTTTGTCCATCTATATTGGTATAGAAAATTACCCTTGGCTGAGTAACTTATAAAAGAAATTTATCATTCACAGTTCTGGACACTGGGAAGTGCAAAACCAAGGTACTAGTAGATTCAGTGTCTGGTAAGGGCATATTCTCATAGTTGACATCTTCTAGCTTTGTACTCACATGGTGGAAGAAGCGGACAAACTCCCATTTCCTCTCTTATAAAGGGTGCTAATTCCTCATGACCTAATCACCTTCCAAAAGCCTCAACTCTTAATATTTTTGCATTGGACATTAGGTAGTATTAAATAAATTTGAGTGTGTGGGAGACACAAACATTCTGACTCTAGTAGCCATTATGGCCTCTTCTTGTATTCTATGCTATTTGCCTTCGCAAAGAATGCCCTGAGCTAACATTTGTTGAGAATACATGTGTTGCTTAGGGATGTCTTCGACAGTTGCTGTTTCTGATTTGGATTATTGTGAGAAATTAGAAAGCAATGTTTTGTAAAACTTGATTTAAAATATGAGTAAATGGGCTGTGAATAAAGATCTGAGATGTTTCATTTGACTAAAATGCATAAATAATGCATGCCATTTTAAACATCTATTTTGATGAGTGTGTGTTTTCTTCCTTTTTTTTTTTTTTTGGGTGGTACTGGGGTTTGAACTCAGGGCCTCATGCTTGCTAGGCAGATGCTCTACCACTTGAGCCACTCGGCCAGCCTATGTTTTCTTATTTCTTAATTCTTAGCCGAGCAGTTGAGATTTGAGACTGCAGAAAAAAGTGTCTTTTACTGAAATAAAGTTTTGGAATATATGGTTTTTAAGGGCAAATATTCCTACCAGATTTTCTTTAACTTCTATGAATTTAAGCTTCTATGCACTGATAGGGCAGCAATTGGGTTTTTAGGAAATATCCCAAAACATTCTGGAATAAACTTCAGAATGTCCTAAATAAAATGTACTTTGCAGGTAACATTTAATTGATCATACTTTATAGGCAATTATTATTTCTCTATTTCACTTCCTTTTCCTCTCACTTTTCCTACCTCACTTTCTCTTCCTTCTACCTTCCTTCCTTTACTTCTTCTCTCTGTTTCTTTTCTACATTACCTCTTTTCCCAACTTTTTGGAGATCAAAGAAGAAAAGTAAAACATGGCCCATAAACTAATAGCAGCGGATGATGATGGTGGTGATTGTGATTATGATAATGACAGCTGGTATTTCTTGATTGTTTACCATGAGCCAGGCACTGTCTGTATGTTCTATAGAGAGAATTTTGTGTGACCTTTATAAAAATGCTAATGAAGCATGACTTGTCAAACTAAGGACAGATGCATCTCAGTATTTCTGATGAAAGGATTCAGGAAGCATACAAACATGGTGGAGAATTAAGTGCTACCATTTGAGTTTTATAAATGCAATGGTGACAGTTTCTACACTCTGAGGGCCCAGTTCCCAACGTTGATGACTCAGCAGCACAGCCCAGAGTAAAGCCCAAATCCCTCATTCCTCACCCAAGACTCTTTCTTCATCCCTCCCCAAATTAAGCTGAAGTTAAGCTTTTAACTAGTCTGTTCATAAAATTATTTTTTTAAAATAGCTGCAAAACAGTGAGATCATGGTCGTTTGTTAACATATCTCAAAATTCTTGTACATGTTAAAAGTTCTACCCACCAAATCAGTTCCAGAACTACTAGTTTAAAAATATCATAACTAATGGAAATAAATGATACCTAAAGGTTTGTATTTGCTGAACTAAAATAACCAATGTTGAAGGTATACAAAATATAGTCTGTTCAGTCTCAAATAAAAGGTTTTAATGAATAAGCTAGATTCTTTTGAACAGATACACATGCTCCACGCTAGAGTAAACATTAGGTGCTGAGGATTAGCCAGACTGTTACCAATCACTGGTTCAGAAGAAAATCAAACATATTCCCATACAGTATTGCTGTGCAACACAAAAACAGCAGCCCACTATTATGCAAGGTGGGCAGAGTGAACTGGGACTACCTTGTCGTGTCAGCTGAGGCGACTCTTGCATCCCTGTAGGAGTTTGGCTAGGCTGGAACTGACAGATGACTTCACTCCTGGCTGGTATCTCAGCTGGGTGGCTGAGAAAGCTGAGGTCAGCTGTCCCTTCCCTGCACAGTGGCTGAGGGGTACAGTATGGTAAAATGGAAGCTCCTCTCTCAAGGTGGTACTTTTTTTTTGACCTACAGTTGATTCCTTAGTGATAAACATGGTTTCTTGTAGTTTAGAGAAAACTATTCTTATCTCTTTTAAACAGGCATCTTCATTTTCATTACTTATTCCATCCACTCAAATTTAAAGAAAACTAAACAAGTTCCTGTCCTCAAGGAATTCACCTGTATCCAGGAGGCAGACAGTAAACAAGTGAAGAAATAAAATAATCTCAGATGTGATTAGTGCCAGGGAGGAGACAACAAGCACAATGTTATGTTAGAGAAAATGACCCAAAAGGAAACCCCCTCTGAGGAGGTCATATTAAAGCACAATCATGATAGATGAAGAACACCTAATTTTGAAAAGAGCTAATAGGGTCATAGACAAAATGAATTGCATATGCAAAGACCTTGAAGTAGAAAAGGTGAGGACATGACAGAGGCTAATGTGTTTGGAGACCAGAAGGCCATTAGGAGTATGACAAAAAGAAGGGGTGCTTTCCCAGAATATATGAGGCCTAGAGGATATCTTGGGGTGCTTGGTTTTGATTTGGAGGGCAATAGAGAGGCAATTAAGGGTTAAGTAGGGAAAGATGAGTCAGTTACCTTCCTTTAACCTCAGATAGCATCAAAATTAGTCATTGATAGTATTTTAGATAAGAGATCTTATTGTATTCCTTCAAACTGTCTCATGAAAACATTTTAAGTGGCACCAAATATGGCAGAACCTACTTTCAGGTACACATGGCCATTTCTTCAATTATCTAGAATGTCACTAGAGCTAAGACATCTCATTTTAAGTTGTTATAAGTTTTTGTTGGAATTAAGTGAGAAAGTCTGTAAAGCAGTTAGGTGTGGCACATCCATGGTCTACAATATGCTCCCTGAACCAGGCAGCTCAGCAGCTCCACACTGACCTATTAATGAAAAAGCTGTGTCCATTCTTCCTCTTTCGCTGACCTTGAGGGTCACTGGGATCAGGGCTCTGTCTTCTAGGTCCTACTCTCTTTTCCCCTCACTTTGTTTTCTTTCCTCAAGGTCTGTTTTTAGTTATCAAGTTCTTTTTGCTCACCTTCCCTTTTCGTATAACCTTATGTCTTCAGGACATCATCCCTATGACATCTTGAGGAGGGCAGTATATACTTTCCCTAAATATGCCTTTCTGTGAACGATAAAGGAATTTTCAAATATTTCCCAGTTCCTTTATGACTAACATCCCCAAATCCTCCTCTGCATGGTTGTTGTGTAACACTCAGTCATGGAGCCAGCAGAGCCCAGGCTGTGAAGCCAAAAACTGTCTGCCCGGTAGATCTGGCTGGAAACATTCTATATATTTACACCATCCTCTTCAGTATGCACTTTGTGAATGGAAATAACATTGGGCACAATAATAAATCGATTCCTATATTTTTAGAATATTGGAAATAGCTACTATGCCTATTCTCTTTTGCAGGTTGAAGTTGATCCCATTACTACGTTCCCTCTGAAAGGCTTGACGCCCCTAACGGAATATTCTATTGCAATTTTCTCCCTCTATGACGAGGGCCAGTCTTTGCCTCTGGTTGGAGTTCTTACCACGGGTAAGCCTTGTTATGGTTTGAAAACTTTTCAAAAGTAACTGTATAGCAACCAAAACCTGGAATAGTACCTTCATTGTGATTTTGAAGTGATCGAATATCAACATTTAAAATATTATTAATCAGTGAGCAATTAGATATCTAGTATATGTACTGAGTTATTCTCTATCAATGCAGGGAAAAAGAGAAAAGATTAAATTCAAAAGGGATGTTTTTGAAAAGTGTGCATTGTTCTCATTCTAATGACACACCTTTTATTCCTTGTTATAAAAATTTTTTATTCATGTATGTTTGTATTAAGTTGAATTCTCCAAGTTACTGACATTTAAGAGTTTTTGACAAATAAAATGACAGTCCCATAATATTTAATCTAATATATCATTTGATAGCTAGTGCTATATTTTCATGAAGATTAAAATCTTAATACAAGGACTATTTTAAATACTAAAATTAAGTATAAGGCATGAATAATTAATTCCCTTTTCTATATGTACCCTGTAGTTGTCCAATAAATATAAAACATTTTTTAACCTCTTGGTGGCAACAACTCTATTGTTTGCTTTCTGAACTTTCTGATTGCACTTTGAAACAAATTCAGTTCAATATTGAGGAGATAAGGTAATTTAGAGAGAAGTGAGAATGAATCTGGATTGGGAAATAATATTTACAGAAAAATTTGATAATTTCACAAAATTACTTGAGGAATTCTCATGTTGTCTCAGAGTTTCAAAATCCCTGATATCAAATAACAAAATTCAATGACTTAAAAACTATTTCAGATGCAGTTGGATGTTATGCTTTGGGTTAGAAAACCCAAAATTACATAAGCTGTGAAATAGTGGAAGGTCTGATAAATTGTATTTCACTTCTGATGACATCACAGGTACACTTTTTTTTTTAGGAGTATAATATTTGATTTGTTTCTTTATTAAAAATTAAATACGTTGACATTAGTTTGATTTTGTGCGAAAACCTAAACTTGTGATGAGTTTTTTTTTTTATTATTTTATTATTCATATGTGCATACAAGGCTTGGGTCATTTCTCCCCCCTGCCCCCACCCCCTCCCTCTCCCCACCACCTCCTCAATACCCAGAAGAAACTATTTTGCCCTTATTTCTAATTTTGTTGTAGAGAGAATATAAGCAATAATAGGAAGGAACAAAGGTTTTTGCTGGTTGAGATAAGGATAGCTATACAGGGAGTTGACTCACATTAATTTCACAGGTACACTTTAAAGGATGAAGGTTCTTTCCCTGGGCTTGCCTAACTATCTGAGAATGATTTAACCACTGAAGCAAATACAGCTAACAGGAAGCATTTCTCCTGTCTCTAGATCACCCTTCTGCAAAAAACCTCAGAATATAATACCTTCACAAAATAATGAATATGGAGTTTTAATTTTTTTACTTAATGAAAAAAGCTCAATAAATAACCCAAGACTTCTGGAATCTCTGGAAAACTTAAAATCTCTTATTTCCATGGCTTTTGTAATTTATGCTCTTTGTAGATGTTGGGAACAGAATCATGAAGGCTCACTGCATTTTCTTCTATGACTTCCCAAAAGCTAAAAACTGCTCAAAGAGTCTTGTCTTCCTATGATCCCTGGGAGCTGCTTGAGTTTTGGCTTTCTAGCCTTCTCACTTCCTAACAAAATCTCCTTCCACTGTTTACAGAGGAAGTTCCGGCTCAGCAGTACTTGGAAATTGATGAGATGAAGACAGACAGTTTTAGAGTGACCTGGCATCCTCTCTCAGCTGAGGAAGGGCAGCACAAACTCATGTGGATTCCGGTCTATGGCGGGAAGACCGAAGAGGTGAGTCTTCTGAAACAGACCAAAAATTAACCTAGAGCTGTTCTTTGGAAGTAAATACTTCCTGCTGCATTAGAGTAGGTCTTCATTTGAAAGAGATTGAGAATTCCAGAAGTAACTAGTATTTGCAAGTCATGGAGTTTTATAAATGACAAATCATTTGACAAAGCTTATTCCTAAGATTAAAATTATCATTACCAGAGCTTTAGTTAAATATCTTATGTATTTTTTAAATTCTTTGACTTTCATAAATAAGATTTAATAAAACTTCAAAATGCTACTGATGCAATATTAATAGTGTACTTGTTGAGGGAATTTAAAGGAATGAGGTCTCTGTTTTGATTTTAAAATTGATTTCAGCAGCCTTAGAGTTTGTTATGCTTAATTATTTCTTGCTTATACTCAGAATAACATTTTTTCCCTTTTAGAAAAAAATTTGTTTTTCATTTTTTCATTCAAGTAATCTTAGTTACTAAGCACCAAATACTTTTCAGGTTGCCATAAAAGAAGAGCAGGACTCTTATGTTATTGAAGGCCTGGAGCCTGGCACTGAATATGAAGTTTCCCTGTTGGCTGTACTTGATGATGGGAGTGAGAGTGAGGTGGTGACTGCTGTTGGGACCACACGTAAGTCCTGTTCCAGCTAACTTGGACTTCAGCAGTTCCCATCATCCACGTCAATACCTCTTCACCCCACTATGTTCGATCTCCTAAACATTATCCCTGGCTATGGAGGCTTCAATTTTTCTTTGTCCCCCAGAATTCTTCATGTATCTTTACCCTCAATGATACTGGTATATGAAATATCTTAGTGTTCCAGATAATTATCACCTCAAAGGAAGGGACCAAATTTGTCTTGTTAATTATTATATTCTCCAGCACTTAGGGCAGTATTTTGCTGTATTTCAGCTGTATAATAAATATTGTTTGGATGGATTGAAGGAGTGTGGATGAATGGATGAATGGATGAGTGGATGAGGGGTGGATGGAGTAATTTTCAACTGAATAAAGTGGCAAACAAATACACTTAGGGCTAACTTGTCCAAGAGTTTCTGGAATTTTCCAATTTGAACTTGGTTCCAAGAATTTTGTACAAAATTTACTCACCGATTGATTTATTCCTTCATTTTTAAAACATGATGTATTAACCACATTTTAAATTCTCTTGGATTGGATTCCCTGGAATCATATTCTGAGACAGAACATTATATCCAGAAGGTTTATCACAGAGTGTAGTTGTGAGATACTTGTGTAAGAAACTGAAGACAGCATGATAGGGCACAGGAAGGAGCTCAAACTGAGCGCTTACTTGATTCTATTGGAAGATCTAGAGCTAGGATCACCCTTCTGAGTTGTCCCAAACTGAGGCAAAGTGGCTGGGCCTTTGCACCCCTGCATTCCCTGTCATTTGAGATGGATTATCCATTAAAAGAGGCTGTACTCTTGGCCAGGTAATTCTCACAGCTGTGAGACTTTGGTAACCAGAATTTGAGCACCTGGTATAGGGGTGTGCTGATCTGTTTGTGAATGCAGAGCACCACAAAGCCTCTCTATTCCTCTGTACACCAGAGTGGATACAAGAAATAGAAGGTTCTTTTCTGTCTCTTTTTTTTGGTGGTATGGGATTTGAACTCAGGGCTTCACAAGGTTCACTTCTTGTCTGAGCGCATTGCCCTCCTTGGTGGTCTTGTTTAGCAACCCTTTCACAACTTGGTCTACAATGCCGCATAATTTCCTTTAATTATCATGGTTATGCCCATATTTCAAAATAATTGGGAGGTTTCATAATTTTATAGATGTAATTTGAGTGTTTATATGAAGTCTGGTATCTGTGATGAGAAACTAAATGTCTTTAGGTTTCATTTTCCTTGCCCATGGAACACATGTGTCTGTCTTTTTCAGCCTTTCAATCATGGTCAAGTTTGTTTTGGGAAGCACATAAGACAATATATGTGAAAATTTCCTCAAAAGTTATAAACTAATTTATACACGTGTATGTAGTTATTGTTTTTACAGAATTTTTACGTAATGAACTTTTTTTTTAGTTGACAGTTTTTGGACTGAACCAGCCACAACCATAGTACCTACTCAACCTGTAACTTCAGGTAAGGACACATAGGGACCCATTTATCCATAAAAAGTTGAATTTAAACATAAACTGTGTTATCAGTTTTATTTACTTTATATCGTTAATTAGAAAACAGCTGTTCCTTTCTCTTTTTTTGGTAACAATTCACATTTCACTTCTCTCTGAGTCTCTCAACAACTTTACCACTAAGTACCAAGATTTCTCTTAGTCCACCAATCTCATCTTTGTCTTGGATTCCCATTTGCCTTTCTGGGAGTGTTAACATAGCAGCATTCCCTTTGTTCACCTCTCTCTCTCTCTCTCTCTCTCTCTCTCTCTCTCTCTCTCTCTCTCTCAGCAACTTTTCCTATTGCTCTCTGTTGAGAATGATATATATCAAGCTTTTGTGCATGTCCTTGGCCAACTTGGTTGGCCTGTTATTCCACCTCTATCAGCTACTTTCTCTTTCAGCTTAGCTCTCCATCCACTGCAACTCATCTCCCAACTAACTGTTAGACTGAACTAAGTAACACACAAGTTTGATAATGCCACTTATTTCCCTACCTAAACCCTTCCCTATCTAAACCCCTTTCCTTTACCCATTCACTCATTTTTCTTCAATCTTTATTGAGCCCTTTTCATGCCCTACAGTCTCTTTATTGCAACATTCTTTCCTGGAAGCTCCTGCTTCCCTTTCCTGGCCTTAACCATATTTCCTGTTCTTCTCCCATTTCCTCTTATCATCCAGAACCTGCCCCATATTGAGAAATTCCCCACAATTTCCACTGTGTGGTATAGCATCTTCCAATTACGCCAGGTAAATGTTGGTCTCCTACCCCCAACTTTACACTTTTACTATTTTTTTTTGTTAGGAGTCAATCATTGTATATGTCAAAGAGCTAAACAGTCCAACGTACAGGAAGAGTTCAATGGATGTTTAATGAATGAATGAATGAATGAAGAGAAAGTAGACTCAGTAGAGACTGACAGGAAAAAAGGAAACCAGGGCAGAAGAGAGAAATGATAAGAAAAAAATAGGACTAATAAGGGAGCAGGTACCTTGGGAGATGAGAATGAGTGTGCTAAAGAACACAGGTGAAGGAGTTTGGACAAAAGTCAGAGAAAAGATAACACCTGTATGGGCTGAATGAATAAAAGTAGTCTAAGTGAGAGAGCTGTGAGTGAGTGACTAGTGTGAAAACATACGTGGAGCCCAGGTGGATGGGATGTGTGTTGAATGCTGAGTTGCAGATGAAGGGTGATGAGATCTGGTCCCCTGTGACCTTTTCTCCAACAGAGCAGTAGTGTGAGATTCTGAAGACCATGCTCCCCTTGGGTTCATGGGCTATTGTTAGTCCAAGGGCTTTCCCTCGGTTCCTCTTAATAGTATATACCCAGGATTGATAATTTTGAGGGGTCCCTGATCTTGTCTTGTAGGCATTTCTCAATTCACTTTTGTTTGTACCATTTTGTTGCTTGTCCCCCATCAACCACTAAAGTGGGCTGTTCCTGCTTCCTGTGGGTCTACATCATAAACTTGCATTGGATGATGTTTGCTGCAACTCCACAAAAAGTCTCTGTGGCTCATGTTGGAATATGAAGGATTGAAAGTTCTTTAATCCTTGGTTGTATTTATTCCAGTTTTCCAGACAGGAATCAGAAACCTGGTTGTAGATGATGAAACCACTTCTAGCCTGCGGGTATCATGGGACATTTCTGGTGGCAATGTGGAGCAGTTTAGGGTGACCTACCTGACAGCTCAAGGGGACCCTGCAGAAGAAGTGGTAGGAACGGTCTGTATAAATACAGCTGACCAGAAATTCCACAGTCTCTCCTAATAGAGCTAAAAAAGCTATTTCCAAGAAACTAATTCAAGCTTTACCTCTCACTGCTTGGTGACTCTACTGTTTCTAGAAATTAATGTTCTTAGCTAATCTGATCTTCAGTACTGTTTTCTTGATGACCTTTCTATCTCTAAAACTTACTCCACACAATTTGCTTCTAGCTGACCTAGCCTCTGAACCTTGTTTCTAGCATTGTTTCTGCTCTTTCTATTAGAGCCCAAGAATTGAGTCATGGAAGGGCCATAAGACCAGGTGTGGTGGTACACACTTGTAGTTGCAGCTCTCAGAGAGGCTGACAGCAAGAGGATCACTTGAATCCAGGAGTTGGAGATCAGCCTGGGCAAAACTGCCATCTCAAAACCAAACCAAACCAAACCAAAACAAGACAAAGGGCCTTCGTACGTCTGTATTTGTAAATACATACATACATACATATATAAAAGTTTAATATAGGCATTAAACCTTTTGTCTTGTTGAAAGATCTTGTTTATGTAGTTAAATGTTCCTAACAATAGGTCATCCATCAACAAATAGTTATATTTTTCACTGACATCAACTAATTTTAAGCAGATTTAGAGTCATTTCTCATTTATTCTTAGTCATGGATGTCTTTCTTCAGGGATTTAGATTTTTCTATGTTGAATTTAAAGTTGCTTTATGTGTATTTCTATACAGTAAATGTGGTACGTTCAATCATTGCCTCCCTATGTTTTCTTAATTTATATCACACTGTTACTTTTAGTCTAGAACCTGTAATTGTTTTCTAGATATGTGTCCAGTCAGACCAGGTAACTCGTTTTCAGCCAGGAGATATGTATCTTTTTTAGTCCAGCTCTGTGCTTTCTTTATAGCCTCGTTACTCGCCCTTTTTCTTGTCCTTTATCACAGTATTTTTGACACTTTATGAACGAAGTCTCCAAAATTCATCATTAGTCAAGAAAAACGTTATCCTTTCTTACTTACAAGGTCTTGATGGAAAATTATTTATATTTATGTGTGCACATAAACAGTATTTGAACACAAAATTCTTTCAGGAAAGTGCTTTGTTTCCAGGGGACAGGAGACATTACAAGGCATAATGATGACTGTGGCAAGAGCCCGGTCTGTCATGAACAGGTAGCAGGTTCATGAAATTGGTATGGGAGTAGTTTTGGAAAGTTAGTGGACACTTAAACAAAACAGGTTGAGTTATTAATTCACTCTAACCATACATTTCAAATGGCTCATGATTGGCAAATTCAAAAAAATCGAAATTGAGCTTAGGTACAGCAATTAAAAATGTAACTTGGTGTTTTATTTTATCCTGTTATACCTCCCCTGTTATAATTTAGTTCTTAACAATGAGACCCACAAAAACTTCCCAGCATGAGAAGCTTTTCTTTTTGTTTTTTGCTCTTTCCAAGAAATACATAAAGCTATTTGATGAATTATATCTGCTAATTTGGAAAGAGTAACAATTTAATCTCTTGCATGCACTTGTAAGCTATGCAAGGTAAAATAATAATAATATTTACTTTGGGTTGTTTCTAGATAATTTTCCCTTTGCTAACTTCTTTCATTTAGCACTGTTTATATTTGAAATACTTGGACACCTAGCTGAAGGAAAAAAAGATCAAAAGTCTTAGTCTATCCCAGTTAAACAAACCTTTAAAGAAAATAAAAACTATTGATAAATTTACTGTGCAGCTGTGATTGTTTTTTATTCTTTTGTTGTATAAAACAAAATACTGTACAATTCTTTAAATATCAAACTCCTTTAGTAGATTTTAATGAAATTTGATTTGGGTATACAGTTTATAGGTACTTTCTTTAACTTATAGGGAATTCCCTTGAGGATTGAGAATTTATATGTCTGTTCTATCAAGTGTTAACTGCTTTATAAATGTAATGTATTATTATTAGAGATAGAAAGTGGTATGCATCTAATTTATACTATGAAATTAAGGTAGAAGAGTCAGATGCAGACCTATGCAAAAGGTCTTGAAATCACATGGATCAAATAATATCTTAAAGTAATGATGCATGTCAGGAAAAGACACTTGACTAAAGCATTACAAAAGCAAGCAAATGTGTCTAGATAAAAAGAATGCTGCTCTTACCATCTTTCCAAGTTTTTCTTAACTATCATATTTACACAAGAAACAGATAAGGTTGAGTATTAAAGTTGGAGAATGGTGAATGTTTATCACTTTGTAAGTCAAAGAGAGTAGGGAAATTAAATTTATTTTACCAGTTAAGATATGTGAACTATCCAGTTAATTTTAGGGCGTAATCAAATCTACCAAATATTTCCAAGAAAAGAACTTGTAGTTTTTACGTGTCAAATGCTTCGTAAAGATTGACTTCACTCCACTTCGCAATGTGGGGGAGTGGTAATGATAGTACCTTCAATTTTCTTATCAGAGCAGAGAGGTTTTCTCAATTATTTGTAAAAAGCTGGTCAGAGCCAGCCTTTCTAGAGCCTGTATATCAAAATTGTTGACCATGACCTGAATTCTGAGTTGTAAGGAATTTTCTAGAGTAGGGCTACTCAAAGTGTGGCTTAGTCTTCTACATTGTAAGCTCAGATATTAAGATTAAGCTTTTAAAATTTTTGGTGGTCATTTGACATTGCTGCAGCAATCCAATAGCACAGTCTCTTTGCTAGCAATTTGGTTTTGTTTTATACTAATATACAAATATATGAAATAGATTAGAATTAAAACACCACCACCACCATCTAATTCTTCAACACAATGTGTGAACCATTGTCGAAAGCCAGAACTACATAAGATGGGAATGCAGTGAGATACAAAAAGTCCTCTTTTTTGCTGTAGGGACAAGTTTGCTGCATGTGGTCCAGGCTGGTCTGAAGAGCTTTGGGTAATAATATCAGAGCGAGACATAAAGCTGCATTTCTGAAAAAATTGAAAACATGGAGCTCCAGGCAATGTTTGCATCCCATTTAACCATGAGCATCTTTTATAGATTTGTTTCATAAATAAAACCACCATCTGTGATGGCTTGCCGCATTTGTGTTTAGTAGGATCATCTATTTTTTTTTTCCTTCTGCTTTGCTCAAACAAGCAGAGACTAAGCAGGAGGAACTTTATATACCCCAGAGAAGACTTCCATTTTACTCTTGGGAGTGAGTATCATTAGGGTAAAAAGCTTCATGCTGTGCAATTTTGTTGGGTTGCCAATAAGGATTAAAGCAAGGTCTGGATCAAATTCCTGGGGTTTTTATTTGGTCCCTTTACTAGCTGTGTGGGCCTCAGTGTCCCCATCTACAAAAAGGGTATACTGATACCCCTTACCTCAAAAGGTTGTAATGATGATTGAGTTACTGTATTCAAATACTTAAGAGTAGTACCTGGCACATACTATTTGATGGATAAGTGAGGCTATTATAAACCACAGCAGCTATTTCCAAGCAACTGAAACCAGGATTCCAAAATGGCCACTCCACAGGATAAATTTGATTCATTTCAATACCTTGGGCTTCCCGGGATGAGGTATGACTTGTTTAAGGAGTATCTACATGGGTGGTTTGCTAGATAGACAGCTTAGAATGAAAGCCCGGGATCTGTGCTCTGGAGGAGTTCTGTTTAAGAGAAATACCCTGAAGAAGGCTACATTGGCAGGTAACACAAGTCAGGGCAACCACAATTCTAATGCCAGGCTTGTCCTACTCTCTCTACCATAAAGCACAGATCCTTTACATAGTTCCTTCTCAGGACTCCCCAACCCTGTATCAGTACCATCCTACACATGTCAGTGCCCCTTCCTATGAGGAGCAGAATTATATTAAATTTAATATAAAGTCACCTAATTCCAACTTCCTTTTCCATATAAAGAAAGATTGCTTTTTAGAGCTTAGCAATGTATTAGCAACAGCTGCTTCTGGGTTCAACTTGAGGCTTTCTAGGGCTTATTCCATGATTTATGGGTTCCTTCCTTCATCCAAAAGGAGACAGCACCGCCCTTTGCCTGCTGGCATTTCACCCAGCCCTGCAATGGAAAAGCCTCTCCAGCTGTGCGGGTCTTGTGACTCTCTTAAGCCTATTTGCGTTCTTATGGTGCAGCCTTTTTCCAGCCACGATTAAGTTCCTGATGGCCCAGAGATGTGCCAGCAATGAACTACTGGAATGCAAGAAGGATGTTTTGTGGGTTCAGCACTGTGAACATGTGGTTTTTCTGGTCCACAGTATTCTCTCAGGCACACCAGGGTTTGCACTGCCGTGCCACATGGTGTGTTCCATGCACACTTGTCCTCCTGCTGCATGGCTTTTGGGGGGAACTTTTTAGAGATAGACAGTGGTGATTCCAGATTGAGGAAGGCATCTCCTTTAAGAAAGAAAAAAATCTGCCACTTTTTTTTTTCGCATTGCTAGTAAATATGTTTCAACTCAGAAAACTTGGCTCTTGATGCATGGTTCTGTTGCTCTTGGCTGGCATCCATCCATTCTAATTGAAAGAATGAAACTTGGGACAGGTTATCTCTGAAAAAGGAAAGCAGGAGAGGCTGGATGTGCAAGAGGACACTCAATGTTGAAACAAAACTGATAAGCAGCAGTCTGGTTATAGAATGAACACTCCTAGTCCATAAACACCTGCTAGCAAGCAGGTCATTATTCTGTCTTCTAGATACTTTACAAATGCTAAGATGTTGAGAAAAGCATATTCCTTACAGCCCAAGAGCTTTAAACTTAAGCCTCTGTAAGAGTGATTATGAACTAAGGGTTACTACGAGGGGCATCGCATAGAGAAATGCTTTTGCATGAATGCTCTTTATTTTCTTCTCACTCTCCAGCTACATCTTCTTGTTTCTGATGATTTAAAGATGTCTACAGTCATGCTCTGATACTACAGCTGTGGGAAAAGAGCATGGTTCTTACCAGATCCATGGTCCTTTGCTTTTCTGTTTAGGTGATGATACCTGGGAGCCAGAACACTCTACTGCTGAAGCCTCTGCTTCCAGATACGGAATACAAAGTCACAGTGACTCCCCTCTACACAGACAGAGAAGGTGTCAGCGTCTCTGCCCCTGGAAAAACCTGTAAGTGAAGCTTTCTCCCTAGGATACTCACTGACTCATGAATCGGAAATGCTCATTCCTTGTAGTGTAGTCAGAATCATTTAGTACCTCAAAGAGCTAAAAAAGATTGGAAAGTGAAAATCTGTGAAGTTATGAGACTTTGGGCAAGTTGCTTACCCACTCTGGGCTTCACTTTTCTGTGAAAGCTAAGATTTGAACAACAAACAATTAATCAGCATCTGATGATTCACCGAAGTGGAATCTGCTTGCCTGGGCACTTTCTCTACATCTTCTTGGATTGATTCACTCCAATCCAAGCTGCACTGTGTCCCACCTGGATGAGAGCACTAGCCTGCAGGGTCTTCCTGCTTCTACTCTTCTGTCCTTTGTTCTTGCAGCAGCCCAAGGAGCTTTTCAACACATAAAGTATCTCATATTGCCTCTGGTTTGAGCTTCCTGTTATACTCAGGATAAAAGCCAGTGTCCTTCTCCTGACCCCACAAAACCTATATGATCTGGATCCTACTGATCCTGATGTCACCTCTTAACAAATCCTTCAGTTACGCCTGCCTTTCTGCTCTTCCCTGGGCTCTTTATGGTTGTTCCTGCCTCAGGTCCTGGGCACTAGCCAGGCCTTCCACACAGAGCATCCCTTTCCAGACATTTGCCTGCCTGCCTTTTCACTGTGGTGTCAGCTCAATGTTGCCTCCTCAGCCTTTTTTGAATGCTCCATGCAAAGTAACTCTTTGATTTTGTTCTGTTTTTTGTCTATTTTTGATCACTTCGCACCACATGGTATTTTCTTGTTTATTGCTATGTTTGCTCACTGTCTGTCATCCCTGGAAGGCAAGCATAGTGAAGGTCTAGGAGCTCCTCTATGCCAGTTACTTCTGTGTGCCAAGCTCCAACAGCATGGTGTGGCATCCTAAATATTTGTTTAAGACCTCAAAGTTTTGATTGGCCTCATTACTACTATGCCTGTCTATCCTTTCATAAAGACCACCCTAGAACTTAGTGGCTTACAATAGTGATGCTTTTATTATGTCTTATAATTGTGTGGATCATGAAATCAGGTAGGGCTTCATGGGAAATTAGTTTCACCCAGTGGCATTCACCTGGTGCCTGGGTTGGTCTGGTGCATCCAGGACAACTTTACTTCCATCTCTGGCATCTTGATGGGGACAGTTAAATGACTAGAATCAGTTGAGTCTCTCTCTCTCTCTCTCTCTCTCTCTGTCTGTCTTCTAGTCTCAGAGTCTTTCCATATGGTCTTTCCAGCAGGATATTTACATTTCTCACAAAGTGAATCAGTGCTATAAATACAAGATTCCCAAGAGGCAGAGAGTGGAAACTGCCAGGACAGTCCGGGGCTCTACTTAGAATAAGTACAGCATCTCTGCTGTACAGGTTGTCACAGAACCCACCCAGATTCAGTCATAGTCTCCACTTCTCAATGGAATGAGTGTGATCATCTTTAATCTGTCATAATGTCAAATAGTTACAGGGGACTGGGTGCAGAATGGTATCAGAGGCTGAATACTGTATCTTGCACCCAAGCATTGGAGTGTGGAGAGGCCTAAGTCTCTATAAGTCATTTTAAGTCCGACAGCCCAAAGTTCTGGTTCTGCTCAGCTGAGCAAACAGGCATCATCTCATTCAATAGCACTGGCATCTGTCCCTTCTCCCTGGGCCCACACTACATGTACCTCTCCCCAGACTTCCGCCAAGCCTGCTCATTTTGCTAAAGACCACTGAGAGCCTTGTGAATCCTCAGAGTTGCTATAGTTATCTCCTCAGGGTTCATCCGTGTGGAAGAAGAGGATGGGGAAGAGGAAAGCTGATCGGGAGTTTCCATCTGTCACTTGGTCGTTCTAGTACATTGGCATCATGATCTGATCTCACACATTGGAGCGTTGTGTGAATTGGTTGCCATTTGTACTTGTTATCTGGACTTAATCTATACATTGGTATTTCTGGCCAATTATGATATTTTGCTGCTACATAAATGTTTGAAACCCATAGACACAAACAACAATTGAAGAAGAAAAATCAAGCAGTATTTCTATAATACAAAGACCATTACTATAGAAATAAGACTTTGGCATCATTATCGGAGCACCAGTACATATACCAATCCCTATATACTAACATTATTTCAAAATGATAGTGGATAGTCTACTTATTTCAAGAATAGTCAGCACAGACAACTTAACAATAATAAAATGGTAATGATGATATCTGTTAAGATGCGTAATAGTTTATAAAGGTGCTCCATATAAGTGACTTTAGTGTTTTTACAAAAATTGATGAACAATGACATATTTAGTCAAAATGAGGAAGAAAGCAAGAAATCACCTTCCCTCCAAGAATAACCACCATCAGCATTGTGTGAGCTCACGGCCTCAGTGTTGCTGGACACGTGAGCTTTCATATGGATGAGCAGAGAGGTGCACAGACAGAAATTTTTAATAAATGCTATTCAATTCTGTTTTTCTTAAAATTAACCCAAGTGAACAATGACTTTGAATAAACTTCTGGATTTCAGCTAAAACTTTAATCATAATAGCAATGTTTCCATATATTTAATATTTAGAGCAATCACAGCCTCACAGAGGCATCTCACTGTGTGCTTTGCTACACTTTGACCTGTACATGTGTTTAACCCTGGGGGAGACACCTTAGTTTTGTTGACAGGTCATTAAGAAGGAAACTGCACTGAACCCCTATTTTTTTCCTTTTCTTTCCTGCTCAGTGCCATCCTCTGGTCCCCAAAACTTAAGGGTCTCAGAAGAATGGTATAATCGGTTACGCATTACATGGGATCCTCCAGCTGGCCTTGTCAAGGGCTATAGGATTGTCTACAAACCTGTCAGTGGTAAGTAATGCTCAGTGTCATGAGTTGGGACCATGTACAGTACTGGGACTTGAACTCAGGGCCTTGTTCTTGGTAGGCAAGTGCTCTGCCACTTGAGCCATACTCTCAGTCCTTTTTCTTTTTTAGTTTTAACTTTGCCCAGACCAACCTTGGAAGGATAGCCTCCTACCTCCTTCTCCCAAGTAGCTAAAACCACAGACATGCTGATGCCTGGCTTGTTTTTGAGATAGCATCTTGTCAACATTTGCCTGAGCTAGTCTTGAACCACAGTCCTCCTATCTCTGCCTCCCAAGTTGCTGGGACTATAAGAGACCACACCTGGCCTTAAGATATACTTTAAGATAATTTCTTTGTCCTAAGATTCTATCAATGTTTAATTTTATATTTTCAAAACTTAGAAAGCTCTTACCTTTATGGAAGAAAAGGGGTTTTCAAGTATGGTCAATGTTAGGGGAGATATTATCAGAAAGATGAAGGAATGACTTACATGGAAAACCAGTGGACACACCAATGAGCAGAGTTCACCATGTGGAGTACACCTGACCTAATCACGCCCTAGACAATGAACCAGCCTAGGGAAACCTTGACTCTCTAGGAATAGGAAGCTTTATAGCTCAATAGATGTGTAAGTTCCAAACAACTATAATCCATAATTGAATTTTTCTTCTACCTCTTCTCAAATTAGTTAGAAAAATTCTGTCAAAAAACTTCTCCATCTCCTCATTTTGGAAATTATTTTGGAGGTAAAACTTATCAAAGAGGAAAAATGCCTTAATACCAGCCTCTTAGCCACCTGGATGAGGAGACCCCACTCTCTTCTTTCTCCTTAGGATTTTATCTTGAAGGCAGGAGAATGTACAAACTGGGTGATTGTACTCTTGTTCCACGTATCTGTGAAGAAAGCCCATGAACTCCTAGTCCAGTGTTATCTCCCTACTCTTAACACTCTCATGTGAGTTTAACATGAGACTCAAATAGATATTATAAAGGTCTCTTGGTCATTAATAAATGTTTTCTGCCCCCCAAAACTCCATTAATGTCTATCTGCCATCTAAGATGCTGCTGTTGCTCCTGTATCAATTTTTAGCCTTTTCTGTCATGTCCAATTATGAGCCACTGTCAATGGGTCCATATGACTAAAATAGCCCTTCCCCCGATTTCTCTAGAATAACATCTTTATGAATGATGAAAATAAGATAAAGTAGCACTTATCTGTGCTACTGATCTTATCTGTGTGCACTGATCTGCTCCAGAGAGACTTCTCGAGACCCATCACCAACTTTTTGTCTCCTTACTTTAGTCCTGAAGCATATGTTAATTTGCAAGCCATCCCTTGTGCACTTTGTTCTTGGGATCATTTTACAAATGTTTTGCAGGTGTGCTGAGTACACATAGCTTTGTGTTAGGTGGTGTTTCTCAATTGATGCAATTTGCTTCCCAATGGAGACACGTTTGATTGTCATAACTCAGGGGGAGGGGGCATGAGGACTTGCTCCTGGCATCCAATGCACACTGCTAAATGTCCTACAACTTACATTATTCTCCTGGCCCAGAATAAAGAATTATCTTGTCCAGGATGTCAATAGTGCTGAGATTGAGAAATCCTGTTCTCAGTCCAGTGGGAGAACTGTGTTCAGATGTTTGTACTACATGTTTGGGACATTGGAAAGTAGCTACTGAGCATGTGGAAATACATAAATATTGTTGGCAGAGGGCTTCTGGATGAAAGTGATGAGGATTTGAGGAACTTGTTACTAGCTCAAAACTCTTAAAAATGGGCACGTATGGGAAGTCAGCAGGTAAACTGATTTGTATAGAACTCAGCAAGGAATGTGTTTAATGCTTAATCTCAGAGTCCCACCAGGTTGATATAGAGTTGAAGATGTAAAGCTCCAAAATTCAGCTGAGAGCACCATCTGTCTAGTATTAAAAATCCTGAAAGGAGTAGACAGCTATACTGGTAGCATTCACACTGATCTCCCTTGTGACAATGTCTGGTGGCCAGGATAAAGTTTTCTGCTCCTGCCACTGACATGCCTACTGGGACCATGTTAGATGTCTGAGACAGGGCAATTGGTAATAATTTCTTCAGTTGGGAAGTTCCTTCGTTGCTCATTACAACATAGTAGGTCACAATATGTTAGAGGGTAGATTATGAGGTGGATCAACTTCTTTCAACACACGAGGTGAAAAGCTGTGTTTTGGGGGACAAGATTACTAGAAATAACCTCTAGCATGGTAGTCAGATATAGGTTTTAGCATTAGAGGAGATTAGGGTCAAACCTCACCCTGCTGTTTGATTGCTGGGTAATCCTAAACTGAGTACAATTTTCTCTAAGAATACCTGTGCATTTCCATATTTTGTTGTAACTGCAATGTACACTCTTTCTCCTTTAGTTCCTGGCCCAACACTGGAAACTTTCGTGGGTGCTGATATTAACACCATTCTTATCACAAACCTCCTCAGCGGAATGGATTACAATGTGAAGATATTTGCCTCCCAGGCTGCAGGCTTCAGTGATGCTCTGACAGGCCTGGTGAAAACATGTAAGACTAATGTCCACTTGCTTCAGCCCCACAGCTGGCTTTGCTGCTTGGTTTTCCCTGTGACTTGTAACTCGACCCCTGCTTCATCATGGCCGTTGGCTTTTCTTTTCCTCAGTGTTGCCCATTTGGATGGTATTTCATGGAAAGAGAGATGCACGCTTTTCTCATGGAAGTTTAGAGTCCTAGTTGGCAGGTGGATATCAGCACCTGGCTTTCAAATAGACCTGATGACTGCAGATAGGATTTCCTTCTGGAAAGTCTTTGTTGGCATTTTTCGAATTAGGTGAAAATTTCCAGTCTGTAGCCTGACATGGCCAATGCCAGTCAGAATTGGGCCAGGCAGTTTTTTCTCAAAGCCGTTGACTCTCCCATGCATGGACACACACACACACACGCACACACACGCACATGCACACACACACAGAAAACACCATCTGTTAAAAGTCCATGCCACACCATTCTAAGAACTTCCTTCACTACTCTTTTATGGGTTTTCATGCCGTCTGCACTCCATCTGGGATGTCTCATTGGCATACAGTGTTCTCAGACCTTCAGGCAATAATGCAATGTTTTCCAAATTCCAGCATGTATGCTCCATATTCCTGAAGTTTGTTTTATGTATATGTATATCCACACCATCTGTTTGAAATATTTCTTTAAATCCACTTACAGTTTTTTGACCTAAATACTTTTCAAAACTCGTATAATTACCCTAAACAGAAGATCAATACTTCTAATATGCAGTAATAATAACACATAATTGACCAAATTAAAAATGGTTTGGCTATGTGCTAATTAAATGACCTTGAATGTTATCTACAGTCTGTGTCCTACTTTTGAGAATGGTATAAACAAAAGGACAAGCATTAAAAGTGTGCTACTTGTTAGCTATGGCCCTGGGCAAATTACTTAGCTTTCCTGAGCCTAAGTTTCCTTGACTCTAAAATGAAGATACTATCATAAAGCAACTATTGTGAAGATTAAGGAGCTAATTTATGTTATTCCTTGAGATTAAGCACTCAATAAATAACTACTATTATCATAATAATTGTGGTTTAAGCACTTAGTATATACCTTCCCCTTATCAGATAATTAAAATGATAAATAGTAGCAGGCAAAAAAAGAAAGAAAAAATTTTTCTTTATTTTTTCTTTTTTTTCTTTCCTTTCTTTCTTTCTTCTCTCTCTCTCCTCTTCCTTCCTTCCTTCCTTCCTTCCTTCCTTCCTTCCTCCCTTCCTTCTTTCTTTCTTTCTTTCTTCTTCATTCTTTTTTTGGTACTGGGGCTTGAACTCAGGGCCTATACCTTAAGCCAGTCCACCAGCAATTATTTTGTGATGGATTTTTTCAAGATAGGTTCTCTCTCGAATTGTTTGTCTGGGTTGGCTTTTCACCTCGATCCTCCTGATCTCTGCCTCCTGAGTAGCTAGGATTACAGGTATGAGCCACCGGAGCCTGGCCCACCCTAGATTTCTTCTTGGGTCAGCCCTTTCACTAAAGGAAGATTCCTAAATTCTTTTCTGTGGAATATCTTAAATTCTTAAAGGTGAAATACAGACTTCATCTGTCTATTCCTTCTTCTGTCTTTGCAATTTTTTGTATTGGTCTTTCTTTCTACTTTCTTCTCTCTCTGTTCCCATGCTGGGGATCAAACCCATGGCCTCACACATGCTAAGAAGTGGTCTAGCACTAAACTATACTCCAGACCCTCTTTCTTGTCTCTTTCTCTCTTCCTTTTCTGTATTTCTCTCTTTTCCCCTCTTTTCTCTCTTAATAAATATGTGGAGCATTCCAAACATATTTTAAGACTGAGAGTGTTAATTGCTTTATACTTTTGTACTTAAAGTAAAAATTAAATGAGTTTATTATTCATTATTTCTTTCTGCCAAGCAAAATAAAACCCTATCCCATGAAAAATAAAGTAATGTTGATTTTTAAATTTAGTGTGGTTTTATAAACCATAATTATTTTCCCCTTATTGTGCAGGGAGAGGAGTAGTTTAATTAGTTTTCAGAAGTCTTTCTTTTCTGTTCCAATAGAAAAGAGCAACCCAAAGATGTAAATTATGATTACATAAGATAATTTTTACAGTTTTGAAAAAAAATAGTTATTTATTTTATGAGGTAGCTAAAGAGAGGGACATAGAAGGGAAAATTATATAGATGGAAGTCAGCGGTAATTAGGGAAAATTAATATTAATTTTCTGCTTTTTCTCTGTTTGGATCTAAGTGTTAAACTCCACATGCTTACTTCTGAATTGTCCTGGAAAACAGCATTTTTATTGCTTTCCAGAATAATCATTTTTGCATGTCAATGTTCTAAGAGTAGTTATGTTCACTCACATTCAATTGTGTTTTGCTTTGTTTTTATTTTTGATTGGCAAATAATCAATGTACATATAATATTGTGGGCTATAATGTCATGTTCCATTACTTGAATATATTGTGAAATGATCAAATCAGGCAAATGGCATATCCTTCAGCTTAAACATTGATGGTTTCTTTGTGGTAAGACGTGCAGTGCATTGTTACTAATGATAGTCACCTGACTGTACAGTAGAACACTAGAATTTATTCTCCTGTCTAACTGTGGCTTAGTATCCACTGCCCAGTGTCCCTTCATCACTCCCCAGTCTCCCCAGCCTCTGCTAGCCATCCTCCACTCTCTACTCTACTCCTATGAGATCAGCCTTGTGAGGGTACACATATGAGTGAGATAAAAATGAAAAATCATTCATGCATTAAAAAGAAGGAAATCCTGTCATTTTCACAACATGGATGAGCTGGCAGACATTCTGTTTAGTGAAACGAGCCAGGCACAGAAGAGTAAGTACTGTGTCATCTCACTGTGTCAAAGGACAGCCCTTGTGAAAGCACTCCCATTTGTGTAATGCTTTGTCTACTTTTTATTTAAGTCATGGCTATTTTTCATTGATTGATAAATACATATTGTATCTACTTTTTAAATTAGAAACCTTTTACATGTTCATTGCGGAACTTATAGAAAACACAAATAAAGGGGAAGGAATAAAAGTCACCCATTACTTCACTACTCATTGTATCTGGCCTTCTCCTGTGAATATATATGTCCTTTTTCACTTACAAATGCCAGAGTACTTCATAAATGTTTTGCAATCTGTTTTCTTAAGTCATAAAATAGTTATTTTTATGAACTAATTTATTTTGAGTCAATGGATTCCAAACTCTGAATCTGGAGCTTTGAGTGACAATGTTATCATAAATTAAGTACAGACTTAGGGACATTTGTGGCATTGTCTGTGGTGTGACACAGTTGTGTTTCTCTTTCATTTTAGTATTCTTGGGTGTGACCGATCTCCAAGCCAACCAGATTGAAATGACCACCTTGTGTGTTCAATGGCAGGTACATCGTCATGCCACAGCCTACAGGATAGTTATTGAATCCCTCCAGGGTAAGCACAGTCCATCACGTATATTTTTCCCATGCACTGTGTGTTGGGGTCTATGCAAATCACTGTAACAACACAAAAATCACATTAGACCAGAACCCTCTTCTGGAAGCAATTTGTACAGAGGCCAATAGTACAGCACATGGAGACAGACTGGCCAAACTTGATTACTTAACCTCTCTACACCTCATTTTTCTCATCTGTTAATGGAAATAACCACAGTGCTAACCCTCAGAGTTTTGTGAGGATTAAACTGAGATAATCTGTGTGAAGCATGTGCAACAGTGCTTTGTGCACAGCAAGCACCTGAGAAGTGTTAACTACTGGGGGGAGAAGTGCGAGGGAGGGGGGCAGGAGGGAGAAATGGCCCAAACAATGTATGCACATATGAATAAATGAATAAATAAAATAGAAGTGTTAACTGCTGTTGGTAGCAGGAGTCAAGCAGCTAAGACTAACATACATTAAAATTGTGTAGTGCTATAATTTTGCTACTCACTCCATGGGGATCAGGTTTGAATTTAACATTTTTCTTAGTGTTTCTTTTTTTTTTTGAGATAACAGGTGAACAACAAACTCTCTCATTCTGGAGAAAGTATCATGTATCCAGGTTGTCATGAGAGAGTTCTTCAGAGAGTTTTCATGTACATTTATAATTTGAAATAACTTGAAACTGTTCCAAAGTTGAAATACTAGAAGTATCTCCTGTCATCATTTAAAAAATATTTAAGCAGCAGAAAAATACTAGTTCTTCCCCAAAATGAGTACCTAGGAACTGTTCATACTTTTCACAGTATTGGCATGGACAACATTCAGAAAATGAAACGAAATAATGAAAATTCATTTGATTTGTTGGAATGGTAAAAATGTCTGGTTATTTTATGGGGATTATAGGGGAGAGTACAAAATACCAAATGAATTTTTTTCTTGTTACAAATTTGATGGTAGAATTGTTTAAACTGTAGCCTATTCTTTCTGAAAGATGATCTTTGTTTCCCCTTATTTTATTTTTAAGCAAACTGGGTATGTTAGCACATACCTATAGTCCTAGCTCACAGGAGGTTGAGGTGGGAGGAATGAAAGTTCAAGCCCAGCCTGTTCTACATAACAAGATCTTGTCTCTAAAAAAAAAAAAAAAGCAGAAGGAACTAATTTCTTTGGGTCCATTTGAGACTGGGTTTAGTAGCCAGTGTGCCCGTGTCCTTGGCTGTATCCACATCCCAAATCTTAAATCCCACTTTGTGTTTAAGGTGCTAAGGATTGAACCCAGGGCTTTGTGCATGGCAGCGAGTGTTCTCCCACTCAGCTACATCCCCAGCTCACAGTTTCTTTGCTTTTTTTTTTTTTCTACAATGGGTTATCACTAGGTAGTTTAGGCTGGCCTCAACTTATGATCCTGCTTATGCCTCTGGAGTGCTGGAATTACAGGCATGCACCATCATCCCTGGCTCATAAATCCCACTTTTGAGTCAATCTACAAAGTAGAAGACACAGTTTAGGAGAGTGTTGAGACCATTTGGAAATATGCCCCCTATACAATATGAGCTGAAATAGGAGGAATATTCTAGAAGAATTTCCTGCCAGCCCCAGCCAAGATATTATCTCAATTGACTTGTGCTACCACTCCCTTGCTTCCCTGTGTATGATATAAGCCTGATATTGGCTACACATTTGGTAGTTGTTTAATATAGAATGAACTGTGAAGAAAAGAAAAATCTGGAAATGCTATATTCCTTGTGGTTCTGTTAAATATGATTTATGAGATACTTAAGCAGAAGTAGATGAAAGATATATAGTTGAGGAACAACTACAAAATCTTGAGTTATTTTTCATGTATCTTTATAAATCACACTTTAATATAGAAAGGATGACATTTAATATACTAGTTTTTAGGCACTAAGGGTAGTAGTATAATAATCACACTCCTGAGCTATCCCACAACACTTTTATCCTTTTATGTGACTTAAGAAGTTGAAGTGAAGGAAATATAAGTTCCTTTGTTATTCATTACTTTTGTGAAAGATACAACTATGTACATTGACAAAATGATGTATCAAAACTAGTTTTATTGACAGAATTAGTAAGATCTACAAGTGTTTTTTATTCAGCATTTTAATGGAAGCATATTTGCAAAGCGGAGAGTCTTTATCAGAGGAAATAATTAATGTATCTGATAACACTGATCTGATTATCTTAAACCACAATAATTTCTTTCTGAAGCCAAGATCTTTGTTGGCCAAAAATGAAACATTTATCTTCCATTTAAATTAGCTTGTACTCCCTTAGTATTTTTTTCAGGGTGCCAGAAAGCTTTCAGCTGAGCTCTATAGTCTCAATTTAACAGGAACGTACACAAGTGTTGTTCAATTTACTTCTCAATGGCATTTATGGTTGAGAGAGTTACGAGCAAAATTAGCCCACATCTCATTCATCTAGTTGTCTATCTAAATGGTATTTATCAGCAAAGATTCTAATTGACAGTTTCAAAAAGGAATGTTTGGTGGGGAGGGGAACATGGGGTTGCCAGTGGAGAATGTGTTTAGATATTTTAAATTACACAGTTTAGATCAAGAAATAGTCTCTGGACTGGGGAAGAATTAGGCTGAGCTCCTTTATCATATATGGAAATGTGCTCACTATTTTGATTCGCTGAAGGATTTGTGGTAAGATGTCCATCCTTCCAGTGGGAAGATGAGTCCCAGAGCACAGGTGTTCTGACTATTCTATTTTTACATGTGCTGCCTTTGTAGAAATTTCTGTGCTGCTACAACCTGAGGCGATACCATTGAGAAATGGGACCAGATCTCTCCACATGTTAGAGAAAAGCTTTACTTCAACGAAATTCCCATAGTACAATGGGTAATTTCCATATATTTCCCATGGTCTGATCATGAGAACTTTTATTCTGACATGAAGTCAGTAGAGAAGTTTCTGCTATAACCACATCTTCTGGTCAGTTTTCTTCTTTGGGCTTTAGTTCTCTAAAATTACTTCACTTGAAGTTATTAGTGATGGCAATTACTTCAAATTCCAAGGCTTTTGTGAATAAAGTATCCAGTATCGTTATATTTAAAGAAGAATAGACAAAAGGAACTTAAGCAAAAGTGTCAATTGATTGGCTTATACACAGAGAAGCTTAAAAGTCTCTGACTTCAGGCACATCTGGATCTAGGTGTTCACACAAGGACATTGAGATGAAGCTTTGCTTCATCCTTCCATTCTGCTCTCCTCTGCCTTCAAACTCAGCCAAGATGTGTGAGTGGGCCCTATCAGATCCAGAATTGTATCCTCCCAGCTTCCAGCATCATGGTTATGATGAAAAGAGAACTTTTCTTTCTCAATACTTCCAACAGAAGTTTAGGAACTGAGTCATATTTGCCTGGTTTAGGTCACATGCCCTCAATCTGTCATTGAGTCCAGAGGCATGAAATTAACTGTCTGATTGGACCTGGTTGCCTTCCATGCCTGTATCTGGTGGCAGTGGCAAGGAGTCTCTCCATGTCATAAAAACCAAGAGTGGGAGGAATGGGTCCAAAGAAAGAGGGATCAGATGCAAGACAGGCAAAAACAACAGATGTCCTCAATTTATGTAAACATTATGACATTTTTATGGCCAAGAAGAAAACATAAAAAGATTATCAGGACAAGGTCCTCTTAGGAGAGAGGAACAAAATCTGTCATTCATACACTTGCCAAATTTTTTTTGGCTAATTCTGGCTCAAACCAAAGTGAGAGAGTTTTGGTTGGTTTTGGTAACTCAGAACTCTGAGGACCCCCTAGTTCTGTGAGTGCTTTTGAGTTCTGTCCTCTTTGTCTGTTTTTTAGTGGACTTGGCACCTAAGGTTGGGTATAGCATATCTCTCCAAGTTCATGTATTCATATGCCACAAAGACCTAAATACTGTGTTAACTCCCATGACTTGGTGAAGTTCTATATAGCCTGTTTAGGAATGAGTTAAGGGGATGCGCTCCTTGTTTTCTCTTTGTAGGTGTTACAATATCAATTTTGCAGTTAACAAAGATAGAGAGTTGCAATGTAGTGGAGAGCCTACCCTGACCAGACAGCAGGTCCAGGAAAAGATCATATGGAATAAAACCTATTCTCGAAATTAAAACTTAGAAGAATGATGACATTACGATTGGGCATCAGGGAATTTTATAGACCTAGTTAGTGGAAGTATTTATATCATAAGATTCTAGCAGAGTAGTTGCCTGGATTGTGAATCTCTTTTGTTTGTGCTTACCATCAACTTGGTAGCCTCATTACCAGCATGACAGCAATCCAGAGGATATATTTAGACATGCTTCCTAAAAATGAATGCACAAATAAAGACAGAATCTTTTCTCATTCTAAAACAAATAAACTTCCTGCTTTTGGCGCATGGGGTTGAAGAAATTAGTCATCATGTGATCAGTTTAAATTTTGTTTTCCTTTAAGACAAGGCCATTAGACTTGCATTGCACATGCCAAAAGCAACATGGATACACCCCCATTTATGTAAACCCTCTTTGTTAGTATTGGGAATAGAACTAATACTATTTGCCATTAATTTTACAATGCCTGTTCCAGTTTTCCAAAGGCTTATGGATTTATTATTTTAGCAATAAAATCCATTAATATTCTATTTTCAAGGGTCTTTAAAATGCATGGATATTCATAGAAACAGGAAATGGAAGAAAAGTGCACATCTAGAATTGGTTCCCTGGAGAATTCCTGGAAAGCTTTTGTGGACCTAGATCAATATAATCCCTGCAGACAAGTCAGGAAATATGTGTCTTATGGGTGGCTCATAGAGGCTTCCAGGAGGTTCCAAAGGCTGCTTAAGGGTCAGAAAGAAACAGTTATTGTGAAGTTCTCAGCTTGGGAGCCTCAAACTGAAATTGGACATCAGCAAAGTAGAGCACTGGGTTTACTAAGGTTTGCTTATTATCATATTTTTTCACTGTAATATAAATCTCACAAATATCCTAACAATTTTTAAATTTATCATTTCCTATAATAAATGAAAAAATGGTTAAGGTAGACAGTATTTCATTGTAAGCACATTTATTAATAAAGATTACATTATAAAGTTTGCTTATGAAACTAGTGTATACAATAAATAAATATATCAAATTTCATTTGTCAAATGGCTTAAGTTATATTTTTAATGGTCAGGATTTTTCCATAGACAAAATATGAAATGACATATGTCATGTTTATTCTAATATATGCATATTCAAATATACATATATTTTGTTCCAGAATATGGATATTAAAATATAGGCTGAAGTTTGATTAGATATTGTGCTTTATTTTTTTGACTTTTAGGATGTTTTATTTATTTTTTAAAATGTTTTTGATTAGCATAATATTGTACTAGGGTGCCATTTACAAAAGTGCTTACAACATATCTTAGTTAAATTCACCTAATCCATCATTTTCCTTTATCTCCCCTCCCACCATTCTTGGAATAGTTTGAGCAGTTCTCATTTTTCCATTTTCATATGTGAGTACATAATATTCCCACCATATTTACCCTCCCCCATTTCATACATCCTCTCCCACTCCCTCTGGTACCAATCCCCAGACAGGACCTGTGCATTACACTTCCTAAACAAAATTTATTTGAATTTTTTGCAATTGGCCTTTAAAAAAAACTAGTCTATTTTAATAGTTTCTATTATTTATTTATATATTTATTACTTATTGCGGTGCTGGGAATTGAACCCAGAGCCTCGCACATGCTAAGCAAGTACTCTTTCACTAAGCCACCCCCAACCATGGTTTATGGAGACAGGGTCTCACTACATAGCTCAGGCTAGGCTGGAACTCACTATGTAACACATGAATTTCCAACCTTCCTGCCCTGGCCTCCTAAGTGCTGGGATTATGGATCTGTTCCACCACCCTCAGCTTATATTTTGTTTATTTTTAATAAACTGTTCTCCAAATAACATTTAGGAAGAGTGGATTAACCATTAAATAATTTGTGCAATGTATTTAATCAATGCAGTTTTTAACAGTAGTCTTTAAATTCCTAGAAATAAGGCTTTATAAGGCTTTGATTAAATAAGAACAATTTACATATCAGAAGATTGATCTAGAAGGAAATGTGTATAATAGTTTTTTTTCATGATAGCAGCAAGTCTTCCTTTCAGTTATCCATCATAGTAAAAAATAAACACTACACCTAGACGAAAACTCATTTGAAACCTTTCAGTAATTAAAACCATCCAAGTAAGCCATGTTGGATGGAGTGATAATGCATCGGCTCATGAGGACTCCTCATTTTGGTCTGTAGAATTCAGCAGCTCTCAAACTGTATCATTGTGAAAGAAAAACACATTTCATTCATGTCACTTTATGGTATACTTGTGGAAACTAAAGCAGCATTCTCAGACTGAGCTTTAAAGTTCTTTCTGAGTTCAAACATCAGTTCTGTTACTGAGTTATGGACTTGGGTAATTAGTAACTTTTAGGGCTTTTAGTTTCTTGTCTTTAGGTTGGGAATAATTATAAATGTTATAAGGATAGGATGGGTTTATAGAATTAAAATCCTTAGACTATTGCTTGACACATGATACACAGTCATTAAATGTTGTCTATTATTATCTTTGTGGTTGTGGTTATAATTAGATAGTAAGCACAGAACCTGGTATATCATGAGTCCTTCAGAAATGAGGACTTCAACAAGGTCTCACTCTAACCTCCTCAGGCTCTGAACCCAGCCAGCACTAGTTCTTCCAGGAAAGGCATTGCAATTTCACTGTGGATGTGGGAATGAAGAAATGAGACAACAGTTAGTTGCTCTCTAAAGTTCTTTGTGTTTTTGATGGCGATGGGGCTTGAGCTAGGGCATGATGCTTGCTAGACAGGTGCTCTACCACTTGAGCCAGTCTGCCAGCCTCTCCAGAGTTCTTTGTCTCTGTCATGGTGTAGAAAAAGACAGAGAGGTTGCTGGATGTGAGTGACATGATTTCTCGATAGGACCAAAAGGACCTTATAACCAGGGGTTGGGAGACAGCTCCTTAGCATGTATGGCCTTAAGCCACTTAAGCACCATGAGCTGTTTCCTCAGTAGTGCTGTTAAAAGATTGCAAAGGATTTTCAGAATGCAACCAGGGAGTGTGGAGAGATTGCTGTAAACTCCCTAAGGGTCCCTTGTGATGGAAAGAAATCATGGATATCAGCTTAAAAAAAAAAATCAAGGCTGAGAGAGGAAATTGGGCTGTTTGGGGACTTACTGGTTGTCCTAGTACCACTTCAAGCTCTTGCCTGCATTTCTGGTAATACTGAAAACAACATGGACCTGTGGATGAAGTTTCTGAGATCCTGGAAGCCCACCTCCTAATCAAAGGCATGAAGGTTGCCTAGAATCCTGTCTTTGTAACTCCTTACCTATATTTTAGGACACTACCTATAAGGGCATCCTTTTGGATGGTAATAAGTTGTATGGAATTAAAAGTATGCATCTTTTTATATCACTTTGTGCATGTGACTGTGTTCTGGAGAATTCTTGGTGAATGAAAGGGAGCTCACATTTTAAAAAAATAAATATACTCATTCACACTTGTGTGGATCAATTAAATATGTGCATATAATTATGTACATTAATGTTTCTTCATTCAGTACAGGGTTGATGTTAGTTGTCTTAATAGTAAGTTTTATTTTTAGTACATATAAAACCTTGTTTTAATAGAAAAATACCTATAAAATGTGATTTTTTTAATAGAAAAAAATAGTGGTTATTTAAAACCTTTAGAAAAAGGTATAATTCATTCTGAAGTTGTCTGATGTAGACCATACATATTCAGCATTTTAGAACCAAATCATCTAGTGATGGCTGTTTTTAAAAAATTTCATGTGTGTGTGTTTTATTTTGTTTTTACTGTAGATACACAAACACAAGAATCCACTGTGGGAGGAGGCACAAACAGGCATTGCTTCTATGGACTTCAACCTGATTCAGAATATAAAATCAGTGTTTACACAAAGCTCCAGGAGACTGAGGGACCCAGTGTGAGCATAATGGAAAAAACACGTAAGTCAGTTTTCTCTTCTGTTCTCCCTGGAAAGAAAAAACAGTATTTTAGTCATACTGCTTTGACTCTAGAACCTTATTCCATTTAGAAAAATATTAGCTACTGCTCCCCAGGAATATGTGTAATACAAATTCTGTTTCTATTATCCAATCCCAGGATTCTTTGCATATGGCTAACTGATGTCATCAGCATGTTTTTATTTTCCATTCTCCATGTATGTCTTCAAGGCCAGATGATGCCAGAGCACTTGAGACAATGACTTACATTGTAATCCATATCCATAGGAACATTTATGGTTTGTGGAGTGTGGAAGGGAGTTTAAAGACTGGGTCCTGACATTAAAACAATGCCATCTTACCACAGCCATGAAGGTGGGAATGAAGCCAAGATATTCCAACTGGCTGACCCTAGAGTTACTGCCTGTTTAAGAGACTCTTGTGCTTTTTTCAAGTTGGCTACAGATCTGATGCCCTGTGGGAAAGGCAAAGTATAAAATTAAAACAAAGCACTTTTTACATGTTCCAAAGAGCAAGGAGGGTGTCAACTTCTTGGAATGTCTTTTAATCAAATATTCCTGGCCTGGAGGCCACAAACATCAAAATGGCCTCAATTGTAATGAATTCTGGGGGATGCTTGTATGCTTAGCGCAGTAGCTTGAACTTAAACTTGGAATCCTGTGGACTTGTGTCTGAATAGGTGGTGGGCGATGGGCTTTCTTCACAGCTCCTCTAACATGCACTTGGCATTTACAAAGGGCTAGCACAACATATAGATCTTTCAGCCTCTAGGGTTTTGCAGGAAGGAATCATTAGCAATGTATGCCCTTAAAAAAAAAAAAGAGGGTGCAAACATAATAAATTGAATCATCTAATTTTTAAAAATGTAATGACAGTGTTTCATAACACTGAAATATTTAACATTTTATATTGTATATGTATTTTTTAAGGTACAGTTTACATACCATAAAGCTTATGTCATTTTACATGGACAATTCAATGATTTTTAGTATATGTAAAGAATCATGTAACCATCACTATAATCCAACTGTACTTATGGTTCTGGGGATTGAACTGGGGTCTTAGGCATGCCAGACAAGATCTGTGAGACTGAACTGCATATGCAGCACTACAATCCAATTTTAGAACCTTTCTATCAGCCCAAAGAAATCTTTCCTGCCCATAGCAGTCTATCCCCCTTTCTGCCCTTACCCCCAGCAAACTTCTTCATTCTATTATGTATTTACCTTTTCTGGACATTTAATATAAATGGAAATATACAATAGGTAGTCTTGCATCTGGCATCTTTCACTTAGCATGTCTTTTAAGCTGTCATATTGACCTGGCTGCCATACCCTCTCATTGATTTGGTACTTGATTTTTGATTGAATTTGGGATATGCCTCATTAAAGAAGATGTCCAATTGTAAAGATGACCCACTACTTCTATGGATTTTATCTATGTTGTAAAATTTATCACTTATGTGTTTCTTTTTATTGTTACAAATAGTGAAGTTGATTAGGGCTTTGGTCAGATACAAGATTTAGAGTTAGACAGGTTTGATTGAGTCTCTTGTTTTGCCCTTTCTAGCATCATATATGATCTTGGGCATTTCAACACTTCTCAGCTTCTTTTTGCTCATCAGTAAAATTATGTAAATTATCTAGTCTCTTACCTCCTCTGGTGGCAGCAGAGATCCAATAAAAGAGTACTTGTTCTTTTTTGTTGGTTTGTTTTATTTATTTTAATTTTTAAAAATTATTTATACATTTACCCATATGTGTATAATTGTTTGGGCCATCTTCCCCTCTACCCCTGCCCTCATCTTCAAAGAGTACCTGTTGAAGAACTTTTCAACCTCATTGAACAAGAACTTTTTGTCATCACCATTACTATCTTCTTGGAAGCCACAAACAGATGGCCCTGGGGCTACATCTCTCTCAGACATGTTTTCTCTTGGGCTTATTTTTTTTTCTTAAGTTTAATTTTTTTTCCTGAAAACACTGACCATTTTGTAACCCAGAGCCCATGTGTCCTCACAGTGCCAATCTGCTGTGACCAATTAGTTGTTGTCTCTTTAGATGGTGCATGTTAGCTCTCATTGTTGTAGACTACCTTCTTTGTGCATATTAGTTGTTTTCCTGAGTCCTGAAAACATTTGAATTTGTGATCCCTGGTCTGCTTCAGTATCCCCTAATGTTAATCCTACAACTGGATTAATTCCAACTTGGATAGCTTTGTTTAATGAGAATGTTTTCCTGATGTTGGAAGCATCAGTCTTCTTGTATCTTCCACCCACTGGCTCTAGGTCAGTCTTCTGAAGCAATGCAGATCAAGACTGTCCCTTTTACTATGTGACATGCTTAAAGACAGGGACCATCTGTATGCCACATATAGAATATAAAAATGTGCACCAGTGCATTGCGATTCTTACCCAAGAGATTCTTTGGTCAGATGTTCTGCCCAAACATATTGATCTGACTGGCATAGCCTCTCATTGAGTTGGTTCTTGATTTATTGACTGAATTTTGGATATTGCCCAACTTTATACATTAACTTAATTTTGCACAATTATAAAGGTTACTAACTACTTCCACAAATTATAAAATGACTAAATCTGGCTTTTGGAAGAATTTTGTGGTGATTTCAAGAAAGTTTTCAAATTCTAGTTTTAGTGCTAAGATTTCTCTACTTTTTTCACTTTTGGAACTCAGTAGCTTTAAAAAAAAGCACCTTTAATAGCAGTGATGCACATATTCATAATAGTACAGAGATATATAAAGTGTATTGCTGATCTCCCGCTTTTTCTATTCTTCCTTTCTAGAAATACCTATTTCCATCACTGTTGTTTCCTTCAAAAAATTCTTTTATTTTTTTTTTGCACATGGGATCAGGCCATGATTTTCTATGCCTTTTTTATCTCACATAAAATTATTCTTGGGTATTTTTCCATAACAGTAATATAGTTACCTCATTCTTTTGATGTTGAATCATTTTTATTTAATTTCATTTTATTGGGTCATAGAATTGGAAGAGACCTTAAGATTCTTCTCTTTCAAACTTCTTGCCAATGAAGGAATTCCCTTTTCAACATTTTGGGTGAATTACCCATCTGCCTGGTCTTGAATCTTTTCAGCTATTTCTCTCTCTCTCTCTCTCTCTCTCTCTCTCTCTCTCTCTCTCTCTCTCTCTCTCTCTTTCTCTCTCCTTCTTTGTCTCCTTCCTCTCTCCTTTCTCTCTTTGTCTCCTTCCCCCTCTCTCATTTCTCTCTCTCCTTCTTTCTCTCTTTCCTCTCTTTCCTTTCTCTCTCTCTCGTTCCTCTCTTGATTTCCTTCCCCCTCTCTCTTTTCTCTCTCTCTCTCCTTCTTTCTCTCCTTCCTCTCTTGATCTCCTTCCCCTCTCTCACTCTTTTCTCTCTCTCTCCTTCTTTCTCTCCTTCCTCTCTCCTCTCTTTCTTCTCTCTCTCTCTTTCTCTCTTTTCTTCCCTCCCTCTCCCTTTCTATCTCTATCTCTTTTTGTGGTACTTGGGTTTGGACTCAGGACTTCACACTCACTAGGTAGGTACTTTACCACTTGAGCTACACCTCCAACTCCATGTTGCTTACTACTTCTTGAAGCCAGACATTTTCTTCGTTAATAGCAGAGGGTTTTCCCAAATATTGAAGTGTGATAATGATAATTTTAGATTTTCTTAAATCTTCAATATCAAACATGAATAGAAATGAATACCTAAGAAAATAATATTTTCCATTCACCTAACAATACTAATTTCCTAGTGCTTTGCCATGTGAGTTAGCATGAGAACCACCCCTGATCTGATCAATTCCTGTGTTCTCTAACCACATGACACCTCTACATAGTATGAAGACTTCTCATCCCACATCACCCGGACTGAAAAGATCTAGACACACACGAGTCCGTCAATGTTTACACTTGATCCTCAGAACTCAAAGACATTTTCCGGATGCAGGCTGAGCAGAACACAAAGTGAATCAGATTCCATTCATAACCAGCATCCTGGGGGGACACAGGGTGGGAAGGGTGGAAAGTGACATGGAACAAGAACTTATGGTCAACCCTTACTCAGGCAGAATAGAAATGACATTAACTTTACGTGTGAAAGCAGCCAGGCAGAGTGAGTATACATCTGAAATGGGTTGGCAGGATTCCTCCTTAAATCAACATCAGAACCACTTTGTAGTTGTCAGTTTCATTGCATTGACTCCTGCTGAGTAGACTGAATTGCGGAAAAATGGCATTTTAAGCCTTTGGTCTGAGGATGAGAAGATGGATATTCAGTTTTCACAGGCTGTGACTGGTTGATAGGAGTCATTAAATTCTTCAAGAAGACAGTTGTCAAAATCATCAACACCCTTGAAGAATGATTATTCCAAGCCCTCTCTCTCTTCCCTACAGATACGATGACTATTTGATGTTCTTTTTGTCTCTTCTTTTCAGTGTCACTTCCTACTCAACCACCAACTTTTCCTCCAACCATTCCACCAGCAAAAGAAGGTAAGAGAATGATATAATAACAGCGTGACTCTACGTTTAAGACTGTGGGTTTTGTTTATTCATTTAAAATCAAGGCATTATTAAAAGATATTTGTTGTGTTACCTAATTTTCTACTTAATATAAGCATGGTGTATTTTTTTAAATCAATTCAATAATAAATTCTATACACAAAGAGTGGATTTGCCTAACAGAATTGCTTAGTATAAATTTCACTGAAAATATCAGAGTGTAAATGTTAACCAAGAAAGAATAGTTACATAATTCATAAGTGAAAATGTGGTTTATAACTCTGAAATCAAGGAGAATTGTTTCCCGGCTCACCTCTGAAATGCCTTTCCAATTCCTCTGTCCTCATACAATAGCTCTTCAGAACCTTTACTGGATCTGTTAAGGTAATTTAAAAAAAAAAAAAAAAGCCTCTCAACAAGGTAGTGATCATTAATTTCTTTCATTCCACTAATGAAATTTTATTAACCACACTATTAAGTCTCAAAGCTTATGCTAGGCATGGGGAATACAGCCATAGTACATGATTGCTGCTGTCTGCTTATCTTCAGTACTACAAGAGAAATGCGGGGTTCTGTAGATAATTTTCAGTCATGGGTATGAGTAAAGAGATGGTACTATGATAGCCCAGGAATGAGAATAAGTAATGCTGCTGCAGGTTATGACTCATAAAGGAGAAGAAATTTGATCTTCCTGTAAAGACGAAGCATGAGAGATAAATAACGCAGTGAGTAATACTCTCTATTACAGAGTGATCCAGGTATGTAATATATTCAGGGAACTACAACACCTTATTGCAGCGTAGAGAAAAGAGTGAGGATAATGGTACATAAAGTAGTTAATGGACCAGAATGAGGAGTTTGAGTAGAGAATGCCCTGAGAAGTTTTCATAAAGGAAGGGTGACCTGATAAAAATCTTTGTTTAAGAAAGATAACTTTAGCCAGGTGTGGTAGTATACACTTGTAATACCAGCACTTAAAAGGCTGAGGCAAGAGGATGTTGAATTGAGATCAGTCTAGGCTACGTAGCAAGAATCTGTCTCAAAAAAAAAAAAAGAAGAAGAAGAAGAAAAAAAACCAAAAAAAAAAGATAACTTGGTGGAACAGGGATAGTGAACTGGAGGGAAGATAGGAGAAAAATGAACGTGTAGTTAGAAGGTTCCATTGCAAGAGTTCTTCCACTCATCATGCATTTTGAAATGCCTGTATTCATACCATGGATATGTGAAAAATTGCTCTTATTGGATGGGAGCTTAGAGTCAGGGTCAGATGATGCAGAGAGCAGTAAAGTAAAGGAATCAAAGAGGAAATGAGATATTCTAACAAAATTCAATGTCTGTCCTGGCATGACATGAAAAGTCTTCACTTGTCAATCAGCCTTGCAGCATCATTTTCCAGACTATTTTTTGATGCTTTATAACAGCAAAACTGTACAACTCAGCCTACTCATACACATCTTATGTTGTCCTACATTTTTAAATGTTCCTCTACCTGGAATACCAAACTCTTTCTTCTTCCATCTTCATATCTAGCCTTCACTAGCTTCAGTATCTATGATTATTCTCAATATTGGATAGGTAAAGAAGCTTAATAAAGAAAATATAAAACAATTTCATATCACAGAGGTAATTTCTTCATTCATGTTAATGTATTTTCTTTCTTTGATTCACTATGGAAATGTTTCCTTAGTAAAATTTTAAATAGATTTTGCTGTCATTTCCAAGGAAAAACTATCTTTGTTTCATCTTTCCTTGGAAACAGAGGACCTGCTTTTCTTATATAAACTTATAATTATCAGATCTTGTGATTCTATTCAGTTTTAGATTCAGACTACAAGTTTGTAAACTTTTATAAACCAAACTCAGGAGAGCAACCTCACCAGATCCTTCCTGTCCCTGGAGTTTTACTTCACTTGGAAATGGCTTATTTTACATAATAAATAGCTTTAAAGGAATGAAGTTCCACTTAGTAAAATAGAAACTGAGGGGGTTTTTTCCTAAGGAAAGGAGAAAGACCCATTTTCTCATAGACTATTTATTTGCAGTTGGCCTAAGAGTAAAAGATTCAGATTGTTGAAGAGCAAATTTTTTGCTCATCATAAAACCGAGTTAACATCATTAGTGTATGATGTACACTAATGAAAGGGAAGAGAGGCATAGATAATTTATTTTATTTTATTTTTTCCACTTTTCTTTTATTAGTCATATGTGCATACAAGGCTTGGTTCATTTCTCCCCCCTGCCCCCACCCCCTCCCTTACCACCCACTCCACCCCCTCCCGCTCCCCCCCTCAATACCCAGCAGAAACTATTTTGCCCTTATCTCTAATTTTGTTGTAGAGAGAGTATAAGCAATAATAGGAAGGAACAAGGGTTTTGCTGGTTGAGATAAGGATAGCTATACAGGGCATTGACTCACATTGATTTCCTGTGCATGGGTGTTACCTTCTAGGTTTATTCTTTTTGATCTAACCTTTTCTCTAGTTCCTGGTCCCCTTCTCCTATTGGCCTCAGTTGCTTTAAGGTACCTGCTTTAGTTTCTCTGCATTAAGGGCAACGAATGCTAGCTAGTTTTTTAGGTGTCTTACCTATCCTCACCCCTCCCTTGTGTGCTCTCGCTTTTATCATGTGCTCATAGTCCAATCCCCTTGTTGTGTTTGCCCTTGATCTAATGTCCACATATGAGGGAGAACATACGATTTTTGGTCTTTTGAGCCAGGCTAACCTCACTCAGAATGATGTTCTCCAATTCCATCCATTTACCAGCGAATGATAACATTTCGTTCTTCTTCATGGCTGCATAAAATTCCATTGTGTATAGATACCACATTTTCTTAATCCATTCGTCAGTGCTGGGGCATCTTGGCTGTTTCCATAACTTGGCTATTGTGAATAGTGCCGCAATAAACATGGATGTGCAGGTGCCTCTGGAGTAACAGTCTTTTGGGTATATCCCCAAGAGTGGTATTGCTGGATCAAATGGTAGATCGATGTCCAGCTTTTTAAGTAGCCTCCAAATTTTTTTCCAGAGTGGTTGTACTAGTCTACATTCCCACCAACAGTGTAAGAGGGTTCCTTTTTCCCCGCATCCTCGCCAACACCTGTTGGTGGTGGTGTTGCTGATGATGGCTATTCTAACAGGGGTGAGGTGGAATCTTAGTGTGGTTTTAATTTGCATTTCCTTTATTGCTAGAGATGGTGAACATTTTTTCATGTGTTTTCTGGCCATTTGAATTTCTTCTTTTGAGAAAGTTCTGTTTAGTTCACATGCCCATTTCTTTATTGGTTCATTAGTTTTGGGAGAATTTAGTTTTTTAAGTTCCCTGTATATTCTGGTTATCAGTCCTTTGTCTGATGTATAATTGGCAAATATTTTCTCCCACTCTGTGGGTGTTCTCTTCAGTTTAGAGAGCATTTCTTTTGATGAACAGAAGCTTTTTAGTTTTATGAGGTCCCATTTATCTATGCTATCTCTTAGTTGCTGTGCTGCTGGGGTTTCATTGAGAAAGTTCTTACCTATACCTACTAACTCCAGAGTATTTCCTACTCTTTCTTGTATCAACTTAAGTGTTTGGGGTCTGATATTAAGATCCTTGATCCATTTTGAGTTAATCTTGGTATAGGGTGATATACAAGGCATAGATAATTTAAAACAGCTCATGACACCAGGGGAGGACTTTGAAAACAGTGCTTTCAATGGAGTATGTCTTTATTGGTATTTGGGGGAGGGGGAGGTTGGTTGTTTAATTATGTTGGGATCCAAATACCTATTGAAAATGATAGCATTAATATAATAGTAACATTACCAGCATTATTCTACAATGTTTGACATGTACCAATGGGCAGTAGAAGGGCATAGAAAGGAGTTTTAAGCAAGGCTGGAATTAAAGTTTTCTTTTGGCCTCAATCCAAATACACATTGAATTTTAGATTAATCTGCTTCCATCATATCATATACCTTCCTTCTGAACTTGAGTCTCCCTGCTGTTAACTTGCTGTGCATTTGGGACAGGATGCACAAAGAGATGTGATAGCATGTACTTCCTTCCAATCAGAAGACACTAGACAGCATTTTCTGATATTTCTGTCTCTAAATCCAGGTCCCACAGACTCCTGTTTTCTCATTTTAATTCTTTGTGGTTGAGATTGGTTAATTTTTCCCATCCTTGTATCCACAAGCCCAATAAGAGCATTTCAGTTATGAATGAGAACTTTGGGTATAAAAGAGAAATGATGGTGAAGAAGCATAATGATCAAGAACTTAGACGATGAACCTTACCAGGTTTAATTAAACCTTTTCTTTGAGAAAGAGCTGTAGTTACTAGAGGGCAATCATTATCTGTCTTACTGATTTTGCAAGTACTATATTTTTCTTTTATCTCTGATTCAATCTTATTCTTGGTCTTCAGTATGTAAAGCTGCCAAGGCAGACCTGGTGTTTATGGTAGATGGATCCTGGAGCATTGGAGATGACAATTTTAATAAGATCATCAACTTTCTGTACAGTACTGTTGGAGCCCTGGACAAGATTGGTGCAGATGGAACGCAGGTAAGGCTAATAAATCAATCACTAATTCATTCTATGCATTAAAATTATTTCTCAGGCTCTTACTATGACTACTTGTCAAGGGATTTGGATAAGGAACTCTAAGGAGGTGATGCTAATCCTTAAATGCTGTTGAGTTCAGCAAATTACACAGGGTAGAAATGCCACATTTCTTTTCTATTCTAAAGAAGAATGTCTTTTTTAATAGTGCATGTAATAGTTTCCCTGCTTTTAAGGATATTAAAATCTTGAAAGGAAGAGGTTATGGTCACATATTGCTACAGATCAAGCAGGACATGAAATTAATTTATTCGTTTAATAAATATTGTAGGTCACAGTTCTAAAATATAAACAAAAATAATCAATTAAAATGGCCCCCAAATTCCACAGGAATAAAAGTAAATTGTAGGAAATGAAGCCAGGTAGGTTTATATTGTACTAGTTAAGATCACAGATTTTGAGATGAAATTTACTTGGCTTTAACTGCTGACTCTCAGTGACTACACACTTGTGGTCTTGTCAAGTTATGTGCCTAACTACCTTATCTGTAAAGTGGCTAGACTAGAATTAGTTGATTCTTAGGTTTGCTTCCTAAGGAAGTCCTTGTAAAGAATTCAGCTCTGATTCTCTGACATCCGTCCCCTTTCCAGGCTTAGGATACCATTTGTCACTTGTCAAATGAGGAGGCAAACATCCTCTGTGCTTTAGAGAGATTTTTAAAAACTATTTTCTGAAAAGTATTTGGATAGAAAGAAGCTATTTAATTTGTGTTCAATTTGATATGTGATTTGTATGAAATTCCTCCAAGAGGCATGCAGAATCAATTCAGGAAGGAAGTAAAATTGTAGGTGATATGGTGCAGCTGTTCACGTTCTCCAAGCTTGTGGAAGTCTACACCTGTGTAAAGTGACTATGCCTTCTCTGTCCAGGTGGCTATGGTTCAGTTCACTGATGACCCCAGAACAGAATTCAAACTAAATGCTTACAAAACCAAAGAGACTGTTCTCGATGCAATTAGACACATTTCATACAAAGGAGGAAATACAAAAACAGGTAAGACCAAAAATGCCCAGTAATTTACTATTAGTAATTACTGAAATGATGTTTTCTTTGAAGCATAAAAAAATTTTTAAGTTACTTTCATTGATTTCAGAACTTTGTCTCACCCTTTTCTCTCTAGCAAAACAAAGGAGTGAAATTGAACCATTGCCTTCCTTTGTTTCAGGAAAAGCAATTAAGTATGTCCGAGATACCTTGTTTACTGCAGAGTCAGGTACGAGAAGAGGCGTCCCGAAGGTTATTGTGGTTATCACTGATGGAAGATCACAAGACGATGTGACCAAAATCTCCAGGGAAATGCAATCAGATGGTAAGTGTTAGATACATAAACACTACTGTTTATATAACAGTGTCAGCATTGTTGTTTGCTATATACAAATTCATAGGCTTCATCAGCTTTGCTTAAAGAATTCAAAATCTTTATTAACTAGACAATGTGATTTTTAAAATCCTCTGGTTTACAAATCTGTAACTCTACTCTTTTATTTGAGAAAACTTATCATTTTCTCTAACACTTTTGTTCTGTACAGGATACCCTGTATAAGCATCCCCAGCTCTGAACTACAATACTACGTAAAGGACCATTGTAAAGGGCTAGGGCGAAGACCTCGTTACAAAAACTCCTTATTCTCCTACTCTGTGAAATAGAGATTCTCACTGGACCATTGTGATTATAAATTATATAAGATATGCCTGGAAAATAGTAGCTTTTTATGTGTGAGGCTTTGAATGATGACCCACCTTAGGCTGCTAGGCTTATCCTAGTTTCTACTTCTGAAAAAAACACTGAGATAGTTCAGTTTCTGTGTACCAGCTGTACCTCATCTCATAAATGTTGAAATAACTATTACAAATATGCAAACATAAAGATGTTACTCAAATGGGAACTATTTTGTCTGCAGCAGTAATTGTGGCGTTAACTTTCTTTAAAATGGAAAATTTCTTTAGGAGATGATGGAATAATTCTCACATAATGAATAATGTGCATGCAGAATTCTGATGAACTGTAAGGAATGGATTGTCCACCCCCACTGGCCTTCCTAAAGAAACACATTTTAAACATTTGGGACATCCAAAGTCTTGTGTTGCTGTATTTTGTGCAATTTAAAATAACAAAAAAATTGGTTCTCTTTCTGCCACAGGCTACAACATTTTTGCAATTGGTGTGGCTGATGCGGATTACTCAGAATTGGTTAGCATTGGCAGCAAGCCCAGTGCACGCCATGTCTTCTTCGTGGATGACTTTGATGCCTTTAAGAAAATTGAAGATGAATTAATTACTTTTGTCTGTGAAACTGCATCAGCAAGTTAGTTCTTTGAAATTCGTACATATGTTGTTTAAACTGTGAAATATCTAATATTGGTTGAATAATGGATCCCACCTTGAACAGAGGAAAGAGCTATTTGTTATGCAGACATTTTTTTCTTACTACTAATTTTTATCTTTTAAATTATTTTGTTAGCATATAATAATTTGTACAGGGGGATACATTGTGATATTTACATATGTGCTTACAATATATCTTAGATTTCCCCCGCCATCATTCTCCCTCTTCTTCCCTCACCCCCTTCTTAGAACAATTTCAACAGATTTCATTCTTCTATTTTTATAGACGAATACAAAATACACCCCCCTTATTCACCTTAGTTCCCCCTTTCCTCATGCCCATGCACCTCCCACTGGTACCTACCCCCAGAAAAGATCTATTTTCCCCTCCTGCCCTTCATTTTTTGAGCATATATTGATAGTCCAAGGGGGTTTTGCCTTGGTACTTCAGGCCTGTATGTGTCATGCTTTAGTCAAATTAAATCCCCCATTACTTACTCATTCTCTGTCATCATGCTGCCCTAATAGTCAACAACTTACAGTATAGTGCATTATATTATATTCATATATAGCATATAAGTATCTATATGTACATTTAACTTACAGGTCTAGCTTCCACATATAAGGGAAACATGCAACTTTTGACTTTCTGAACCTGGCTTACTTTGCTTAACATCAGATTCTCCAGTTCTATCCATTTACTTGATGCAGATATTATTAAGGTTTATAGTTTTGAGCACATGGAGTAAACCTTCCCTCTAGAGTTTTAAGGGTTGTTGTTTTTGTATTTTGTTTTGTTTTGTTTGGGGACAGTGTCTTGCTATGTTGCTCGGGCTGGCCTCTAAAACTCACTATGTAGTCAAGCTGACCTTGTGATCCTCCTGCCTCAGCCTCCCAAATGCTGTCGAGTTTTAGGTTGATAAAGATCTTCCCTAGTGAAACGAGAGTTTATATTTAAAAGTCAATGTGCTTAAAGAAATGTAAGAAGTAGTTTTCAAAAGTGAATGAAAACTGCTCATTAGTCCAATATGCTAGAAGTGGGGTGTCTCCCAACATGTGCTATGACAATGATTTTAAGGTACCCAGGAGATGAGAAGAGGAAGCTGTGACCCTTTGGTTTTAAAGGTGCACCTTATAGCATTTCAAGTCTTTACAAAAGCAGAGAAAACCACAGCCACATCTGATTTGTAGTCTCTCCACAACTCACTTCTGGGAAGGATATGTTAGTTTCCTATGCTCACCACAGGGAAAGATATATTTGGAATAGATGTAAGTTAGAGTTTTACATTGTTGTTTTGTCTTCCAGCCTGCCCACTGGTGCACAAAGATGGCATTGACATTGCAGGTATGCATTACTACAATTTTTACAAATAGAAATATATTAAATAGCTCTCATTGGGGAGTCAGGTTTCTAGTTTTTTTGCATTAAAATCCTTAATAGAAAAATACTTAAATTTAAAAATTCTTATTCTCTCTCTCTCTCTCTGGGTTTTTTTCCCTTAGGATTTAAAATGATGGAAATGTTTGGTTTGGTTGAAAAGGATTTTTCATCAGTGGAAGGGGTTTCTATGGAGCCCGGTACCTTCAACTTGTACCCATGTTACCAACTCCACAAAGACGCTCTGGTTTCTCAACCAACCAAGTATGTTTCTGTTGCAAGATATTAAAGTCTATCATGTGTTTGTTTTATCTCAATATTGAAAATGATGTTAATTTGAAATATATTGCCATAGTTCCCAATAGGATTTTCCATGATGTTTAAAGCAAATGATGTTTACATTTCTCTGCTTAAAAACACTAGACTCATATATAATGCTGATTGAACTTTAGCATGTAATCTTCTGAGAAAATATATTTTAAAAATTGATGCATATATGGTACTACATATACCAGGCATTATTCAGAGTCCTTATGTATGCTAACTCTCCCAAACCTCTAAACAACTCTATGAAGTAGATACAATTACTATCTCAGTTATGAAACAGAAACACAAAAGAAGCTAATGACTTGGCTATAATCACATTGTTAAGTGGCAATGTTGGGATTTGTACCCAGTAGTCAGGCACATCTTTCTTCAGCCAAAGAAATTCCAGAAGGGAGGCTGATGTTGAAAGCTTTCTTTATACGACACTCCCAGGACCAGGAGTAATATATTCTTAATTCTTGAAGGTGGATCTAGCTGGTACATCAAAAGGTCTAACATAGACAGGAATGCAATTAACTACAACATGTGGTAGAAAGTGACAAAATCATATGTTAAGTTTTACAAAAGGATTATAGATAAACATTTATTATACACAAACATCTGAGACTACTTAAGTGTTCAATGAGAAATGACTGGTTAGATAAGTTAGGAAATAGCCAAACAAGAGAAGATTGTGTGACAATTAAATATCATGCTTTAGAAAATATTTAAGAAAATGGAAAATGTTTATTAAGAGATGCTAAGAAAATACAAAATGATATAAAGTAGATTAAAACCAACATTCTTTGGAACTCAGGACCTCTTGCTTGCTAGTTAGATGCTTTATCACTTGAGCCATGCCCCCAGCCCTTTTTGCTATCTTTTGGGTAGGGTCTCATGTTTTTGTCCAGGTCAACCTAGGACTGTGATCCTCCTACCTACCCCCTCTTGCATAACTGGGATGACAGGTGAGTGACACCACATCCGGCTGTTGGTTGAGATAGGGTCTTGCTAACTTTTCCCCCAGGCTGGTCTTGAACTGTGATCCTACCAATGTCTGCTTCCAAAATAGCTGGGATTACAGATATAAGTCACTGTGCAAAGCCAACAGCTACAGCAGCAGGGAAATGTACCACACTGAAACAGTGATCTGGTTAGGATTGATGGTGATTCTTAATGCTTTCAAAAGCTTGGGGCTGGCAGAATGGCTCAAGTGGTAGAGAACCTGCCTAGTAAGCATGAGTCCCTGGGTTTAAACCCCAGTACCATCAAAGAAAAAGCTTATGTAATGGAAGTATATTTACTTTATAATCAAAAGAATATATATTTTTAGGAAAAATACATTAAAACATTGTTTTCTTTCTACTTTCAGGTATTTGCATCCAGAAGGATTGCCTTCTGATTACACAATCAGTTTTCTATTCCGGATTCTTCCTGACACTCCACAGGAGCCATTTGCTCTTTGGGAAATTTTAAACAAAAATTCTGATCCACTAGTTGGGATCATTTTAGACAGTAAGCATATTTACTTGTATACATTTGCAGATATATGTATGAATAATGTATGTGGCATGCCATCTTGTCTGTTTCATCTATACTTCAGAATAACTCACTCATTTTATGTAATGCATAAACACTGAATAATTAATTATGTAACAGTTGATTCATTCACTTATCTATTCATTCTTTCAACAAATATTTCTTGAGTTCCTACTTTGTGTCAGCATGAAGCTCTGGAATACAGTAGTGAGCAAGGTGAGAAGAGATGAACAGTTTTTACTGAGGAAATGAGACCACAGGCAGAGCAAAATTGGTGAGGGATTTTTTTAGGAAAAGTGGGACAAGAAGTACATTGTTTTGGACATGATTATGATAATGAGATGTCCATTTGATATTCCAGAGAAGATGTCAGGTTGGTAGCATTAGTATTTGGGAAGAATTCTGGGGTAGAGATACAAATTTGGAAGTTGGATGTGTTTGATATACAATTCACAATACTGGGTTAGATCATTAAGAAAATAAGCATAGAAAGAGAAGAGAATCCATTTAGAGATGGGAAAGCTCCAGTGTTTGGAGGGCAGAAAGTTGAGAAGGAACAAAAGAAGGAAGAACTCAGCATCATACTCTGGAATGCTTCACATGAGGATCATCAAGTTTTTGGTTAACATCACCAGGTTTTCTAAATCTCAAGACTGGAATGAAGCTAGGGACCAAAATTTGAAGGCTATTTCAGGGTACTGACTCAAACACTTGGACATGGAGAATTTTTTAAGTTTATTTCAAATTAGTATTTGTAAAAGGATGTTTCAATACTTAGAAAACAATCAACAACTAAATAGGATATACCATTTTGCAATGGTATTAAAACTAAGGGAAAGCTATGGACTATATAAGTATAAGTCACTGAGAACATGTACATCCTGGAGGTAAAAACAAAGATGGCTGTTAAAATTATTAAAACTAGCTTGTTCCTTTTGAAAGTAGGGTGAAAATTGAGTTTTAATGTGGGAATGCATTAGTGAGAAAAATAATATTTTTAATAATAAAATACTTCTTGTAAGGTTAGGGATTCAAGACTAGAAAGGCTTTTGTTTGTTTGCTCATAATAAATGACACATGTGGGTGGTATAAGTTGCATTTCCTGAGAAAGTTATTCTCTGCAGTGGGTTAATAAGACAACGTGTCTGGTTTCTATTTGTTAGGATTTGATTAATTTTATTATCTCTCATTGTTTGCCTCTACTCCAAACTTTGGACAACCTTTGCCAAGAAAATGATGGGGATGAAAATATAGGCAAGAGGGTATAGGGGAAGAGTGTGTAGGTTGTTTGCCTTCCCCATGCCCCATCACCACGTGGTTAAATCAGTGAATTTAGCCAGTTGAAAGCTCTTGGCAACGTGAGGACTGTTAACCGTTTTTTCATTCATCACTTTGTTTCAGCCACAGTTTCAAAGAAATGCGTGCATTACATTCAGTCTCCAGCTTAATTTTAGAAAAAAGTTATTCATCCATTTTAATTCATTCTAAAGTATTTTCATTTTTCTCTGCTTGACTAGATGGTGGGAAAACTCTAACATATTTCAACTATGACCGCCATGGGGATTTTCAAACTGTTACTTTTGAAGGACCTGAAATTAGGAAAATTTTCCATGGAAGTTTTCACAAGGTTAGTAATGCTTCATATACATATATTCTTTATTCTCTTTTCTGTTGGGAAAAGCAACAGAAACATATTTTTAAAAATTCATAGAAATTTGAACTAGAGTAAGAATTACTACCTTCAGGCTTGTTAATAACACCCAGAGATTCTGATTAAGTAGTTGTGAGATGAGACCCTAACGTGTGTTTTCAGAAGGCATTCCAGGAGATATTGACAGAATTAGTCCAGATCCCTCCTTTAAGGAACAATGTAGTAGACAGTACTGTATTACTAAGCAGACTCTTGTTTATTTGCTACAATATGTAGAAAGGATTGTTGGTCTACCTGGCCACCAGTGCACATGAAATTACCATGTGACATTTTTACACACGTTTACTGATATTTTTATAGATGTTCAAGGACAACCAAGAATTGCCATCATAAAAGTTACCTTGAGAAAAAAATTGTGAAACTTTACTTATTCTTATTTTAATAACTTGGCTCTTGTGATCGTATTCTTTCTTAACATTCATTTCTAAGAAACATGGGTGGACATTCTTCCTTTCATCCACTGCTGTTTCCCTTGCATTTGGTGAATAAGCCCACTGATTTCTGAGCTGCTAATTAGTGTAACATCCAGACTGCAGGATGAACAGAGCACTCACTAGTGGTACTCAGAAAGCCTTGTCGCCTAAGTAGGTTCTTCCTTCCCTGTTAGAGAAGGTATGTCACACAGCAGTCTTCATCTTGGCTTGTGTCTCATTATCTACAGTGTGGTCAAATCCATCTAATTTGTGTAACTTTGCTACTTTCTGTGGATTTGAATGTCATAATTGCATGTCATAAGAATATGTCATAATGACATATGAACCATTGCATAAGAAAACTAACTGGTACTTCTTCATGTTCAATAGAACTGCACTACCAGAAATAAAGGTATGAGAGATAGTAAAGAATGTGAGATACAGTGTGTGTGTGTGTGTGTGTGTGTGTGTGATATACCAGTTCAAGGTTCAGAATGGTCCTATTAGCAGCTCTTTAGACTCAACCTCATTTACTTAGGACATTCCTCTTAGCATGATTCTTTTGTTTTTGGTTATGCAAGGTCCATTGTAGAGCAGTCACGAAAAACTGTAAGGGATACAAAAGCATTTGCAACTTCACAAGTGTTAAAGGCAGCATTTTATCTTACTTTGTGGTTTAGGCATGAACTTGTAATTCTCATTCCAAAGACTCCTTTATGAGTCTTAGGTGCACGTTAAGCTTTATTTACCTTACCAGTTCCCAAATACCTAGAAGTCATTAATAATTGACTGTAAATTTATAAGCCTTCAAATTTGTTAGAGTTATATGAAGAAAGACTTTCCTCCACTTTAATTGTTGATAAAACCAAAGAACCAAACAATAAAGGAAAGAAGAAGAAAAAGAAAAAAAGGAAAGAATTACATGTAGCAAACTGTTTTATAATGCATTTATTCACAGAAATGTCAATGCAAATTCAATTTAGAGAGATCAAATTTTATTTGTTCATAGATTATGTGAACAAATATCTTAATTTCTCATTTTAGTTGGCTCTACTTTTTACACTTTTGATATGAAGTGTGACTCTAAAATCTCTTTCTAAAAGTTAATTCTATAAATGAACCCTTGAGTGCAACCAAAGAAGCAAAATATTTTTGAAAATGTTTCAGTGTCTTGTTTTGTAAAGCAGAAATGTATTGTTGTTTTAAACATTTGAATAATTTCCCCACAAATTAATAGTTTTTATGGCATGGATATTATATTCCAGGGCTTATAGCAACTAGCACAAAAATTTTTGTAATTTATAATAATAAAAGTATTCCAAGACTCAAACTTTATACAGGAATCAAGTTCTGCTCTTCTAAACGACTACAATAAAGATGTGTATAGAAGCTAGGCACTTCAGCAGTGTCTGAGTAATAGTTAACTCCTTTTTTCAGGAAAAAGACTCTTTGGAACCCCACTACTGACTTGGCGTGCTAGGGCATGCCTACACTGGTAGCACTGTAGGAGGCAGAGGCAAGAGGAATGTAAGTTCCAGGTCAACCTGAGTCCCTGTTTCAGAAGATAAAACCAGACAAATTAAAAACAACCAAAATCAAAACCAACCAGCCAAACACACAAAAGCTTCACTGTTGACTTAATTTTTAATCCTAAAAACATTTTTGTTCTGACAGAAACAAATTTAATGTTTATTAAATAGCATTTGCTATAATAAATCCATATGCTTTCAAATCTTATATAACAATGAAACAAAAATAAATTGAATAAAACCAATAAAGTTTTAAAAAACTTTTATATGCTAGGTGATATTTCACTGGCATGCAACCTTTGCTCCAAGGTGAATGCAGTATTAGCTGTTATCCTTCCCGTAACCTTGACTCATATTGTCCAATATTCTTTTTCATTGAAGTACTATGATACCTTCCCTTAAGCAGTTACTTCTTTTGGCTTTCACTTGAGGTAAACTATTATAATTTACCTCTTAATTTCAGTCTTTTTTCTCACTAGCCCAACATAAACAAATAATACTCCTGAAGCAAATTCCATTATAAATCAAAATGTGTTTATAAGCACACACACTAGAATGTTATGTCAGAGCTTGGTCACAATGTGATTACCTTATTCATCTAGAATTTATTTACCCTTTACTATTGCCTAAATGTTAACATAGGATTTCTTAAATCCTAAAAAAGAATGTGTACACTTCTGAAAACATGAAACAAAAATAAATTGAATAAAACCAATAAAGTTTTAAAAAACTTTAATATGCCAGGTAATATTTCACTGGCATGCAACCTTTGCTCCAAGGTAGATTCTTGAGATTAGAGTTTGAGAAAAATGCACCATATATAAAGCAAAAGGGCTTTATTTCACTTGGACCTGGAGTCACCAGAAAGCATTCCTCTTTCCCTCTCAGATGTTAGCTATTCTTTCCTCATGCTCCATTAAGCAAGTCTTATCAAAGTGTGGTTTGTCAGCTGCTGTTGTACCTTAGATAATGTATGGAGGTCAATCAAGAAGGAATTTTTATGGATGGAACTGGAGAACATAATTCTGAGTGAGGTTAGCCTTGCCCAAGAGACCAAAAATCATGTTCTCCCTCATATGCAGACATTAGATCAAGGGCAAACACAACAAGGGGATTGGACTTTGATCATATGATAAAGTGAGAGCACACAGGGAGATACAAGGATAGATAAGACACCCAAAAAACTAGATAGCATTTGTTGCCCTCAATGCAGAGAAACTAATGCAGATACTTTAAAGCGACAGAGGCCAATAGGAGAAGGGAACCAGGAACTAGAGAAAAAGTTAGTTCGAGAAGAATTAATTTAGAAGGTAACACACATGCACAGGAAAGCAATGCAAGTCAAATGCCTGTTTAGCTATCATTATCTCAACTAGCAAAAACCCTTGGTCCTTCCTATTATTGCTTGTACTCTCTCTTCAACAAAATTAGAGATAAGGGCAAAATAGTTTCTGCCTTGTAGCGAGAGGGTAGTGGGGGAAAAGGAGGGGGCGGGGGGTAGGGGAGGGGGTGGGGGGAAGGGGGGAGAAATGACCCAAACATTGTATGCACGTATGAATAAAAGAAAAAATTTTTTAAAAAGAAGGAATTTTTAAATTTTAATAATGTACTTATTGTAATGTACAAAGGTATAACACAGCAATCCTATAATTTCACAGTTGCTTTTTTTTTTTGGAGAAAAGGTAAATTTTTATAGATTTTAAATAGTGAATCTTTTCAAAATCATTTTAAGGAAAGGTGTTAAATAAAAATAGAGATGTACTTGAATGTCAAACTATCATGGAGGTGGTAAAAGTGCGTGGTGACAGAATTCCTTCTCTTCTCCTTAATACTTTTTAATGATGAATCATACAATTATACAAATTTGATTGATATATCCTCCTACATTGTACCTCCTAAAACATTTTTATTTTTACCCAGCTACATGTTGTTGTCAACAAGACTTTGGCCAAAGTGGTTGTTGACTGCAAGCAAGTGGGCGAGAAGGCAATAAATGCATCAGCTAATATCACTTCGGATGGTGTAGAAGTACTAGGGAGAATGGTTAGATCAAGAGGACCAAATGGAAATTCTGCACCAGTAAGTGGATAAACACGTGAAGCCATATTACTATTATGGAAACAAATATTTTAAAGTATATTTAGCTATTTTTAAGGAAAAATTTTGGTAAAGGAATGGATGGATGATAAATAGAGTATACTCTTTAAAACATGTACATTCTGCCATAGTATAAGACTGATCCATGAATTAGGCTAGTTTATGATCTAAATACATTTTAAGTTTTGAGTGGTATAATATTCATCACTTGGTTTATGGCATAAGTGGTTTATTATTGGAAATCAAAACTGTAGATGAACCTCATTTATATAGGAAACACACATCAATACATAATTTCTCAATATTATACCTAAGAAAATGACATATGTCTCTAGTTTGAGTAAGTTTTAAACATTTTAAAACTAGGTTTTTGCTATTGCCAATGTGAAGTTTACCCTTTAATCATTAACAGTTATTTATGTAAGAAATCATTCTAAGATAATAAATTTTTCAACATACAGAATGGAATTTAAGTCTGGGAGACTTCCAATTGGCAAAGAAATCCTGCTTTCTTCACTCATTACCCACAAAAAAAGAATAGTGTGTGCAGGTTTTTGTTTTAACACCATACATTCACAGCTAATTAGCAGCGTTCTCTAACTTGAGTCATTCCTTAATTAGGAAGGCATTTCATTCTTATAACAAGTCCACCTATTCTAATCTACAGCTCTCTTCTATGTGGGAATAATGAAGATATTTTTGAATCATTATTATTGTCTTGCATTTTCATTGTCTTTAGAATTAGTGAGTTACATTTCGTCAGTCTTTGGAATTAGCTGTAGAAAACTATAGTGATGCCCAAAATCTTTTTGAAGAAAGCCTTTTACAAAGGAAATTTTATACCATGTCATATAAATAAGATTAAAACAGACATACTCTATTTGAATGAGGGAGGGGACATGAGGTGAAGTGCCCCCACCCTCCAATGGTCCCTTTAAGTAGCACAGTTTTAATTATAGTCTATTCATTTTACATACTACAAACAATCCCAGAGTGGTAAAGTGATTTTCTTTGAGACGGTATGCTATTTTGTGGCATTTCTCTTTTAGAAACTCCTGCTCCCAATGTGAATGCAGAATTAGCTGCTATAACTCTCATAACTTTGATTCATAGGGCCTAATACTCTTTTTCATTAAACTACCATGATACCTTCCACTGGTGCTTTCAGATCTTCAAAGGTAGCTGTGTGCTAATTAGTTTTGAAGTATCTTAAAATGCCTTTAGTTTCTACTTTGCTTCAGAGAACTATGGATTAGATGGTTAGAAAAAGACCATGAAAGCTATGGAAGACTTTTTAAAATTTTCAGTTATGATGTGGGTTCTTTAAAAATGTTTACATGACATTAAGGAGTTTTCTTCACTTACTGTATGGGATTCTCATGCTGTCTAAGAAACATATAATCTGCTTAATGGAAAATGCTTTCAGGAATTTATAAGAATGTAGAATTAGCAAACTAAGGATATCTTGTATGGATATTTGGATGGATGCTTGGAAGGATGAATAGGTAGACTCTAAGAAAGAGATACAACTTCAGGTGTATGAGATTCTAGGCCCAAATAATTTAATATTATTATTTAGATTTTCTTGATTTCAAAAGTATTGCCTATAGTCTCTGACACTTAGTAGAAATTCAGCAATGAGTAGTTATTGCTGGAGGAAGTCAATGCCTTCTCCATCCTCCATCCCATATTTTCTAGGCTACTAGCTCATATTTTAAATCCAGTTATACAAGTAATATATAATAAAGAATATATACAGATATTTGTGTGTATATATATATATATAATTTTGCTCACCTCTCTAGCCACAATATAAATTACCTAAAAAAAGGTGTAATCTTTCTTTGAAATCACTTCCTTTTACCCTATATCATAGTATGTAATAAATTCTTGTAGATAGAATATGTTCTCAAGAAACATTTGATAGAAATAAATACCATACTCTCTCCTAATTATAATTTGTATTTTATAATTGCAATAATTTTATTTCAAATTACACTGTACATAATAATTATACTTTGAATACATGGCCAATGAAATAACAAAGAATTGGTTTCTGAAAGTAAACTTGCTTATAGGTTTACTCATGATAAATTTTTACTTGGGGTCATAAAACAGACAGAGTATCCTTTGTGGTGACTTATAGCCAATAGTAGACAAAGGGGAATTTGTAGAAGTTGATAATTAAAGCATTCTTATAAGTCTAATCAGAAAAAAGTCAAAGCTTTTGTTAGAATTGAGAAATATATAGAGGATTACTAAGTAGATTTTCAGTCTGCCCACTTGTTGAAGAATTTGATTATTTTGAAATGGAAGAGGTTAGGTTAGATCTCAAGAATGCTATCAGAAACTCAGATTTTTTTTTGAGGTCTTTCTTAATTGTTTCAGTATAAAGTAAGAGAAGCCCTGGTCTTCATTTAGAAATTGATTAACCTTGACAGACATCAGTATTCCAATAACCAGCAAAAAGAATGTGTAATGTACAAAGTTCAGATTATTTCAGGAGAAATTATTGTATGAGACAATAGTGTCTTGTAGGTCAATATTCCCGGCCAAATTCAGCAATGATTCTATAAATGCCAGATGGTAGGAAACTCTAAAGATTCCATCTTTAAAGACTAATATATTCTTTTTCAACCACAGTTGAGTGAAGGATAGATTAATGGATTTAGGGATACAGTACTACTGTATAGAAATTACTCACATTCTTAACAAAAACAACTTGTGCTCAGCAATGTGAATTTTGTAAGCAGCAGTATTTCCTAGTGGGACTAAACTAATAAGCAGGCTTAACTTAGCCATCAAACACATATGGAAAGAAATTTAACTGTACTTCTTTCCAATCTTTTTCCTCCTAAGAAGTTTTGGTTACTTTTTCTGATACCTAATGAGATAATTCTAGAAATTTTCTGAGCTTCTGGAATGGGATCATGTTTCTTCAATCTTTCTTCTACCTTTACAAATCTAACTTGTAGGTAGCTATCCAGTTGGCATTTATTTAGCCTTTTGCTATTCAGATAAAACAGAAATATAAACTATGCCATGGATTCATCTATAATTATATTCAATGAGTTAGTTTTTATGTAGGATTCAATAGTAGTCTTGTCAATGTCCCTTCAAAAGCTAAATGTTAAATTAAAAAACAATGTTAGTGTGTTTTCACATGAATTATCTCTTTAAACCTGAAAATGATAATGGTGGCTAATATTTATTATATGCTACTAGGCAGTGGGTATTTTTCTAAGAACATCAATTTAGTCATCCAATAAACTTAGAAAGAGATACATTGTCCCCACTCTATACATACAAAAAGTGATGCTTAAAGAAGCTAGGAAAGGAATCCCAATCAGAAAGAGAGGTAAGTGAGATGAGACCGTATCTGACTTCCATAAGATCACCTGCCCTCCTTTCTAGTGGTTTTTCCCACTGATTCTATAGAACTTAAGGCAGAGGAGGAGGGTCTGTGACTCTCATTGACAGCTTCCAAGAGTCCCCATTCTTTGAATTACAACCTCGAAAGTAAATGTAGTCAAAACTTACCCACAAAGTGTGTCTATATTAAGTATTTTAATTTCTACTGACAAGTAGAACAAGTGCTAACTTTCATTTCCCAATTTAATTAGAACCTTCATGGTTTTCCTAGAATTCAATAAATTAGTTAAGAACAAGCAAAAACATTCAGTTCAATCATTGGCAACTGGTAAATGCTCAGCACTTAATGGTTTTATGATGGACTGAATTAAGTTAGACACCAAATGAAAAGCAGAACATGGCTTAGGTTCACAATACTCTTTCTGTAGTATTCTCATGCACTGAAAGCGTTCTGTTGTATAAATTCAGGTTCAGTTTCACTTCAGTTGTAAACTTAGTTATGCTGTTATGCTAGAGAAAAAAAAAAGGATAAAATCTGGAATTGAAAAATCCACTGAAAGTAGAACCAAGAATACATTTTAATTCCCATTCACAGACTCAACTGCTGAGAAATATTTTAATCTTATTTTCATGCTAACATTTCACCCCAAATGATGCCTTTTGTGCTACGCCCGGACAAAATGTCCAACAATGGAAAATGAGCATTTGTAATTGGATAAGTATTCCCTTGAAGAGATTACAAAAAGTGAAAGAAGGGGCTTGTGTCTCCTTCCTTCTCTCTCTCTTGCATCTTTTTAAAAGGTTAGTTAGTTACAAAAGGCAAAAAGGGGCTACCTCTTGTATTAGTTGCCTGAAATAGGGTTTATTTTGAGACACATTGTCTTGTGTTTTCAGGCCCTCAGATATGACATGTTTTGACATATCATTTCTGTACTCTCTCCTATGTAATTTGTACAAATATGTGTGCCATTGCTTTTGGAATAAAAGCCAGAGGGTTTTTTTTTTAATTAGTTTTGTTTTTTGTTTTTAAATCAGCCTCCAGAAATGTGCCTTGGGAAAGACATCCCTAAATACAAGTTGAGGAATCTAGACTATTACAAATGCAAAACAATCATGAATAAATTTGTTGTACTCAAAGAAAAAGCTGCTGATTTCATCTAACTTGCAAAATTTAGACAGCCCACAGAGTAGCATTCCTCAAATGATGGTATGGGTTTCAGTCAGCACTTAGTAGGCATTTAACCCGTTGAAGAACTAAATTGAGCTCATTAGAATCCCTGCAACTCCACAGAGCAGGAATCTAGCTGAAGATTTGTATGTAGACATTATGCCGTTATGGGAGACTCGGTGGTGAATGTTTATTTAAACATATTTCAAGAAAGCTTGATGCATACTGGAGCCAGTGAGAGGCCTTTGCTTTAAGTAAGTCTTTCCATTCACCAAAGTGTTTTTACACTGAGGGCTCTATTCAGAAATGGAAAATTTCTTAATGGATGAATGATTTGCAGATTTAACTACTAAATGCTGTCATAAAGGGGTCCCATTTAATAAATGTCCCCAGATGAAATGGCATTGTAAGGTTAGGCTGGCTATCTTCGTATGAAACATTGAACCAAAGATGCATTTGTTGCATGGCTTAAACTACACAATTGTTGTATTGTTCAAATCCCAGCAAGAACTGAGCTTTCAATATGTGGTCCAATTATTTAAGTTTTTCATCCCAGGTCCTAATTTATAGAAAGGACATTACAATTGTCATACCTCATTGTGATGGCCTGAGCAGTAAGTAATATATGCACAGGGCTTAGAATAAGTGTGGTACATACTAGATTTTCAACAATTTTTGATTGCTATTTTTATTTGCTAATATTTTTCTTACTGAAAACATTAAACAGACATTATGGTAGAATGAAACAACTATTTTATTTCTGCCCTCAATACTGTTATTTAGAACTATGTTCCAGGCATTGTCCTAAATATTTTTCCATACTAACTTAACAACAAATATATGAGTGTCTTCTACAGGTTGAGTATCCCTTACTTGGAACCAGAAGTGTTTTGAATTTTGGATTTTGGAATATTTGAATATACATGATGATATATATAATATATATAATCTCATCCTGGGAATAAGATTCATTCCCTTCATGTATATCTTATATACTTGTCCAGAAAGTAATTTTATGCAATATCTTTAGTGTACCCACATTTTTAATGTAACTGACCCTATGAGGTTAGATAGAGAGTTTCCTACTTGTAGCATCATAGTGACACTCAAAAAGTTTCAGACTTTGGGATTTGGGGTGCTCAACTTGTGCCGTTACACTTCTTTTACAGGTCAGAAATCTGAGAGTCCAAGACAGAAAATAATTTGCTCACAATAACTTAACCTGTCAGTAGCAGAGTCAGGGACTTTACTCTCCTACCCAGCAGTTAGCTCCATAGGATCCTAATCCCTGTGCTCGTTGAAATATTTGATGCAATTCTTATTTATAAAATTCAGCTATAGTATACTTTTAAGAATGTTTTAATTTTAAAAACTTACTCTTTATTGGTCACAATTTTGTTGTATGGGTGCCTATAATGGCTCATGTAAAACAGTTACCCTTGGGGCTGTAAGTTAAACCACCTAGAAAAAAAAGGAGTGAGCCCTGCAGAAATTTCAGCAAACAGCATGGTAGATGTGTATAAAATCAACAACAACAAACAAAATAAGATGCATTGACCCATGGATCTGTTTTCAAAACCCAATGGTGATTTTATTGATTGGTTAGAATAAACATTTGCAATAAGGCACATAGTTACTCTTGGAAAGAGTAACAGAAAGTCTGAATGCATTTTTTTTATAGTCAGGACTAACTTTTTTTTTTTTATACATGTGTACATAATATTTCTACCATATTCACCCTCCTACACTCTTTGCTTATATCCTCTCCCCTGCCACTTGTACCAACCCCCAGACAGGACTTGTTTTGCCTTTCTATTCTCCATTTTTGTTTTTGTTTTTTTTTTTTAATTCGTTTAAAATAGCTAGCTATGCAGGGTGTTACATTGTGGCATTTCCATGTATATATGTGTAATAACCCAAATTGGTCCACCCTCTTCTATTTTTCTCCTATCTTAGTCCCCTCTAGGGACTAGCTGTTTGTGATGGTGCATGCAGTTTTAGTAACCTGTCTAATAGTACGTACTATCCATTGGGCATTCCCATTTTCATCTAGAGGCTCTTGGCAAAGAATGAGTCACACTTTTTGGGTAAAAATAAGGCACCAGGTTTCCAGCCCTTGCTGAAAACATTGCTTGCTGAAGGAAGGTTACAGATTAAGATGCAAAGATTTTCATCCTTCTCCCAGCACTATAATTGATAACACTGTGTATATTTGAAAATAAGGCAGAAAGAAGTGCATTAGAACTGGTTGAGTCATTACGTTAGTGTCAACCCTTTATTTTATAGTGATGCTTCTGTATACTTCAACATGTGCATTGAGTTAACACTTGCATAAATGAATGGAGTAAGGCTGCCTAAATATTTGCAACATGATCAATGGCTTACATAAAAACACACTTAGTTTACGTTCCCACTATGTCAAATGTGCATCTGTCGTTGCACTTAGCATGGTGTACATGGTATTTCATGTGCCAGCTTCTCACTCCCTGTAAGTGCTTCTTGGGCAAGACTGATTTTAAAAAAAAATGTGTCCTAAAAGTCAATATAATATCACTTACATCACACACCAAGGGAAAATTGCTGAATGTATGCATAAGGAATGAAGTAAGAAGTAATTCAACAAGCCTTCCTGACTGCTTATTAGATGCCACAGATTAGCTTAGTGACACAAAGATGAACATTTTCCTGTTCCTTGAAGGTCTAAGGAGGAAATAATGTACACACTGCACTGTATGGTGGGAAGGGAGCTCTGGCATAGGGAGCTCTGTGTGATTAAGGAAGGCGTTCACAGGGGAGCTAAATTTACTCTTCAGGTAGAGATAAGGATGTGGGTTGGGATGATGGAAGGAGAAATTATAGACAAAACAGTAGAGTACTGTGTGTTTGAGTAAAAAATTAATTTGATATTGTTGTATAGTTTTTAATTTACCTACTGAAATGTTTTGTTATAAATGTATTGGTTTTTACATGATATTTTACCTGGTGTAACATGAAATCATTATAAATATGAACACGATTCATTGATATTTCTCTTACTGAGTGACAATTTTTTTTGAATCATAGTTCCAGTTACAGATGTTTGATATTGTATGTTCTACATCATGGGCCAACAAAGACAAATGCTGTGAACTTCCAGGCCTGGTAAGAATTCTCTCATCTATTGACATTTTTCAAAATTAAATTAAATTTTTTCTGAAAACAAGATGCTGTTTCTCAATATTTATAACTAATTCATTGTGATAATAATTAACATTAGGAAGGAATGAAAAAGGAGACAGAAAAAAAAAAGACATCAAAAATACCAGTGCATCAATCACACATGGCGTGAACTGCACATCTCAGGAGGTCCCATTGACACATAGTCCAGATGCTCCCAAACTCCCTAGCTCATGAAGCCCTTAGTGTTTTAATGCTTTTCATGACATCTCTACATCAAAGTAAATAACTAGCAGTCACATTTCTAAAATAATTAGGTCCAGATATCGTACTAAGTATTTGTTTCCCTACAACTCAGTAGCCATGTAAAAAATAACCAGGTCAGGAGGTTTGAACTGAAATGTTTGATCACTGGCTACCATTTATAGAGAACAGTATATAGGGAAGATACAGGTCATTTGTTCAATATTTTTTGGTTTCTACTGTGAATATTTCAGAGATTTAATTATTTTCATCTTGATAATGTGACTATCATCTGTGCTCTATTCTCCTCTAACCTTACTTTCTTCCAAAGTCTTAAATAATGAAGTTATTTTCCTTTCTGTCCAGAGGAACTGATAAGACTATGAAGTTCTGTAGTTTCTTATCTCAGTGTTGAGTTCATGTTGGCGGATGCTCCAAATAGGATATTTTCAAATTGTTTAAAAGCTGTTACCAGGTGCTCAGTCTTTCTTCTCATTCCAGTAACTCATTCAGATACATTTTCCCTAATGTCATCAATCTACCTTCTAACATCACATGACAACAAAAGTCTCCACGAGAGACCCCTATTCCAAACTTTAGATTAATGCCATTTTTCTTATTTTCTGCCACAGAATCTAAGTAGCTGATGAAATTCGTTTTATTTTGTTTTGGTACAAATGCAGTTGTTTTGACTGAGCATTCCAAGTTTTCTTTTACTCTTTAAGACAAAGAAATGCTGTACCATAAAGAAAGTTTTCTGGCTCTTTAATTCATAGAATTGTACTACTACAAACAAATTAAATAGTAACCATGGATTTTTGTATCCTCTTCTGACTTTCTTTCTTTGCTTTGATTTTTTCCTAATCCTGTTTTAACGAATGGAGAGTTGTGATTTTGAGTGTTTTACTAGGTGCCTCTGCAGTTTTCTTACGGAAAACATTGCATGGTCAGGAGTGAATATTCACTGACTTTCTAGTCTAATGCTCACTTAAAATTTTAAGAAAATACCCCAAATCAAAGTGTTATCTTTGATTCAATAAAGTCATTTATATAGACTGCCTTGTTAATAATTGTGCTGATTGTCTTCCTCTCAGAGGGACGATGAGTCCTGCCCAGATCTTCCACATTCTTGTGCCTGTTCTGCAACCAATGAAGTAGCTTTGGGACCAGCTGGCCCACCAGTGAGTTTTGCTTGTTATTTAAATGTTCTTTAATAACTAGCTATCATTGTGTGTCTGACATGTGATGACTATGGTACTAAATGGCTATTATCCACTGGATCCCATGAGTAAACTGAGGCACAGTAAGTTGGCTAAAGAACACATCTTGGAGGAGTTGGGTTTCTAATCCAAGTCTCTGTGAGCCCTAGAGATGGCACTCTTTACCATTATGCCATGCTCTCTCTCACACTGCTGTGTGTTCAAAAATCTTCCATTTAATCTGCTGTGGCTTAGCTTCAGTGTGAGTGTTTCTATCATTGAACCTCTACTTATACCTATAAGATTTGCATAGCCTCCCTTTGCCATTCTGTATCAAAATTTATATGTAAGGGGAAGATTTTGCATTCCCTAAGAAACGTACGCATCTGAAAATAAATTTCCTAAGATCATAAACTTCCTACAGAGCATACTACAGGAAAGGAAGGAAGGAAGGAGGGAAAGAAGGAAGGAAGGAAGGAAAAGAGAGAAAGTAAGAGAAGACACTTTTATAAAATATAAAATGCAAATAATTATGCTATCTAGGTCTTTGAATGTATTATGATATATTTTTTATTATATTTAAATGCTCATTTTTTTCTCACCTGCTAAACTGATGTTATCAGTGTTTCATTAAGATAAGGCTGATATAGATGATCTGTGGTTAGGAAATGGCAAATGTATCAAGGCAGAAAGACAGAAAACAGAGAAAAGACACATAGACAAATAAAGAAACCCAGACCTTGCCAGAAGAATATTCTCACGCAGGACTTGTCCTTGCACACTGACTTGCCAAAGGTGGCCTGGCACAGTAGTACACGTGTGATAGGTAACCCACACCAGCAGCTGGCTCATAGCATGAACGTTCTCTCCAAGTTTGTTCCACCAACACGTGATTTTTGTGAACCAGAATTCCTGAACTAAATAAAAAAAGAAGAGAAACTGCTGAATATATCTGAAATATATCCCAGAAGTTCCTCCTTTCAAACTGTGGATCTAAGACCCAGATCTTAAGGGGCAAAAAAGTCTCTTTATCCCAAAGAAACAGATGTGGAGTAATGGAAGAAACATTAAATCTAAATTGTAAGACTAGACAAGTCACTGAACCACCCATTTCCTGATGTGTAAAATAAAAGTTACCTCTAACCGGTATTATGAGGAAAATACAAAGATAATTTGGCTGTGTATACTCTGTGCATTATAAAGTACAAATCAAATGAAAAGTGTTACATTTAAACTGGGAATCAAAAACTAATTTTTTTCAGCTGTGTACCAAATTTTCCTTCAGGCTCTCGAATAATAAGAAGCAATATTATACATTATAGTTTATTAAAGTATAATATATATCAGAATCTGCAGACTCTCCATCTTGGGAGTATAAGAATCAACAATTCTTGAACACACTAAAGCACGAAGAGTACTAGATACTTTTCTTTTGAAATTCACTGATTTGAAGTCAAAATTTGCTCATGACACATCTATGCCATTGATGGTCTCAGAGACAATCCACATGTTTTAAACCTAGTGGAAAAGAATAATTATTCATTGTATTCTAAGGATGCTTATGATGTCTGTTTGAGTAGGTTTTGGGGTAGAATTGAGTTGACCCCAAATAAAACACAGATTGTTTTATTTCCCTAGTTTTCTTTGCCGAAGTAAAAGTTACATACATTTTTTCGATGTTTTAAATATATCTTGTTAAACTGTAAAATATTTCAAACATTAACAAGGGTTACAAAAATTATTTAGGGCAATGAAATATTCTATACGATACAAGATTTAGACACAAATTGGTGGTTACATATCAATATACTTTCATCCAAGCCCAGAAAATGTATAGCAAGGTTGAACCGTAATGTGAACTGTGGACTTGTATGAGAATGATGTGTCAAAGCAGATTCATTGGTTTCAACAAGTGTACTAATCTTGATAGTTGAGAGAGGCTGAGTGTATGAAGGCAGAGGCCATATGGAAATTCCCTGGACTTTCTGCTCAATTTTTCTGTGAATCAAAATGAAGTGTGTTTCAAAATAAAAAAATTTAAGAGGCATTTTGTACCCACCACCAATATTAGTCATTTTTAGTTTATTTGTTCATTTATTAGTCTGACTTCTTTCCTTCCCTCTTCTTTTTCTTTCCTTCCCCCAAAGCTGACAATTTCATTACTTGTATGTTTTTGTACTTCCTGCTACATAAATATGTTTTCCCAAAAATATTGCATATTATAGTAGTAAATGTTTCAGAGTTACATAAATGTTATCATGGTGTATCTTTTTGTAATTTTCCCTTTTATTCACTGAGAAGTATGTCTTTGAAATTTATGCATTGTTTAGTTCATTAGTTGTGCCTGCCATAAGGTATTTCACTATATAAAATACATTTTATTAGTTCATTGTTGTGGAATATTTCCCAATATAAATAACACTACAGAGAACAACATTTTTGTGTCTTCTTGTGAGCCCGGAAGTTAGACTTGAATTTGTTGGAGAATGATAAAAGTGCATCTTCACTTTCATGAAGAAATCCCAAATTGCTCTTCAAGGTGGCTGTCCCAATTTGCCCTCTCAGAGACTCTGTGTTAGAGTTCTGGATTCCCTTCATCCTCACCAGCTGTGGTTGGTGTTGCCAGACAAGAGAATTTTTCTTATCTCATGTAACATTGTTACTTTAAGTGTGACTTTCCCTCAGTGCTAGTGAGGGAGAAGTTTCCATTTGTTTATGAACCATCCAAGTTTCTCCTATGTAAATAGGAGAATATGAAGCTTTTCTAGTTTTCTGTTGTGCTGTTTTGTTATTTCTCATTGATTGGTAGGTTTTTTTAATGTTTTCTGAATATGAATTTTAAATTAGTGAAAAATTTTTCTAATATACTTTCCAAGTCTGTGGTTTGCTTGTTGGTGATTAAGGGAATTTGTGTTGTCTAGAAAAGTTAATTCTAATGTAGCCAAATTTAACATTTTTATGAATTATCATGCTACATTTTCTCCTCCCTCCCTCCTTCCCTCCTTCCCGCCCTCCTTCCTTCCTCCCTTCCCTCTCTTCATTCCTCCCTCTCTTCCTTCCTTTCTTTCCTCTTTCCTTCTTTCCTTCTATCTCTCTTTCTTTCATTTTTGGTGCTAGGGATAGAACCCAGGGCCTCATGCAGTGTAAGGCAAATGTTCTACCACTGAGCTTCATCCTCATCTCCCTTACACTTTTCTTTATCTCTTCTTTAACCATGATTTATCTAGAACTGTCTTTTTAATTTCTAATCATATTGTGAGCGTTTTGCTATCGTTCTATTACTGACATTAATTTTTTGGTCTTTTATTAGGGTAGATAGTCTATATACTACCAATGCTTTGTTAAATTATCTTTGCAATTGTGCAGCACATATCCTGAGACTATGTTAAAATATCCAGGAATCTATAACAGCTACTTGGTATGTGAACCATTTAACTCTAGAAATTTTGCCTCAATTCCAAATATGTATAATGTCAATACAGTTTTTCAATATGGGTCTGTTCTCATAACTACAGTAGTAAGAGAATCTCAACCATCTGACAGTGGTCCATTATTTTATTCCAGCTCATTCAGAGGACAGCCTTTCAAGTTCCACAGTTTAAAAAAAAAATGTTTCACATTCAACCCTTCCCACCCATTATAGGCCCAAGTTTGCCTTGCAGTGCTTGTGTAGGCTTTACAACAGGAACTTTTCTGCATGCATCAGCTGTCTTCTCTGTCCTCCTTGAGGGCAATCTCAGTACATATCTCCCTGCCAAGGTTTTTGTTTCTTGTTTATGCCTGATACCTAGGGATTCACTTCTTAATTATAATAATGTTTATTTTAACCAATATATATATATTGGTTATATAAATATATATATATATATTTGGAGATCAAATCATTTTATTGGTAAGCGGTTGAAAAATTGCTGAGAAGGCAGTGAGGTCTGACATCCTTGACAAGACAAGAGCTTGACACTGCCATTCTGAAAGTTATTTTAACCGATATTAATAAGCATTTGTTGCTTGAGGGTTTTCAAGGTTTTTTCATCTGCAATATTGCTGCAACAAATCATAAAATATTTATTTATGGTATAAGTAATAGTCAAATGTGAGAAAGTAGCAGCAGAGAAGTGAAAAGGAAAGGTTGAACTCTGACTTGAAGGGAAAAAAGATGTCAAATCTGAGCAAAGCTTTTGAAATTTTCATGTTTCAATTCAAGAATAATCTAAGACATAATACCTTTAAAATATGTAATAAATCCTCTCTAATGATTGGACATAGTTTTGACTATTTTCTCATTCAGGCATTTATACAGTGGTACTATGTGCCAATAAAAGTATGAGAGATCTATAGGAGGGCATTGTAGAAGGATCATATTCATTTTGCCTAGACTAGAGCTTTCTTTAAAAGAATGGAAGTTTTTAATCCACAAATATGTGTTGAATTCTTGCCATGTGTTCAGTGATGAGAGTTATGGATAAGATGGAAAATGAGAGTAAAAGATCGTCCCTGGTTTTGAGAAATGGGCTTGAATGTGAGATAGTCACTTTTTGTATAAAACCTTCAGTTCAAAAACCAATCACTTAAGATGCACAAACAAAAGTTAAGAGTTACGACATTAGCTAACATGCATTAGGCAGCAAGAAACAGAAAATTTGACTAACATAGTGGTGTAAACTATTGGGACAGGAAGGCATTCATCATTGTTCAGCCAGAGGTTTAGAGGTCAGTGATTAAAGGGCAAGTGAATTGGAGCTACTCCATGGTTTCATTGACAGTCTGCACTTCTAGGTTTTCTATTGCTCTCCCCAGGCTGCCATTTCTTGACCAAATTGCCCAAAACTAGTAAGCACCACCATTCCTGCTGGCAAAGAGAAGCAAATCCTTTTGAGTCTTTAGAGTAGCAAGCATAAAAGGGAGAAGGGTGTCAGAAAAGTTATTAGGTAGTCAGTCAACAGTGTCTGACACAGAGCAAAAATGTTTTCCATGAATATAACAAAGGTATGTGCTTATATAATGTATATACATATGAAGAATATCTAAAAGTATAATATTAAAATATATGAAGAGTTTGTACTATTTCTACTATTAAAAAGGAACATACATGTAACCCAAGAAAACCCGGCAAAGTGTCATGAAAAAATAAACAATCATAGTAGTTTATAAGGAGGAAAAATTAAAAGTAGAATAAGGTGTTATTTCTTTTATCAATTAGGTTGGTAAAATGTAAAGTTTAATACATCCATGGTTGATTAAGATTTAGGGGGACTCTTTTAAACTATTGGCAGATGTATAAACTAGCAAAGCTATTTTGAAAGACCATTTAATAAAATGTCTGTGTATCTATCATATTTTACATCTTTCATCTTAATATCTTCTGAGAATCACTAAAGTTTTTACTTTAGGGCCATATTAGGATGTTGGCTGAAACAGTGTTTTAGTAGCAAAATTTGCAGAGAAAAGAATCCCTGTAACTTAAATAATTGGAGACTGATTAAAAAACGATTACATGTCCAAGGTTTGGAAAACTATGTAACAGTTAAGAAGAATGAGCCAGATCTTTATCTAATATCATGCAAAAAACTCTAAAACATATTAAGTTAAAAAAGTCAGACCTACATAAAAAGTATGACATTATGTATTTTAACTATACATATTAAATAATATCACAACAATACTATAGCAAATAACTTCTATATACACATATACATACATAACATTTTATAATTGTATTTTTAAAATCTGGAAGATTAGCATCCAACTGATAACGAAGGGGGAATGGATTTAAGTTAAGATCCCCTGGCCTTGTTCGTTCCCCAGCAACACAAGTGTCATTTTGATGGTTTACAAAGTCATTTTTAGTAACTGTAGATGTTGTATAGAATAAATTGGAATCACATATGGAGGCAGTTTTCCCATTTTCAATGACTTTCCAATCTTTCTGCTCAAGTGTAAGAGAAATTGTCTGATGGTCATGACCCTCCTAACTCATGTTCAACTCCTCTTTAATCAAAGACAAAACTGTGGCTCACTGACTTCAGTAGGCGCAAAATCTAGTTAAATTTAACATCATTTGCACCATTTTTATTGTTATAGTGACTTAATACTTTTATCAACTGATAATTTTTCCATTTACTGTAATGCTATAGCATTTGCTTTTAAAATAGATTCATTCAAATGCAATTGTCAACGTATTCAGAAAGTTTGTGTACGCTTGTGTATTTAGACACATATATACAAAGCATTTATATGCATATTTATAATGTAGATAGATATATAGCTATATAAAAACTGCTATTTAATAGTACAGGTAAGACATTAATATGTGAAAAATCTTGAGGGGAAATGCAAATGGCTCCCATTTCAGAAATGCAGATTGTCTTTATTTTTGTGTAAAAAAAAAAAAAAAAGAAAGTTAAATTGTTGCTTCTTTCATAGGCTTTTTGCAACTTAATTAAAGAATTTAATCTCAAAGTTATGGCATAAAATATACATGATTTTAGACCAGCCATATGTTTTATTCTTTTTATTCATGAGTAACAGTAGTCTTATATAAGTACTAGGTAAATAAATCCTGTACATTTTTGAGGTTTAAAAGAATTTGGCATGGAAAATTTTCTCAAACCATGAAATCATCTTCAGGGAGGGCTGGGAGCTGGGTGGTGAATTCCCAGTTAAGGACATGATGAACATATAACAGTATACAATGTGTGGGCTTTTTATAAAATAATAATGACATAATCCTATATTATTAAGAAAATGAATGAAATATACTGTTTTGAGATTTGTCTTTAAGCTAATTCTTAACATCTGTTTGCCAGGGTGGTCCAGGACTCCGAGGACCAAAAGGCCAACAAGGTGAACAGGGTCCAAAGGTAATTCTCTGTCTCTTTCTTTCTCAAGTAGCCATCATAATGTGATTTAATTTACTCTTGTGATTTAAAGCTTCCTAGCTTTATGAAAGTTGTCTCTAACCATTTTTCCTTATTTTTAAAGACTTGTGCTTCTTAATTAAAAACAGCATTTAATAGCAGTGAAAAAAAGATTCCTGGGACTAAAACAAGTGTCAATTTTCTGAGTGATTTAGTCTTCAAGGTAGTTCTCTGTCTGGTACATTCTTCTCTTCCTCCATCTATAGCAAAAATGAATCTTAAGAGGACTTATCCAGGATCACAACTTGGTATCAGTTTCTTCCAGATAATTTCTCAGGTTTTAGATTCCTCCTGCTGCTTTGTCACTATGTTTATTCAAATACACAGTGTTGTTTCCCATTCTTACTACCCAAGGCCACCAAGCATGATAGTTCAGGTTGTACACTGTACAGAGGCATCAGTCAATATGACCAGGCCACACCAAGCTATGTCAAGATGCACGTTTTTCTACTTTGCACAAAGGCATCCTAAGGACTGGCAAAAGCCCAGCCAGTAATTGAGTTCAGACCTCATCTTCTTCTCTCTGGCTTTTGGCAAATCTTCTAACTGATCTCCTGTCTCAAGTGGCTTGACTCTCTGATTGATTCTTCACATGTGTTCTGGATTCATTTCCTTAAAGTCTAGGCTGGATCATATCATATATAAAGACCTGCAGTCATTGCCCATTTCTGTGAGAACAGAATTCACCCTGTTTGGTACAGCATTCAAGGTTCTTTATAGCTTGACTCCCCATCTTATCTTCACGACATTGTTCCACATGATCCCTACTCTGTCCATCTTGCTTGAGTTACTGCTTCAATATGGCTACTCATTAAATTTGCATAGTATTTATTCATAGAGAAGAGAATATTACAAAACTTTCTACAATAAAATTGGAAACAGATGAATCAAGGTAGGAGAAAATGTGGGAATGAAAAAGAAGCAAGTGCAAGAAGGCTGAAGATAATCAGGTACTAGCCAACTCAAAGTTCAGTCCATACAATGTCTCCTGGTTTGTTTGTTTTCTGAGACAGAGTTTGGCATGTTTACTTGGTTCTGTCTCTTACTGTGCTGTAGGAAAGGCCTGTTTCTGGAGGCCTCTTCTCAAGCAAGGATGCTCTGGTTTTCCTTTGAATGAGCTCCTGTACTTTCTGGCTTTTTTCTCCCAACACCTCTCCTGCCATGATCTCATTGTTTTTCCAATATTCTTGTTGGATGATGGTTTCAACCATGGAGATGATTTAATTCATAGATGTTTAGTGATCCCAAGATAACCCATTTTCTCCAATTATCAATTCCCACACGATTGCTACTAGTAAGGCTATTTCTGTATGATGATTTTGACAAATCACAAATATGAGTATATAGTAGCTTTTGGGGAAAAAAAGTCTTACTGAACAAAAGAGTACACATTTTTACATTGTGGACTTTCCACATGTTTTACTTTGTTGCAGCAAATAGATAATAGGAATTTGGAAGCACAAAGCAACAATGTTGTTCTTCTCTCCTACTTATTTTTACCTCATATTTTACAGAATAAAATGGACCACTTACTTTCTGTCCTACTCCATTCTCTATTGCTCAATAAAATATAAATGATGTATTTAAACTATTATAAAATATCAAGCAACATTTATAAGTTGTCTCTGTTCGCCACCACATTTTAAAACATCTAGCTCACTTCCTCTTCTGCCATCTATGCTTCTTGTTGGAATAGTTTTCATTCCATTATTCTATATTCTCACAAATAAATCTCAGTACATATGTTTTCTTTTTGTTTGGTTAGTTGGTCTGGTTTGTTTGTTCTTTTGTTTGTGACAGGTCTCACTATGTAACCCAGGCTGACCCCAAACTCATGACCTCACCTCAGTCTCCTGAATGCTAGGATTACAGAAGTATGCCACCATGTCCAGATTCCAAATGTGACTTTTTTGATCCCCTAGGAGAGGAGTCTGGTGAATTTACTCTCATTAAAGTCACCAAATACCCACGTTACAAGTTCCAGAGGATATGGTTTAATTGTTTTTCCACTTGTGATCTCTATGACAATTAACCTGCTTAAACCCCTTTCTGTAAGTTTTCCTTCTTTGGTCTTTTCCACATCATTCCATCTTCATTCTCCTCCTATTTTTTAATTTTTTTTATATTTCAGATTAATTTCCACCTAATTTTCATCTGCTTTCTCTTTTACTCTATCAACACTTTTGCCTTGGTAAGCTTGCCCATGATCATGTCTCTTAAGTACTCCAAAATCTATCCTGCTTCAGATTTTTGCCTGACTCCTGAACTACTAAGTATTTCCATGTGGTTATTCTCACACACCTAAGTCTTAACAAAAGTCAATATGCATTCGCTATTTATCTGTACTGTATTTCATTATGCTTTTTCTTCCATATTGTTTGCCTTAAGTAATAGATTCACCAATCTTTCATTTAAGATGACTCCCAAGTTATACATCTAAAAGAAATGAAATTAGCAGGCTACATTACAAACTATGCAGATGATCCCTGAATATACACTCTTGAAATCAGCATGTCAAAAGAGACATCTGTACTCCCATGTTTATTGCAGCTTTATTCACAATAAGCAAGAAATGGAAACACTGAAACTGTCTATCAACTAACAGATGGATAAAGAAAATCTAGTATATATACACATTTATACATATATATGTGTATATATGTATATATACACATTTATACGTATATATGTGTATATATGTATATATGTGTGTGTGTGTATATATATACAGTGAAATACTATTCAGCCATACAAAGGATGTAATCCTGGCATTTGTGACAACATGGATGAAACTGGGTGTCATCATTATGTTAAATGAAATAAGCCAGGCACAAAAAAGACAAATAGCACATGATTTCATTCATATATAAAAATTTGTAATAGTTGATCTTATAGAAGTTGAGAGTGAAACAGTGGTTATCAAAGCCTGGGGAGTGGGGCAGGGGGAAGATGGGGAGGTTTGGACAACAGATGCAAAGTCACCATTACATAAGAGAAACAAGTGCTAATGTTGTATTGCACAATAGAATGAATGTATATTATAATAATAATGTTCTACATGTTTCAAAAAAATGGATTCTTAATGTTTTCACCACACAGAAATGATGTCTGAGAAGCTAGATATGCTTACCTGGATTTGAGCATTATACATGCATTGAAATAGCACATGGTGTCTCGTTAACATGTACAATTATATTTTGTTGAAGTAACGACATAAGCATAATAAGGAAGACAAAGTGTTTTTGCTAGTTGAGTTAAGGATAGCTATACAGAGAGAGGAAGGGTGGGGGAGGGGAGCAGGGGGGAGAAATGACCCAAACAATGTGTGCATATGTGAATAAATGAACAACAACAAAAAAACTATGTACAGTTATAATGTGTCAATTAAAATAAAAGATAATGCACAAGCATCAGAGGTCTTAATTTAATAAAAGAATAGCTTTTGTTGGAATCACAGAATAAAATAGGAAAGGAGAAAATGTTGAAGATAAGTAGATTTTCTGGGTATAAGATTGTAGAGGTGGTGTAGTTTAAACAAAACAAGGTCCGAACTATAGAAGTGAGGATTGCTGAGGTGAAAGGGATGCCTTTGCACCTTATTTCGGTTTAACCTATACCATCTCTGCAAGAAGATGGCGGGAATGTAGTTTATCTGGTTTGTCTGGGTAGTTGAAACTTCACAGACCAGGAGGGTGGTCCTGAACCACTTACAACTTTTGAATTTGTTATGAATTGAGGTGGGTCTAGTTACATAATTGGCACAGCATTCTTATTTTTGGAAGCAAAATAATAAAGTTGCAGCAATCTCTTTGTGTTTATTCTTATGGCTTACTGATGACATTTTGCCTGGGAGGTAAATCATTGAGACTTGTCTTGTTTTCCTGAGTCTTTCATGTCTTAGCAGAAATTATAGAAGGAAATAAATTATACATGGCATAAACAGAAATATCTTTTAGATATCATAGAGTCTAACTTTCTTTTCTCTCTTGCCTTCCAGGGACCAGAGGGCCCTAGAGGTGAAATAGGCCCTGCAGGACCTCAGGGTCCCCCTGGACCCCAAGGACCAAGTGGTCTGTCTATTCAAGGAATGCCTGTGAGTGCCATAGAAATAGTCAGATGGTTTTTATTGTTGACCCATTGGGTTTAAAAGAGTGAACTCTTGTCTCCTGTGTCTTCATAGTGAGCTTCAGTTTCTTTGAAATTAATGATTGACCACAAATCTTTCATTAGCTGTGCCTGCAGCAATTTTTTGTTTAATGATGGGAGTCTTTTAAGAAACAGGTACGTTTTCAGGGATAGGTATCCCACAGGATTGTGTCTAAAGAAGAAAAGCAGAGCTTAGCATGCATAGCCATTTAGGGCTGTAATAGAAAGTAAAAATGTTATACAAAGTTTGTTGTAATTGTTGATGAGCAATTTAGTTAACAGTCATTTTCCTAATGGACATCAAAGCACAGTCCACCGAGTTTTAGAGTTTCAATGGTATACCTCCTACAGATGAATTTCTTTGAGAAGCTATTTTGTACTACTGAAAATAAATTTTATTCCACTTATTGAGCTTTGTTATTGTTACTATCAGTGTACAGATTCAAAGAATAAAACGAATTTCTAGTTAATATTTGAAGTACCGGGTCCTTTTAAGCCCACTTTTTCACAGTTTTTCCTTGTTTCTGCTTAGGTGAAAAGTTTTTCCCTACAGTGTTTTTTTTTTTATATTTTTAGAAAGCATTCATATGCCAATTTGCATACTTACTATTACTAATAATAAATATTTGTTGTGGTCTTACTATCTGCCTAATATTTTTCCATTCTTACATTTTTCTAGCCAAAACAAAAAACAAAGCAAATCTATGTAGATCTGAGATTTAAAAATTTTTTAACGATGAATAATGTTAAAATACTTGACTCTCCACTTCATGTATGTATGGTATCAGTGTGGCCGTATGGAATGTATATTCTTTGTTGGAACTATTCTGGATATAAACATTCAGCTCCATAGTGACGTTTACATAGAGGGCTTCACATATGTGAGCAATGAAATCTGCTGTGTGAGGATGTTAGCGTGAAAGGAATTTAATGCTGAAAATATTGTAATCATCAGAGGGGAGAAAAAACAAGACTAAGAATTTACTCATGTGGAGTTAACTCTGTGTACTTTTGGAAATTCAGGGAATGCCAGGTGAAAAAGGAGAGAAAGGAGATACTGGTCTTCCTGGTCCACAGGTATTATTTATATTTTTTGTCTGTTGTCCTCAGCTCTAGAGTTTTGCCAAGGATAAAAGGCTGTAGTTCTGGAGTCAGCTGTGACCTTGGCAGTGGTTCCCTTATAAAAGCCATTTGCTTGTGTTCATTTACCTTAAACACCTCCTAAGAGCCCCCACGATATTCCCAGGGCGAGTGAGGCCCTGATGGGAAAATTCCCTTCCCGGGAGTAACTTTTGGGTCTGAATACTATGTCACAAAAGGTTCTCCTTTATGCTTATTTGGAGGCCTTGATGTATTTCAGGGAAGTTGGGTAAGAGAATGGCTCACTACTGTGAATATGACACTTTTCTGTCCTTGTTCTACCTAGGGTATCCCAGGAGGCGTGGGTTCCCCAGGGCGTGATGGCTCACCAGGCCAGAGGGTAAGAACTTGCTTAAGGTTACCTTTTAGCAAGCAGGCTTGTGACCAAGTCACTCTGCTCTGGGCAGGTTTTTATGAAAGGAAGGAAAGCCAATTTGGTTTTTATTTTCTCCCATCAATCTACATTCTACCTATGCTTCATCTACTTCCCTTCACTAATATCATGTATGTCTATTATTTCATCAAACTTTCCCAAACTGGCAACACTCCTTTCTGAATTCTCCCAAACCTCAACACAGTTCACACTGAATTGCCTGCATTGGCTTAGTAGATTTTCCCAGTTCTTGAAAATCCTTAAAGTACAAACTTAAAAAGAAATCAGCAATCATATGGATTGAAGTTTAAGTAGTATGGCTTATAAAGAAATCTCCATTTGTTTAGCATATTTCAGTTATCTATTCTTTTCATCTGTTCAAGTGGACAGCAGTAAAATAAAGTATAAAATGCTTGGGGAGTGATTAGTTACTTTATTTAGTTGAGCCAGGTTTAAGTTCCTTGTTCTCAAACACTTTACACTTTATTGGGAGGAAATGTAATAAACAAGATACTATACTGCACCGCTATCATGGGGTAAGAGCCCAGTGAGAACACAAAGAATGGATAACCAAGCTGGACTTGGAAGATCAGGGAAGGCTTGCCAAAGGAGGAACCATCTGAATGACAGTGGTAGCCAGGTAAGGAAAAAGGAAAGCTAGTGTAAGCAGAAAGAAAGTATATTTGAAGGAGGGAAGAGAAAGTGAGGCATTTCCAATTTGGCACATAGTATAGTATGGATGGAGATTAGAATGCTATATGTGGAACTATCACAATGAAGCCCTTTTTTATAATTAATATACACTAATAACAAAGGAGAAATATTTCAGAGTGTATTGTATCCATGTTTGGAAAGGTCATAACGAAACCCATTACTTTGTACAATTAACATAAGCTAATAAAAATAAAAAAGAAATGAAGAGAAAAAAGAATGCTCTGTGTGTGTGCATATGTGTGCACACACACATATTTAGGTGTGGGGAATTTGTCAAGGATGCAGCTAGACAGGTAAATACACTTAAAACATCTGTTTGGAGAGGGATAAAGATTTTGAACTTCAGTATGAAGACAATAAGAAATCATTGTATTTTTCCGTAGGGGAAAAAATGCTGTCTTCTTAATCTATCACTGATTCAGGCATATGAGCAACTCTGATTTTCTCAAGACTGAATAATAGGGAGTGACAGTCATTTTGATCCAATCAGAGACAGCATGTGGCATTCACTGGGGGTTTTGGTACATTCACCCATGAGGTTAGCAAGTAATTGGTTATGAGACTAACTTCTCTACTCAAACAAGGCCCACCTTTAAAACCTCAGGATAGCTATGCTACTCAAAAATATGGAGATTGGTTTTTATATGGAAGTGTAGGTGTAGAACCCTAAATCCCTTCTACTTTTTTTTTTAACATTAAACTTCATTTGGCTAAAATCTCAGTGTGTCTCTGTTCATCAAATGAAATTAATCTGTAAAACATGTTCAGGTGAATATATCTAAAGAAGGCATTCTCTAAAGTTAGATTTATGTAAGGTTCTTGTACATTGGGAAGGAGTGTATGGAAGTATTTATATGTTTTGGCAAAGGGCTTAGGCTAAGATCCTGTGTGGTTACATACCTAGATTCCTTCATGATTCCTGAAATTTTGAAAATGACAAGTCTAAAGATTTTGTTGAGTAAGTTTATTTGATTTACCTATGTGTAGATTCTAGTGTTGGTAAAGAACTCCAAATCAAATACGTTGGATTAGCATTTGAATCTTTGGGTTTTGGGGAATTCTTTCTGTTAAAATCAATCTACTCACACAGATGTCTTATAAATATTTTGCTATTTCTCTAAACATGTCATGTTCTTCTACAGCATTTAAAGTCTTAAAGCTGTAATAAAGTGATAAGAGAACTACAGTTGGATTTTATTTTCCTCTCTTCCTTAAACTGGAAGTAAAACCTTGAGGGTGTGTCTTACTACTACTTTGAAAACTTTGTGGATGGGAGTGGAGGTGCTTTTTAAAATGATTGTCAGTAGATGAACGCGTGCATTCATTATAGGATCATGTTTTTAAGATTGTTCTGTCTGTCTTACAATAGATGTTGAGGACAATATCATTTCAGTGTACAATGAAGGAGGTGCCATTCATACAAAGTAAAGCAGTGGTGCCTCTGGAGTTGTGTAACAGAGTTGCCGTGCTTAAAGGAAGAACCATGTATATATTTTTCAATCAGCCATATCTTAACCAAACACAAGCTATGAGTCACTTACTACTCTCAGCCCAAAAAGAGTTTCCCATTACTGTCTACTGAGAAGAATCGAGAAGAGGATGTAATTTCAATCGCTAAAGGCAGCAATTTGTAAACCATCTACATGGAGGAGATAGAAGCATAAGGCAGAGTCTCGAACATGACTTCTCCTCTGGGCCAGGGAAACAAATGAGTCATCTCAGAGACAGCATCAAAGGAAGGAGGAAGGGTGGGTGAAAAAGGAGTCATGTAGGTGACTATCGTCTACTTTGTCAACTGATCTGAGAGCTTAAGGATAGTAATGGTCTAAAACAATTAGATAGTCACTTAGCAGGGTTGTAAAGTCAGAGGCCCAGGACCAACCTTAACAGAAGTAGACAGATGTAGGATGAAAAGCACTCCAGAAGACATACTTCATGGAGTACCAGGTCTTTCTGCTTAGGCAGTGGGATAAGAGGTGCTGCCTAAACAGTACTAAGAACACACACCTCCGAGATTATTCTTCTCTGCCTTAGGCCTTTATCAACTATAATGATGGCACATAACAGATGAAGAGCAAGCAGAATGGTAAGACTCACTGCTAAAGTAACTGACAAGCCCTTTCCAGAATGCTCCCCAGTTAAGTTGGACAGGGAACCAAAAAGACAGGCCTAGTTTTTCCTTCACTGGGAACACTTATGTCTCTTAGTGGTATTGAGCCTTCATCTTCCCTGGCCCTGAGTGAGTGACGCTATTCTATGCAGGGAAGAAGGAAGCTTCAATAACACCTTGTGGTCATGTCCAGCCAGTGCTTATGACTGCCTAGAATCTTGAGAGTCAGTAAGTGAAGTGTGGTGTAAGGGTGGTAGGCCGATCCTTACTGCTCTTTCTTTTTGATTTTTCTTTGTCTTATGGACAACAAGAACTCATAGCCCAAACCTTGCAGCCATCACCTTGACCATTAGCTTAGAGAAAGATTTACCTGTCTTTACTGAAGCTTGGACAAATGTTATCCTTGAATTTATCTGGGGTTGGGTGGTAAGAGGTCTTAACAAATAACAAAAAAAAAAAAAGAGAGAGAGAAAAAGAGAAGAAACAGCTCCTCTTCTAATGTTTCTGGCTTATTCTGGCTATTCCCAAGGGGGAATTTTGGACTCTTAGAGACAGTTCTTATTCAACTCTGGGCCTAAGGCCATAAACATGTCCAGCTCAAGCTGGACTTCTTCACTGAGCAAGTTTTCACCTCTAACTGGAAAGCCAATAAAGCACAGTGCAGGCCTACACTGTGACAGCAGCAATTGCTTTCACACATTCAGCAACTAAAGGCAGTTAGGCATCCCATTTCATTCCACACCATTCCAAATAAGACATTCTGGTCTCATCCTTCTTTTCTGCTGTAAATCCTGTCAATTCCATCTTTTTTTCCTTTCTTTTTTTCTTGGTGTCTGTGAAATCTAGGCCTATCCTGTGGCCTTTGAGTTCCTCTGACATGTGATAGATTTTTCAGCCCCCACCCTAGACATCCAGATGGTCCTTTAGAAGACCAGAAAGAACAGGCAAAATATGATTGATAGATAGATAGACAGACAGACAGATAGATAGATAATGGAGTAAAAGAAAGTACTAAAAAAAAGAAAAAGAAAAACCTCCTTTCTAGTTCTGAGAGTCGCTTTCTTTTCTCCCCATATTTTGCCCAGAAAGAACAGGCAAAATATGATTGATAGATAGATAGACAGACAGACAGATAGATAGATAATGGAGTAAAAGAAAGTACTAAAAAAAAGAAAAAGAAAAACCTCCTTTCTAGTTCTGAGAGTCGCTTTCTTTCTCCCCAGCTATCACTTTTCTGGCTAGCATCCTAAATAGAAACTTTAAAATTATGTTTACTTTACAGTTTTTCATACGGTCTTATAAAAAAAGTCAGAAGAAATGAAAATGTTGAGGAGTTATTAAAAACACCTGGGAGATAGTAATCCCTCCTTGTACAGAGGGTGCTAGGTTCTAAATTTCAAGTAAATTTACTTTGGGGTGCTTCCTTTATCCCCAGTAACTGCTCTCTGTATCTCCATGCTTCAACCATAGCCTTCCTTCCTCACCTGTAAAAAATGAAATACTGTAGAGAGCATTCTGCATTTGAATTCTGCTCAAATTGTGAGCTATTAAGAAGCAGGAATGAGGAAGGTCACACTTCACTATTAGCCAGACCTGTATTTAAACCCTGGCGTTGGGAGTGATGGGGGAGGAGGTGGCACAAACAATGTATACACATGTAAGTAAATGTAAAAATGATAAAATAAGAGGAGAAAAAAAATAAACCTTGGCTGTGTAACATTGGGCCTGTTATTTCAGGTTTCCAAAACTCACTTTCTTCAGCTGTAAAGTATAAAAAATAGTATTTGACTCTATGGGGTTCTTGTGAAGATTAGTATAAACCATTTCTAAATAAAAATGCAATTTTAGCTAATATCATTAGTATTCACTATTTTCAAGTAAACCTAACAAGTCAGTGCATTTTATATTGTCAGTGTGTGATATACTAAAATGCCTTGGAAGATTCTAAAAAAAATACATAATGTCTAAAGAAAAAGCAAGTTTGGTGTTTAAATTTTTTTTCTTTTGGATTCTACTTTGAAAGGATACTTGAAACATGTTCCTAAGTATGTGGGTTTGATGTCCACAAAAGCCATATTGTGCGGAATGTCTCATTTCATCAAAAGTGAGTTGGACTTAAAATGTACTTGAGAAATTGAACTTG